TCTCATTGAACCACTGACGCAGGCTGGCACTTCAAGGCTTGCCAATGCCCAACCCGCAAGGCAAAAACGGGAGAGGTGTTGTTAGTCGTAAGTGCATTTGAAACTGGGTTCAGTTAACTCAATCACACTGGCGCTAATTACTTTGCAGCTCCAGATGCAATCATAAGACCGCTTGTAGAGCAGTATGTTGCCAATGGTTACAGCAATCAAGAGATCATCTCTCGTCTTCGGGCACACCAGGAGACTAGCAAGTTCAATATATCGTGAGTCATAGCTACCTAAACATACCTTCAAACAGAGCTTCTGATGTTTGAATTATCAGACTGAGCCTCTTGAAAAGCGGACGTTCACAGTGGGGAGTTACGTCCTGCCCGTGGTCAAGCACACACAATTGAAAGCATTGGACCTGCCATCGAGAGTGTTCGTCAACGGTTCCCCCAAACAGGGCTCGCACGACATGAAGCAAACCCTTAGGCAAGAGGAACATCTCATGGTTCCACGGTTGTAATGATGTTCTGTCGATACACATTTACACTGATTGAATTGTTTTCAGAGACTTAATACTGCGGTACATGAACCTTCACCATCCAGATGAAGTTCAGCGCCGGAAGAGTCGCCGGCTCAAACGCAGCACTTTTTGGACTGCAGGTCTTCACGACATTTGGGTTTTTGACCAACACGACAAGTGGCGTCGTTTTCAGCTCTTCCTACATGTTGGTATCGAGCCGTTCTCAGGGCGAATACTCTGGCTCAAGATCTGGTGGACCAATCACAATCCACGCTTGATCTGTGGCTGGTATTGTGACACGGTCCAAAGCCTTGGAGGTAATTATTTGCATCCAGTCTCAATTGTCAGCCTACTAATGCAATCATTCAAGCTATGCCTCTCGTTACCCAAAGTGATCCGGGCACAGAGAACAACGGGATTGCGAACGGTCACACCATGCTTCGTCATCTTCAAGATCCAGGTCTAGCACGCACCCTGCAGCACAAGTTCAGAGGCGACCATCGCAATATAAAGCCAGAAATTTTCTGGAGCCAATTGCGCTGTCGCTGGACTCCGGGTTTCGAAGATATTCTCGATTTCGGTTTGAGTGCAGGCATCTATAACCCGGATGATGCACTCGAAAGGTTCTTCTTTATGTCTTTGATACTTCTTGCACTAACACTGTGTGGAACATAGACTTGTATTTCACTTTGTTTTCATTCCGTGGCTCCAGCATGAGCTCGATCTTTTTGCCGATAAGTTCAACAACACTAAACCCCGCTTCAACATGCACAAAATCCTACCACATGGTCGCCCCAATGATATCTTCGATTGCCCTGAGAAATTTGATTGTCGGGACTTCTCTGTAAGCTGTCAGACACATTCTTGTCCATATATTAATGTTTTGCAGGTGATCGTCGATAATTCCTCACTTGAGGAGGTCCGGAAAACATACGCTCCTTCCGATCACCCCGTTTTTCTCTTGGTACCCCAGGAATTCTCCCAGCAGGCTACGGCATTCATGTCTGAGCTCGGTCATACTGTACTGACTCGTGACAATATCTGGGACGTGTATTCAGGTCTTCTTATGTGCTTTCGAGCCATTGAAGGCGAGGATCCCATTCGAAGTGTCATCACCGCACAGCCAAAGATCCCATGCGACGGTGAAAAACTAATTGGGTCTGAGGAGATGGATGTTCTGGATTTACCGCCATTTGTTGAAGGGGCTGGATATCGTGTACCCACTGGTGAATCTGCGGCAGTCAACTCATCAGATGAAGAGTCTGACTTCTACGAGTTTACCTGGACAGATGAGGAGGCAATTTAGATTCAGCAAGTCGAGTAGTACTGTAGTCTATCTTAGTCCGCATCTGTTGGTGCCATTGATATTGTAGTACAATTGATTTCCTGTTTGAGGCTGGTATCACTGGTGTCAGTATCGCATACCACCTTATTGAACTCTTCTTGCTTTTCCTCGAACAACTGCTCAGGATCGTGATGCTCAAAGCAAGAAAATTCTGTTAGTTGGTCTCATGCTGATCATGGTGTCTTCTGACGTGTTCGAGTCAGGCTCAGTCGGTCGGCCCAGTGCATCGAAGGGCTAGCTATCATGCTACAGGATCTGGGAAGACAGACACCTTTATTTGATCACTTGAGAATCACACTTCAAAAGAACAACCGTGACTGCAAATCACTTGGACTATTATATGTCTAACATGGTTCAAAAGCCTCCAGCATCCCTTGCTCGTCCTCTGAATCCACCATGGCAGACTTTACCCCCATGAATCCAAACAGCTGGAGACTTTGTCAGCGTTGCAACACACGCTTCGAATCAACTGTACCATTTACATACGTGCGTGGTAAAGACGGCTCAGGCCGTACATGTTGCCCGACCTGCACAAAGCATTACGAGGGACGTAAAGCTATAGAACAGACTCGAGGCCAGCAAGCTACAAGCATTGGTGAGTCCAACTTTGATGAGTCCGAGTCGTCCAAAACTAATCAAATTCATTATCATTCATGTCACAGACTTCACAGCTGCTGAGGGGCCCTCGAGACCTGAGCTGGTAAAAGCAATGTCAGCAGCGCAACGTGGAGGTTTGTCATGCTCTGAGGGCTTCCGGTTTGTGTACGAAGCTTAATAGTACTATCTTATAGACAACATCTTTCCCAGTCAGCGCTTTGGCCATCCAGCCCACACGCTGGCAGGTGACCGCGGAAAAATGCTTCCTCCTCCAGTTCCTGCACACACAAGCATGGGATATACGCCCAATCATGCCGTGCACCAGCTGCATCGCAGCAAGATGGCTCAGGCAGCATCGTCAGGCCGCTTCCATCAAGTCATGATTCGAGTTGCCTTACATCACCTGAAACCAGAGGGAAAGTCGGGCACAGTGTTAGTTGGTGTAGGTTATATTAATTCTAACTCGCACTGCTCTCAACTTGCGAAATTTACAGAATATCGAACGTGATGTGCGTGTTGCGCTCAACATTACCCTAGCTCAGCTCCAGTCCGAGGTAATCAACCAGCTCGAACCATTATGGGCAGAGTGGTCGCGCAGCCACTCTCTCTCCCTCTATAGCCTGGAAATGCACAAATCACCAAAGTTGATTCTTTACGACCCGAGACAACCATCCATTGGTGCTAATGAACCAGTCCTACAAGAATTCTTCGTGCATGCAACACCCAAGGACCCCACACCCAAATTTTTTGCAAACGCCCGTGTCGCCATCCTTCTTGTAATGACAAATGCGCAGTTCGAGGATGTGTTGCTCTGGCAAGAGCAATGTGTCAATGTAGGTCTTTTTTCATGTTTTCAGTGATACTTTTCACACTTAGCTCAATCTCACAGAACATTGCACCAAGTGTCGACGCTGATGTGCAAAATGTACTAACATCAGCCTCTAGTATCCCTGCAAAGAAAAGGGTACTGCAAAGTCAAGGTAGCAGCAACGATTCTAGCCCATCGCCACCACGCCGCCCTGCACGCAAGCGCTCCAGGAAGGTGAGTTGAGGTGCTCGTATATTGGCAGGTCTAACCATATTTGATACCACAGTTTCCGATATCTGAAATTAGCGAGGTCCTGGCAGGTGACGATGTCTCAAAGGATGAAGACCAATCCGATGTCTGTGGCGGCCCTTCAAAGCTGGAACAGTCGCAACCTGTCTTAGCAGCAAGCGCTCTCATATCAAAAAAACTCTTCTTACCCAGCCAATCTCAACTACAAGCGGCCATGAAAGCTCAGGGAAATGTTAGAAAACAAGCATCCTCTACTATAGGTACGTGCCTTGAACTTTTAGAATCGCTCAATTAGCTCACATTATGTGATGACAGGTGCTGGATGTGTCCCTATCACCTTTCGTCTCTTCGACATCCCTTCCATTGGCTTCGCAGTGCTCGTTTCTACACCATTCAGTACTACTGATAGCAAGTACACTGTCGCCGCACTCACCATCGACACCAGCTCCAAATCTATGATTGGCTTGGCAGGAAGCTTCAAAACGTGTCACCCTGCCTTGATTTCAAACGCAGACGTTGTCCCATCCATGTCTACATCACCGCCACCATCTGTTCTGTCAGCCGAGCAGGTTGTAGCTAAACGCGTGTTTTTTCGGAAGGGCCAAACCATGGGGCGTTGCCGCTTTGCAAGGGAGGATGAGCTGGAAAAGACACTCGACGAGGTGAATTGCCTTTACTGGGGCACATCATTGCTCGGTATGGCGTACACCTTCATTGACGAGATGCTCAAGACTGGCAATGTGAGCCAAGATGTCGTGGTTGAGTTGCCACGTCTAAGGCTGGTTCGTGCGGCGCTAGCCATTCCCGATGACCCCAACAACGACCTCGGCGCAAACTATCTCATCGAGGAGCGGATTAGCGGAAAATTCGTCAAGTACATCAACAACAACTCCGCCGTCCCCGCCCATAGTCTAGAGGGCAGAGAAGCAGTCATCGGACTGTTTTTATGCTTTGTTCAACACGTGCAATATCACCTTACTAACAACATGGTATATCTATCTGATTTCCAAGGCGAGTCCTCAACCCCTCACCTGACTGTCACCCACAGCTAACTGACTGCGCTTGGCATAGGTTCTGGTAACCTCCTTACAGATTGCCAAGTGCTAACAGGCTCGTGAGTTTGTACCTACTACTAAGCCTTGGACTGTCATACTAACACGAGCCTTCTCTAGAGCTTTCATGAACAATTTCGGTGGAGGAAACTGCACATCTGCTTTTAACAGTTTCAAGACCACACATATATGTAATAAGTTCTGTCGCGTTTTCGGCTTGCAACCTTATGTTATGTAGCATTTTAGCACTCGGCGCACTACCATTCTTGCTGTATAAAATTACCTGATCATAGTGTTCATCTTGCGAGTTACTTTGGCTTGTAGATCGCCTCATTGACGTGAACATCAGTACTACAGAATCATGTACTCTGTCACTTTCACGGCCAAGCAGAGTGCTACTAAGAGACCGCGATAGAACTAAGAGACTGCGATAGAGATGCATGCGTGAGGCTGTCACTGAAGTGCATTGCAAAAGCAAAAGTAGACAGTGTATATACTTATATCTAATTCTTCCTGGCCCTCGTGCGCTACGAAATGCGAACGGAGCTGCTCGGTGTTTGCGCTCACGAAGAAGCTGAATTGGGTGAGGATCACGATCCAGACGTCATCAGGGCGGAGGATGAGCCCACAATGATTGTTGTATGCCTCAAGCACGGTATGCACGAATCCATTGGGCTTTGGCATGACATCACGCACCACATTGAGCTCGATGGGGAGGGACGTGCGAAGGAGCTCAAGACAACGCGTGAATTGCTCAGGGGAGATCTTTTCGAGAACGGTAAGGTAAGGGTTTTGGTGAAGAGGGATCTGAAGACGATAGTCTTCTGTAAAAGACTCGGCGGGGTGCGTGGCGGGACAGAATGAAGTCACGCCAGGAGGAAATTGTTGAGTCTGAGAATAGACCTGGTGCTCGGTATGATTCAACATTGGGAATGAGATGAACATACCGTGGAGAGCGGGGACAGAAACTCAAATGATGCCGCAGAACTAGCTGTAGAGGATATTGGGGAGAACTCATGAGGAGACATGGCATGTGTGGGGGATGTGGTTGAGATGACTCTCTGATGCCGTTTCTGAAGCCTTGAATGGTTGATCAGTGACTTGTACTAGAAGTATCTGCAAGCGCTGATGGGACGTGTGATCCCTTTAAGTTATGAGCCGATTTATCTAACACGTGTCATGAAAAACGCACCTTTACATCCACGGGCTCCTCAGGGAGAATAAATTCTTGCATGTCACCATTATTGACTACGACATAATCGTGCATGCTAGTAGCATCATCCAAGCTCGTCAGACTGAACAGAAATGCCGGTAGCATTGAGTGGGATATGGAGTGACAGCCATCGTCCCATATAAGGAGATCCGTAATGGAACGGGTCACGTGAACGTCTGGAAACCTTGTCAAGCAATTGCAAGGTAACTAGGGATATACAATATACATCAAATAAAATCGAAGAAACAATATTCCTCAAACCAAACAGCGATCGGACATTGAAAATCTGTCCGGCATCTCGGGAAGTCGAACTGTAACCAAACATCCACCATACGGTTTTACTGGAATGGGTGGCTGTGCTTCTTTTTCCTTCTTTCCGTGGAAGTTCGAACCAAGAAATGGACTTGGGCGACACTTTTAAACCGGCTCGTTCAACAGTAGACATACTCCCCAGGTATTGTTTAGACTGATCGTCACTTCTGACTCTTGTTCCAGGTCACATTCACGCTCTTCGTCACCCGTTGTATCGCATCGCATTCAGCTATATCAAGCTGCTTTGAAATCCGACTCATACTCTCGCAAACCGTTCCTGGTGTTTCTATAGCACTCTCAATCATCCTTCCCCCATGGTACTGTCAGCTCAATCGTTCGGGGTTCAAGAGCGTTGTGGGCACGTTGTGGGAGGTCGACGACGCTGTCGCAAAACACGTCGTTGAAGCTTTCTACGAGAATATGGCCAAGCATGTGGAAGATGGCGAGTTCATGGACTGTACGAAGGCGGCCTGGGCACTCAACCATGCTACACACGCCATTAAGACGAAGGTGCCGCTCGAGCAGAGAATGGTGTTCATTCATATTGGTGTGTAGTTCTACTACTATGTCATATTGCTTCGTCTGGTATATATTCGCGAGTTCTTCATCTGCGATCCTCTTTTATCCTGCTTTTTCGTTGACATGACCCTGATATTCTTGTGCTCCCTCTCGTGTTGTTGTTCACTAAAGTCTTTACCAATATCCTTCTGTATTTGAATCGCTTGCAGCCTCGTATTCTGCTCGAATACATCATAATAGTACGAGCCGACTCGTGCCTTCCAGTCACACCATTCTTCAAGCTTTCCAGTCCTTCTGCACCATGACAATAACATGTGCACCCATCAAAATCCGTAGCTTCCTCAATCCCGGTCAATCCAGGAGTAGCAAACATCACAGGCCACTCCGAGTCTCGCATAACTTTGCCGTACCACTTTTGCAGATGGCAACTGACACTGACACTGTCTACTTCTTTAGCACAGGCTCTCACGCTAAACCTAGTCGGCCATCTTTTGGTCTCAGCGCTTAGTTCGATCATCTATGCTGAACAGCCACACCATGGAAAAACATGTATAGCATGGCCTGAACCCCAACTACTTTCTCTCACACCTGATTTCCACCCACAGTCTCCATTTCCTACCCTCCGTCTTGCCCTACCACGCATTCCACCCATCACTAAGCCCACCCTCGATCCTCATTATTTTGCTTCATCATACCATCATGCCTGGTAGCTTTGAAGGCCGATGTATCAGACTTGAAGGTGGGTCGCTCTGCATTACTTTCGTATCTGTTTCTCGATCCTGACGCTCTGTCTACAGTCATAGGTGGACAGAATCTCCAAGTCCCTTCTGAGCGCGTACCCGCAGGCATTTACGTATACATCAATGTCGACTCGAGGAGATGCTGGAAATCAGCCGTCAGAGCCATATCATCCAACAAATCTGTACTGTGGGGAGATACCGTGACACTGTGAAGTGCTCCGAAACTTCCGGACGCGATTCGATAACTCATCTTTGGTTTACAGATCATGCCATGAGACACCTGCATTATCAATGGAGATCAGAGCATCCTACGAGGTCGATCGAATGCTTGGCAATGGAGAAGTCATCGGAAAACTTCAAACATCGTGGGTTGGGCTACTCGATCACGGGGATGAGCCATTTGGTGAGTAACCTACTTCTCATTTGTGCGCACCTACTACACATTCCGTAGAACTTCCTGTCCCTGTCTGTGGTGTCTACCCATCGCTCACGCTGAAGGCCACTGTTGTACATGCTTGCGGCAATCAGGACGGCGCGCTAATTGATGTGAGTGACCCAAGACTCTGTCCTGTTAGTTTTTGCTGACGGAACACCGACTGTAGTCCCTGGTAGACTGCGAGATTGCTCGAGAAACAGATGCGGGCCATGTACGATTCGCCAGATACATGAGACGCAAGAGGGTCTCTCACTTGAACAATGCTGTAGAGCGTTTTCAGCTGGTTCTTGGCCGTTGTCCGGTTGACCACCCTCACCACGCAGCGGCTCTCACCAACCTCGCGTGGGCCCGCCTTCAAGGCTATATTCAAAATTATCTTCAAGACATTGATACCACCACTTCCCTCTTCCGCAAAGCCCTTGCATTGCGTCCGCAGGGCCACACAGATCACGCACTATCTATCTATAATCTCATTTTCGCATTGAACCGACGCTACAGCAAGGAGCGCACCGCCGTCTCTATTTACGAATCTGAGCTACTGTGCTGCAAGCTACTGCCGCTCTGTCCAGAGGGCACCTACCTTCGTAGCATCGGCGTAGGCAGTGTGGTTGATTATATGGTCGACGAACTTAAAAGCGATGATATTCCAGTTGATGCATCCAATGAAGGCATTCACCGTCAGCGAGTCGTACTCGAGTTCTGTCCTCTGGGCCATGAATACCGTCCCAATGCCCTCGACAACCTTGCACAGGCAGTTGAGGCACGCTTTGACCAGCATGGCAGCATTGACGATCTGGAAGAGAGCATACAACTTGGTCGTGAAGCCGTTTCTCTGTGTCCCGAGGGACATTCTTACTATAGCACCTACCTGAATAACTTGGCCATCTCACTTGAATCCCGTTTCGGTCATACAGGCAAATCTCATGACCTCGACGAGGTCATATCCATTAACGAAGAAGTGCTGCGCATGCGCCCTGTTGGGCACAAAGTTCGTGATTTCTCATTGGGCAACCTAGGGGGCGCCCTCCGCACCCGTTTCAAAAATCGCGGTGATGTTGACGACATCAACCGAGCTGTCAGTCTCTATCGCGAGGCACTGATCTTGCGCTCACCTGGGCATCCACGTCATTCCACCGCGCTAAACAACCTTGCCAGCGCGCTCCAAAACAGATACGACACATTGCCTGTCATCGAAGATCTTAACGAGGCCATTGATCTATATCACAAATCCCTTCGGTCAATGCGGCTTGATCATCGAGAGCGCCATAGAGTTCTTTTCAATTTGAGCTCGGCACTCTGCTCTCGTTTCAAGCGAACTCGGAATAATGCGGATGTTGAGGATGCTATTCGACTCTGCCAAGAGTCATTGGTCGCCCTGCCTTCACTGCACCCAGATAGATGTCACAGCTACTGGTCGCTGCAGGTGGCATATCTAGTGCAATACCAAGTGCACCACAACCTCGCTGATTTGTCACTCGCTGTGGAAAACTTCAGACTGGCATCAACACACCCTACGCAGGGCTTTCCAGAACGCATTAAAGCAGCCAAGCACTGGGTTGCTGCAGCAGAAGAGCACAGCCATGCCTCTGGACTGGAGGCTTACTCAGTGTTTTTCGAGCTTCTGGATGCTCATTTGACAACACGGCCATCGCCAGCTTCACGGCGCGAAGCTGCTGCTGCATTTCATGATATCTCAAGACTACCTGTAGATGCAGCATCATGCGCCATACGCCGTGACAACCTCCGACGCGCAGTCGAACTGGTGGAGCATGGCCGTGGCCAACAGTGGTCGTTGGCCTCTCGCCTGAGGAGTCCGCTCGAAGACCTCCAGTCCACGAATCCCAAGCTAGCTCACAAATTCTCGGAGCTTAGCAGACACCTTTCGGACGCTCAGGGTTCTGCAACTATTTTGGACAGAGCTGCAGCTGAAGCAGCAGAAATAAAGTACAGGAGAATAACCACACAATGGGAGACTGTGGTAGCTGAGATACGCAATGTTCAAGGTTTCTCGCGGTTCCTGCTCCCACCTTTGTATGAAGACTTGCAAGCGGCAGCGCGCCATGGCCCAGTCATCATCCTCGTTGCAAGTAAATGCTCATGCAGCGCCATCGTTGTCCCGACATCTGGAGAGCCCCATCACGTTCGCTTCCCGCGCGTCACTTTCGCAGATCTGGAGAAGCTCAAGGACGACTTTGCTACGGCAATCCGGCACGCGGCTCGTATGCACCCAGCGGAACCAAGGAAGAAGCTGCGAGTGCGCTTGCGGATATTATGGGACGAGATCATGCTACCCATCGTTAACGTCCTCCAGCATGACCTAGAATTGCAGCATCGGTCTCGAATATGGCTGTGTCCAACGGCAGCCTTTACGTCCATCCCTCTCCATGCAGCTAATCCCTTCCGAACGAACGCAGATCGCTCTGGAAGCGAGCCATGCCTGGAGGATCTCTACATCTGCTCTTATACACCTACACTTTCAGCTCTCATTAGAGCTCGGCAGGCGATGAAGACGCGTGTGACTCCGTCCTTCGCAGCGATTGGACAAAGTGAACCAGGCGCAGGGCAAGGCGACGTGCTCCCGGCTGTCGACAGCGAGCTTGAGCTTGTCCATACACTCATCCCTCCCAACATCAAGTTCACTAATATTTCAAAAGACGAAGCCACACAAGCAGGTGCGCTTAACGCTTTGCAGTGCAACACCTGGGTGCACCTCGCTTGTCACGGCAAGCAAGACCTTGAGCAGCCTTATAACTCATGTTTTGCCATGAGAGACAAACCTGTTACGCTGCTCGACATCATGGAGAACAACTCTCCGCAAGCTGAATTCGCATTCTTGTCAGCGTGTCATACCGCCGTCGGCGATGAGGAGACACCCGACGAAGCCATCCACCTCGCAGCTGGACTCCAGTTTTCGGGGTTCAAGAGTGTCGTTGGCACGCTGTGGGGTGTCAATGACGCTCTCGCAAAACACGTTGTGGAAGCTTTCTACGAGAAGATGTTCGAGGATCTGGAGGACGGTGTCTTGGACTGTACGAAGGCAGCCTGGGCACTCAACCGTGCTACAAACGCCGTGATGACGAAAGTGCCGCTCGAGCAGAGGATGGTGTTTATTCATATCGGTGTGTAGTTTTACTATGTTGTGCTGCTTTCGTCTGGCACAGATTTACGAGTCATTAATTCTCTACCCTCCTGGTCACGGTGTACATGAAGTTATTATAAATATATTATTCTGATAATCTCGCGGTGCAGGCATCTTGCTTTTGCATATACATTCTCTCTCACATTGTTGTCTACTTTACCAAAGTCATTATTTATTCGAGTCTGACGATGATCAGTGCGGCATCGTCTATTTCGGTTAAGTTGGAGACCAGGCCTTGACACTGAGTTGTGGTGCGCGAAATGGGTTTGTGTCGCTGTATGACGCAATCGATCCAAGAAGGGTAGCTCCGATTCACACAGCCGATTACAGGCACAACCATATATGTAAACCTCGTACTTAAACTTCCCGCATGGTCGCCGACAGGCTCTGGCGTACTCTTTCTGCCTTCAACCGCTCCACCCGAAGGTGGACACCCATACCTTTGAGAAATGCACAGAGCCAAGTGACCCAGAGGTTTTCTCAAACATCACCGAACATCGACACCTTCTGGACGCAGAGGCTTTCTCTTATATCATGGAATATCGACGCCTTCTCCTCGCGGCCCGTCACACGCGCCAAACTCATCCTCGGCCATATCCTCGAGGGACCGAAATATCCTGATATCATCTTTCTCCAAGAAGTCACGCCTGATGTCCGGGCCTCTCTCCTGGACGATGCGAGAGTGCGTGCTGCCTTCCTGGTGACTGACGCCGAGGACCAAACGTCGTTTGAGGATGTGCCCTTTGTGACCATGACGTTGCTGCTCAGTGTGCGCTTTGCCTCCGGCCTAGATTCGCAGAAGGAAGGCGATAAGATCGAGAGAGGGGGAAAGTTCATGCTCGGGCGCGTCTCCCGCGTGACACTCCAGAGCAAGTACAGGAGGGATGCGCTTTATGTGGACATCATCCCCCCAACCGCGCCGGGCACAGTCTTTCGTCTCATCAACGTGCACCTCGACTCGCTCGCGGATACGCTACGTTACCGTGCCCAGCAGATGGAGATACTGGCCAACGTCCTGCGCGAGCCCGGATGCAGTGGTGGGATCATTGCGGGCGACTTCAACGCCATCAGCCCCGAAGATGATGGGCTCGTCGACAAGAACGGACTGGTAGATGCGTGGGTCGCATTGCACGGGAGGGAAGACCCTGGTGGAGCTACGTGGGGTGTCGGCGTGGAACGGCGGGACAGACTGGGGCCGGGCAGGTTGGACAAGGTTGCAATGATGGGCTTAAAGGCCGAGGAAATGGAAGTCCTCCGCCCTGGTCATATTGAGGTGCCTAGGCCGGGCGAGAAATCTGTCGAGATCCCTTGGAGTGACCATTGCGGGTTGAGATGTATCTTTGCCATCTAAATACTGTCAAGTAGGTTTAGGCTAGCACCCTCGACGAGAAGTAATTGGCGACCTGGTTTTTATCATAGACGTAGAGCGACTACGCCGGAGCAACGTCGAATGTTATACATCCCATTCTATGATTCATCCCTTCTAATTAATATGTGCATTTATAGTCCTAGCAAGTCGTTAAGACCTGCGTCTATTCCTTCGTGCTTTGCCCGGTTGCTCACACCGTCGGACATCATCACCCTCCCTCTTCCCATGTCTAACACGCCATGGGGACTCGGAGCGAGGAAACGTAGCCAAACCAGTCATAACAACAACATGACAATGCCAGCTTATTTTGTCTGTCTGTCCTTTACCGTAAGTCGAACTCGCTGGCACTGGCGCATCAGAGAACTCATGAATCCTCAGTTCATTCTTCACTCATCGAGCACGAAGAAGGCACGCACATGGCTGTGCTTCTTTTGTCACCCTGGGGCCTGGGCCTGAATAGCATGCCGCAATGACAGAAGCCTTCTGCGGCATGCCTCGCTGCCAAAGTCGAACCCATTCCACCCACCACTCAGCCCATCCCCGATCCTCGTTGTTTTGCTTCATCGCATCATCATGCCTGGAAGCTTAGAAGACCGATATGTCAGAGTTGAAGGTGAGTCGCTCCATGTCACCTTTGTATCCGTTTCGTGATCCTCATGCTATATCTCCAGTCATCAATGGAAAAAATCTCAATATCCCCTCCGGGCGCATTCCCGCAGGCATTTACATATCCGTTGATGTCGACTCGAGGAGACCTTGGAAATCAGCCACCAGAGTCTTATTATCCGACGAATCTGTGACGTGGGACGATACTTTGATCCTGTAAGTGCATGGAAACTTTCGTGCGCGATTCGAGAACTGATCATCAGTGTACAGATCGTCACATGTGTCACCTGCATTTTCAGTGGAGATCAGGGCGTCCTATGAGGTTGACCGAATGCTGGGCAGCGGAGAAGTCGTAGGAAAACTTCAAACGTCATGGGATGAGCTACTCGATCATGGTGATGAGCCTTTCGGTTAGTGTTTTGCTTCACATTCATGCATATCATCACTAACATGTCGTAGTTCTGTCTTTCCCACCCGTTCGTGGTGTCTATCCTTCACTCACGTTGAAGACCGCTACGGTACCTGCTTGTGACGATCAGGGCAGTGCACTGTTGGATGTGAGTGATATTGGCCTGTGACATTGGCCTCTGCTGTTAGCTTTTCTGACGGAACATCAACTGTAGTCCCTCGTAGACTGCGAGATCGCTCAAGACACAGATGCAGGCCACGCACAATTTGTCGAATATATGACAGGCGAGAGCATCTTTCACCTGAACGGTGCTGTACAGCATTTTCAGGTGGTCCTGGACCAGTGTCTGATCGGCCATCCTGACCGCGCAGCAGCTCTCACCAACCTCGCATGTGTACGTCTTGAAGGGTATATTCGCAATGATATTCAAGATATCGACTCTACGATCTCTCTCTTCCGCGACGCCCTTGCATTGCGTCCCCAGGGCCACCCAGATCATGCATCATCTCTCTGCCATCTAATTCGAGCACTGAACCGGTGTTACAGCAAGGAGCAATCCGCCGTCTACATTCACGAATCCGCGCAGCTGTGCTGCAAGCTACTACCCCTCTGTCCAGAAGGCACCTACCTTCGTAGCATTGGTGTAGACACTGCGATCGATTATGTGATCCATAATCTTCCAATGGACGCATCTGATGAAGGCATCCACCTTAGACGAGTCATACTCGAGCTCTGTCCTCTGGGCCATCAACACCGTCCAGGAGCACTCTACCCGCTTTTACAATCACTCCACAGACGCTTTACACAACGTGGCACCATTGATGATCTAGACGAGAGCATAGAACTTGGTCGTGAAGCCGTTTCTTTGCTCTCCGAGGGACACCCTCAGCGTAGTAACTGCTTGAATGAGTTAGCCGTCTCGCTCATCTACCGCTTTGGTTACCAAGGCACATCTCATGACCTCGACGAGGCTATCTCTGTATACGAACAGGCACTGCTCCTGCGCCCCGTTGGGCACGAATCTCGTTATCTCTCATTGAGTAACCTAGGGGGTGCCCTCCGCACCCGTTTCAACAAACGTGGCGACATTGATGACATTAACCGAGCTATCAGCCTCCATCGCGAGGCACTGATGTCAATCCCACCTGAGCATCCACGTCGTGACGCCATGCTTGCCAACCTTGCCCTCGCGCTCAAAACGAGATATGTGAAATCGCATGTCAACGAGGATCTTAATGAGGCCATTGATCGGTATCGAGAATCCCTTCGGGTAAGGCGGCATGACCATCCAAATCGCCATATAACACTGTTCAATTTGAGCTCCGCGCTCTGTTCTCGTTTCACGCAATCTCGGGAGAATGAAGATATCGAGGAGGCTGTTCGACTCTGCCAAGAGTCATTGGCAGCTCTGCCTTCACTACACCCAGATAGATGTCTCAGCTACTCATGGCTGCAGCAGGCCTATCTGTCTCGTTACCGAGTCGAACACAGCCCTGCTGATTTATCGCTAGCAGTGGACAACTTCAGACTGTCATCTAGACACCCTACGGAAGGCTTGCAACAACGCATTATGGCAGCCTGGGACTGGGTTGTTGCAGCAGAGAAGCACCACCATGCATCTGGACTGGAAGCCTACTCAACGTATTTTGACCTTCTTGACAGATATTTGTCCACACGATCTTCGATTGTTGCACGGCGCGAAGCTACTTTTACTTTTCGTCGGGCCAGCACCTTACCTGTCGATGCGGCCTCATGCGCCACACGTCGTGACAATTTACGTCAGGCAGTCGAACTCGTGGAGCATGGCCGTGGCCAGCAGTGGACATTGGCCTCTCGCCTGAGGACTCCACTCGAAGACCTCGAGTCCACGAATCCCAAGCTAGCTCGCACGTTCTCGGAGCTTAACAAACAACTGTCTGGTGCTCAGGATTCCGTGGGCAGCACAGACAGAGCTGCTGCTGATCGGGCAGCAACAGCGTACCGGAAACTTACGGAGCAATGGGACGCTGCGGTAACTGAGATACGTAATCTTCAAGGTTTCTCGCGGTTCCTGCTCCCACCTTCGTACAAAGACTTGCAAGCGGCAGCATGTCAGGGCCCAGTCATCATTCTTATTGGAAGTGAGTACTCATGCAGCGCCATCATTGTCACGACGTCAGGAGAGCCCCATCATGTTCCATTACCGTCCATCGTTCTCGCAGATCTGGAAAACCTCAAGGACCGCTTCGCCAGGGCGATACCGCATGCATGTCGGATGGGCCCAACAGAATTGAGGACGGACCTAATAGTACTCTTGCGGGCAGTATGGGACAATATCATGCTACCTATCGTTGACGTACTCGAACATGTCCTCAAATTAAAGCACGGGTCTCGAATATGGCTGTGTCCAACTGCAGCTTTCACATCCATTCCTCTCCATGCAGCTCACCCCTTTCAAACGAAGGCAGATCGCTCTGGGAAGGAGCCATGCCTGGAAGATCTTTTCATCTGCTCTTACACCCCGACACTTTCGGCGCTGATCAGATCTAGACAGATGATGAAGAAACATGTGCCTCCATCCTTCATAGCGATCGGCCAGGGTCAACCGGGTGCAGGGAAAGGCAAGGAGCTCTTGGCTGTCGACAGCGAGCTCAAGCTCGTGCGTAAGCTGGTCCCCGCGATGGCCCAGTGTTTCACTCTTTCTGGGCACGAAGCCACACGAGCAGGTGCACTCGAAGCTTTGCAACAGAATTCATGGGTGCACCTTGCTTGTCATGGCAAACAAGACCACGACCAGCCTTACAATTCTCATTTTGTCATGAAGGATGAACCTCTGACGCTGCTTGATATTATGGAGAAAGACATTCCGCACGCTGAATTCGCGTTCTTGTCGGCGTGTCATACCGCCGTTGGCGATAAGGAGACGCCTGACGAAGTCATCCACCTCGCAGCTGGACTCCAATTTTCAGGGTTCAAGAGCGTCGTTGGCACGCTGTGGGAGGTCGACGACGCTGTCGCAAAACACATTGTTGAAGCTTTCTACCAGAATATATTCAAGGGTTTGGAGGACGGGGGCGTCATGGACTGTACGAAGGCGGCCTGGGCACTGAATCGTGCTACGCACGCCGTGAAGACAAAAGTGCCGCTCGAACAGAGGATTGTTTTTATTCATATCGGTGTGTAGTTCTACTATGTAATATTTCTTTTGTCTGGTATAGATTGACGAGTCGTTGATCGTGGATTCTCCACCCGGTGTACATGAAGTTGGTGTAGATATTACCCTGATACTTGCAACTCGCGGTGTAGTCTTCTTACTTATGCTTATAAGTACCTCTCTCTCATGTTGTTGTATACTTTAGCAAAGTCATCATTTACATTTATTCGAGCCATGACGACAGGTGTACGACGTCGTCTTCTGTTTGGGCGTCTGCCAGTGCTTACATCCGCTTCAACACCAGCACAAGTGCTAATCTGCAAGCGATGCGTAGTCCACGCTAACCGCCGGTAGAGGAGAAACGACCTGAAAACTAACCGAGCCAACTATCACGTTCATGACAACAACACCAACACATGATAAAAAAAATTCCATGATTGTGTTCCAAGAAAAATCAGCCAAGCCAATGCATCGAAAAGAATTCGGGCCACCGTTTTCTTGATTGTCTGCCGGGTGGTCTGTCCGCCCTTCCGGTCACGGGCTGTCGAGGGTCCAATTACATGTTCACATCCATCCATGCCACATGGATGATGGCAGCTCGCCCCTTACCCCTGGGCGCACACGAGCCTGCTCCGTCAGTGTCACGCGTCTGCTTCAAAGCTGATACGCCGCGATCTGTCCTTTGTTGACGAAAAACCGGGAAGTGATGACGAGACTCAGGGAGGGCGACTTGGGTATCCCAAGTTGAAACCTATGTGCAGGTCGGGGAAGAGCGCGATGATGAGCGCAAGTTGAATCTGTGGGTTGTCAGAAGACTACTTACTATGACAACAAGACGCGCCGAACACCCGACTGCGGACCAAATTCTCTTGGGATCTTCGCCATGAATGGCTGGCCCAGGCGCGGCCAGATGTTATCACCCTCGGAGTGCGGCGACATAAGCCGAGTGATCGAATTTTTTATAATACGATAAAACTGCTGCCTTTCTGATTCGAACATTTTGGCGTCAGTTCTGGACGACGTCTGGCAGAATTGTGACAATCGGATGGCCGTTCCTTTGCAGGTCGCACTATTTAGTACAAGTTTCAAATTGATTGATGATATGTCTGCTTACTCATCAACAAAGTTGACAACTGGGTTGGACCTTAAACGTCATGACCGCCGCAGCCTCGCTGGTTGCACTTTGTAGAAAAGCAATGACTTGGCTCCGTTCCTCTTTCTCAGTGTCGCTTCTTTTCTCTGCGGAGCATTTGGGTCATAGCGTCCCTATTCGCAGCTTCTGAAGGGCCTTCGTCATCAGTTTGCTCGGTCTCAGCCTTTGCTGCATTTCACATTTTTTGCCTCTTCCCTCGCCTCAATCCATCAACGGCAGATCTAATCAACGCACCTTTCATCTATTAAATGGAGAGTTTAGTTGTAGACAGTGTAACCTCGGAGAAGTATTTGCGAATCGCATCCGTCTCCATTGCGTTTTACGAGTAAGTCTTTTCTTTCCTTGTAGCGGCCCCGTATAGTCGTCACGATATTCTGACTGATTACGTTTAGTTATATTCTTACACTCCCTGCAGAATGGCGGTTTTATCGAAGCCAATCGTCAATTTTTCACATAAGGTACGTGTACATTGGTATTCACGTACCACTGCTGACAAGCTCGATTCCATCAGTCTTGCCTGCGCTTTATTCATTCTCATACGGTACGTTTTGTCCTCATTCAGTTATATGATTGTTTTCGCTCACATTTCATGCAGCTATGTTAGTATTGTGGTTATATTATTCAGCAATTACGGATTTTTCTCCGCCGCCTTTACCCTACAAACATGTCAACAATACTATCTTCTGGCGCCTATCTTCAAAGGTCTGTGCTATCGGTGTTCACCTACCAAGACTCTATTGACCACATTGTAGCCGTACAAACCATGATATCACAGGTCATCCTAGGTGTCAGGTATTTCCTGCTGATTTTTGTGGGTTGCAGTTGCACAAACTTAAACACACCGTGTAGGACATACAATATTGCGAGAAGAGATAGGCGGATAGGAATTGCACTGTTGCTGCTATACCTCGTCTCAGTTTCGGTGGGCTCTTACAACAGACATGAAATCCATTTTTCTTATTCGTTTTAGGCGGAGTGGTTCGCCGTTCTATTTCACGGGACCCGTAAGCTCTGGCTTATAACTTAGTTTTGGGTTCGCATTGACCTATAAAATCAACAGCTGCTACTGTTGATGTACGTCAATGTTCCTTACAGCGAGATCTCATCCAAACAACGTCTCTTTTTAGGGAAAGTGAGTGATTCCCTTACTACCAGTGCGGGCTGTTCAGGTCTTCATGAACCATAGCTGCACCTCAGCAAATTCTGGCAAAGTATTGTCAACCTGGTTCTACTACCTCGCCGTGATGATGTATGACATCGCGATGGTGACGATATCTACCATCCATCTCCTGCGTTATAATCCTCTTAGTAGCAGGTGCGCCTTATCTCTCCCATCCTTAGGGTCGCTAAAACATTGTTGTTAGAGTAGAACGGCTGATACGGGTGTAAGTCCCTCATCACTGGCAGAGTCAATGCGCGTCGCTCATCATACTTAGCCTGATCTATGACGGCATTGGATTTTTCCTCGTGTTGTCCGGCATGTCACTTTCTGCTTGTGATAAGCACCTTACTAATATTCCCTCAGCATCGAACGTATTGAACCTCATCCTTTATCATACGACCAACATCGAGACTCAGGTACGTCGGCTTTATTGCGGATACTAATCACTCAGCTCGATTATATTGACTCGCTTCTATTATCAGTCAGCAGGGTAAGTTTCGCATTGTCTGCGTCAAGGGGATCAGACCGCTCAGAATGCATCATTAGAGCATCAATAGGTTATGCTGTAACGTGGATCATGAGCCAACGGATCCTCATCAATATTAGAGGTGCGCAGCACTTCGGAGCTTGACTGTTATTTCGCTAACAATCGCGGTGTTCATTCGTTCCGTTGCTTTCGCTCCATTCACCTGCACCCGCAAGGGAATGTTAGACCCAAATACCCAACGCGTGGAAAACGTGATCGTCGCGCGTCCCACACTATCTGCGCAGAAAAAAGTGATGTCTGGTCTCCGCTCACAGTTCGAGTCTAAGAGCCATTCAAAAGGCTCTAAAAGCCCCATCGGTACAGAGTTCAGACCCGCATCCCCTCACAGTGGGCACGCCGACGAGATGGAACTTGGTGTACGTGTACGCGTCGAGCACTCGGTGGCGGTAGACTTCATGGACGAATCTGAGCATTCGAGTTCGTGGGGGCCGCCGAGGACAAAATGAATCTGAGGCACTGACGCCTGACGAGCATAAACAAAGAAGGAATGGCTATCTACTACGGGAGACTACCCAACATGCGATATTGACGTATATATACCCACCCAGTGCTACTATCGAAATAGAGCTTCTCACTCTTAGGTCGTCCCTGTTCACAATAAAGACGCACATATCGGTGAGCCATACAAGCTTTTGGCAGAATTTTGTAGCTATCACTACTTACTGCGAAAAAACATTCAGTGCAATATACGTTCTGAAGAATCATTACCGCCTGTCATTCTGCTGTATGTTCTCCCCGTCACACGAGCTTCTTGGAATTCTCCAGGATGGAGTATACTTTCAAGTGCCATGATTGCCAATCGTTGACCCGCCTTCGACCGACCAGACTCCCAAATTAGCACTGTACATGTTTCTTTTTGGTCTCCCTAGCATTGTATGTCGTGCATTCTCTTACGCCTGCGTGACACCCAATGTCTTGTACTACCCGACAGAATTCAGTGCGTTTCCATACGAATTTCCAGTATTTTCGCTCACTTGCATTCCTGGCGGGGACAGACCCGACATATGGGCCGGAAATTCGAGAAACCAAGTGTCCTCATGGGATCCGATCTCTTGCCGAAATCACGAAGTTCCTATTTAACACAAGAAAATAGCTGCTAGCTTGCTAGACTCAACAGTACAAAAACCGTACTATACAACAAACAATTGTACCAACTTGATGAACTTACCTCTAACCCACAAAGCACCTCGCAATCACCGCGAAGTTCGAAAACTTCTGTCCAACCAGCAAACCATTTCCCTTTCTCTCACCATACTCCAAAGGCTTCCTCAGCAGCACACGCAACAAATTCGGTTGCCCATCTAGATGATACCTCAGATACGCCACAACAACCGCAGTCGCCCATATATTTCCATCGGCCTGAAAATCTTCCGCCCTTCCCGGCATCTCCACGCCTACAAGCGCCGCCAGTTCAGGTGACGGTGTGAACGAGCCGTCGTAGCGCTGCAGCAAGATGAGAGTGTATATGTCCTTGGGCACGAGTAGTGAGCGAGAGCCGGACGTGTGTGGTTGCGGTCGTACTGCACGTCCTGTGACTCGGAGTGGTATCCTCAGACGTGCGTTACGGCTTGGATCGAAGGCTAGCGATCGGATGCGCTGGATTGGATCTTCCGCAGGCCGTAGGGGAATGGCCGACCAAGAATTGGTCCATCGAGAGTAAGTGGAAGAGCCATCCAATGAACTCAGTGTAGAGAACGAATCTGTGCTCGAGTTATCCTTATCGTGACGGAACGGACGTGTACTCTGACTCGATGGCGAGCTCGAACGAGGTTGTGTAGTGGGATAGTATGTGTCAGGAAGCAGCCTTTGGTGCGTCAGGGCAGCACCTGAGGAGAAGATGCTGAACACTGCACAAACCACCTCAGACAAGTTGGCCAATGCCGTTTGCACGGTGGTCATATCTGTTCCCAGAGCGTACTCCTCAGAAGCGTCACTCGTGACGCTAGGTGGGGATGCGTAGTAACGTTGCCGCAGAGACATTTCCTGTGATGTTGATCGGCGCAGCCCACTCCTCGCTGCCTCACGTCGGGACTCTACGGCAAAAAAAGACGTATGCTGGCTCACAAGCTGGTATTCAAGCCCCAAGCGGACAATCGCCGCTTTTCGAACCTCCTCGTTCGAAGCAGGTGTCATATGTGTCGGAAGAGGTGCTCTACCCTTTGCCAGGTGCTTAATGAGTTGTCCCGCAGCCAGAGTGTGGAGGAGTGGTATGGACTGTCGTTCATCCTTGAACCTCGCCGTGACGGGTACCACGAGCTCGAGAACCTCAGCCACACCTTCAACCTTGGCACGCAACCTGACTTCACGAGGAATCGACCTAGAAGTGATGATTGCAAAGACGCTGAGGGGCACACCAGGGCATACCCTCGTGATACTGTGCGGAACCTGCTGCGTCTGAGGTGGCGGCTTCAGCTGCACGACGCCGGGTGGAAGCAGGTGATTGTGATTCGAGTGTGAGGCTCGCGGTGGGTTGCCCGAACCGTGCCAATCGACCACGATACTCTCGATTACACGCGTCCTACCAGCATTCAGAAGCCTTGCACATTTCTCTATCATGTCCTCGGCTTGGACTACAAATAAACATTCACCCCCACCCTCGCGAGCCAGACGCTCGCATATGGCCGATGAGACATGTTCACCGATCCCGAGGGTAAATATCCTCAACGGCGTGTTTGGCCTGCAGCTTTTGACAGCCGTTGAGGCGATCTCGAATGGATCGAGGTACGTGGAGGACTGTCTCGTTATCAGTTCGAGTAGAGCCTCAGCCGACATCTGAGACGTACATTCTTGGCTCTGGACAAAACTTGTTTGACAACTCTACGACAGCGCGCAAACATGCCTTTTCGCTGATGGGAGTTCATTTCAACATGTATGTCTCCACCAGTAAGGACGAACATAGCAGTCGGGCGATCGCGATTGCGTGATGCTACAGCAAGCTGCAGGGCCTGCGCGATTTTTGTTCCGCCATGGTTGGCTTGCATGGCTTTTATATGCGAGATCTGCACAAGTCACTCAACAGCTGGTTGCTTTAGACGGTGACAGAAGATGATTACCCCATCCTGCATTGTCGCTTCGTTGAACGACACACTCGTCTCCCACATACTATCAACCTCGCCTGCGAAGCTGAAAATATTGAAAGTCGTATTTGAGTCTGGCAATAGGTGAAGGAGCATTTCCAGTGTGCGCTTAGCTGTCTCCAGCGAGGCTCCCCTCATGCTCGAACTGCGATCGATAATGAAAATGTACTCTTGCGAAGCGACGCGAGGCATCTCGAACTTCGGTACGGATGAGAGCCGCATGGCAATTGTATCATCACGCTGGGGATTGACTTCGGCGAAACACCGCGGCTCGCCGAGTCCAAGAGCGTGCACCGTCAACTCGAAGTCTCGATCTAGGAATGTCGTAGATAACCGGGTTGCAGTCATCCGTCGGTCAGAGTCTGTTCTGTCGGTGCACGTTTTGTGTCGCTGGAGAGAAATCTGGTGAGAAGGGCTGCGTATATCCTGTATCGCATCGCTAGTTCGAATGTCCACAGTGATTTGAACACGTTTCATTTCATTAGTTGTGGACGCGTCGAGCACGGCTGCTGGTGTTTCGCCGCATCGTTCAGCAATGGCCATTGGAAGTCGCAGATAGATATGATCTTGTCGTCCCTCATCAAAAAGATCCATTACAAACTGTTCGCTCATCAGACAGTATTCGTAACGAATTGAAAGTGCACTCACTGTCAATCTTGCTGTAAGTTTCTGCCGGGCAGGAATCGAGCCAACTGAAATCGTGAATACTGGATCAAGTTCAAGTCAGGGTTCGTCCAGGATCATCGTAATGTATTCGTCATACTGTTATCCGTTACCCATTCTACAAGTCTCTCGGTATTTCCAGCATACACTGCACCGCAGAGAGATTTTGCGGCTTCCGACTTCTCCTTTACAACACCGGTTATAACTTTGCGCCCGCCAGCATGTTCGAGCTCAAAAGCGCAAGTCGCAGCGCCCGCCGGGAGAGGGAACACGTACGTGGCCCTGCTTGTAGGGCTCTCTGATTTATTCTCGAAAACCTGAGAGAGTATGACTCTCGCAGAGACTACAAGGTAAGAAGCGTACTGATTAACGGTGAATTTGGATCAAGTTCCGAGTCCCACTCACCGTCGACCATCCATACTCTGACATCGACCTCTTGAAGTGACAACTGTAGAAGACGTTGGTCCAGTGAGCGATATACGATGCCTGCATATCTGTCCATAGTTGTACGGTGACGAAATAACGTGGAGATATCGCCAATCCATCCTTGGACGTCTTGTATTTAAATTTTGACACCCAGAACAACAGGTTTTTTCAGAAGTCATTTCACATTCTAGATGCGTGAACATGACTCCGAGTCGAGGTAATGAGACATGCGCCGACTAGTAATGTTGTGTCCAAGTTCCTTCGATGACATGCCAGATCAAAGAGCTTCTTCCAGGCAAGGAAATCTGAGTGCTTGATGAAGCGGGCCCTGCATCGTGTAGCCACCGAAGTCAGGGGAATCTCGCCATGCCGCAAGAAATGTACATCATCGGCTGTTTTTGGAGCGCTTCGGAAGGTTCGCAGGGAGCCCATATGACGATCAGTTAAAGATGTGCGCATGATGGTGGACCGGTCATGATATTGATAGCTAAGTGCTCGATATCAGGTGCAGTGAGTAACTTGGCCGGTGCAATCCTAAACATTACTTCTATCTGTATCAAGCATCTTTTGTAGATATTATCCGTCTAAATCGCTACGATACAATAGCACACATACCGTGACAGTGGCAAGTAAATGATACCACGGTGCTGCAATTTTGCTTGTAATGATGTAACGATTGAAGGCGATTCACGTCTCCTGTCTAAATCGTGTGTAGGAGGACATTAGAATACCACCAGGAGAGAACTGCGCAGACTGAGTCATTTCCGAGTCAAAGCGTTCTTTCTGTTACCTGTAGTGGTGACTAGACCACGGCGCAAACTCGTCGGACCTTTCCCCTAGTAGGGGATAGTCCCGAAATTAATATTCTTGGGGTCACGTGCGCGTATTGATGGCCCAGGCCCTGGAGCGCGTCGTGACTTGTCGGATAGGTTTCCTCCTTCTTCCTTTCAACAGCGCCGAGCCATGTACTCCATTCGAGAAAAAGAAAAAGATTCAGAGGTACTACGAGAAGCGCAGGGTTCGCTTGGACAAGAATGCCATGACATCGCCGAACAACCTCCTCTGGCAAGATGGCAGCCTGAGCTGCTATGGCACTACACATTCACGAGTTCAACATCCGACTTCCGAGAAGTGCTCGGCGTGCCAGAACCCACCAAGGGCAGTCGCGTACTCTACATTCTCGTATCCCGCAAGCTCAAGCCCATTACGGAGCTACACGGCGAAGAGCTTTTCGACGTGTGGCGTCAGTGTATCTTGTGTACGTATTTTCATCGCATTTACGAGGCTCTTCGTTGACACAGCATGCAGGCCATGTTACCCTGTGGAAGGAAGGGGTCTATCACCGGGACGTCAGCCCTGCAAACATGAAGTGGTACCGGAAAGACGGGAAGCGGATAGGCATTTCAAACGACTACGATTTCTCCTCGTTGGCGGATGACCTAGGTCCTCGGGGCAACGAACGCACGGGCACCGTGCCTTTCATGGCAATCGACTTTCTCACCGAAGAGGGTCAACGCGGCGAAGTGAAACATCTGTATCGCCATGATCTGGAGTCATTTATGTGGGTTTTCATCTGGGTTTGCTTGCGATACAGGGAGGCAGTCCTTTTGCCAACGGGATCGCGCCCTTTTGATAACTGGGCGACTATAAACGCTGTTGCATGTGGCAAGGAGAAGCATCATTTCCTAAGCAATTTGAAAGATCGCTACCTCTGGGGTGTTGATAAATATATGGGGCATTTCGTTGTGAAATGCGTCATTATGCTTCAACAAAATGACCAGCATCGAGTTTCTCGCTGCATTGAACTACTGGCCGAGCGAATCTTGAACCAAGGGGCAACCGAGCAGTCTAACGACGAGGAGCCGGAGGATATCGATGGTTTCCTGCAGATGTTTACAACCATGCCGAGCTGGGTAAAGCTCACTGAGCTCAGCAACCCTTCACAGTGATTTCTGTACTCCTACATACGGTTTTCTGCATATCGACACTTGTAACTTTCAGTTGTTTATAGCATCGACGATTTGGGCACCAGATGATCTAGGACCAACAGAAAGAACATGACTTATGGATACAGGCTGCCGCTGTGTAAGTATGGTAGGAATATCTCATGCAAGAACTACTCTTGAAACTTGAAGGGCTGTTTTTGGGTGCGTTATCACTTGTGGGACCTTGTACTGCAGCGCGAGATGATTGCCTGGCGCGTTAACTCACGCTTTACCCCCACAGTCAATTTCCAGCTCTCTGAACCATGCATGTGCAGAAACACGACTCTTCCTCGGTCACGGTTGTTGAGCCTACGCCTCTCTTGACCTCCTTCAAGTTTCTCCTTTAAGCACCACGATCAGGGCTACCTGAACCCATATGCCATATCCAACGCACCAGATGAGTTCCGCGCTCAGCTCTACGCCGAGAAACATGACCAGTTGGTTCCCTATCCCTCTCGCCGAATGCGCTTCCCCCTCCACGGTTATGACTTGCTGGACCATCCCGAGTACCACGATTCGGCGTTGCAACTACCTCCAGTTCCATACATGTGTGCGCATCTTAACTTATCCGTGTCTCATGATGCTGACTCCAGTGTCGATGATGCCATATCAGTCATTGAACATGTAGGTAACGACAAGCGAGCTTAGAATTGATGCTTGAAAAGCCCCGCTCAATTAATTTCTTACGTTGCATACAACACCTTCTTCAGCAAGCTTATCGAGGACAAGGGCGTCAGCACCACGCTGGAGGAATTCATATTCTGTAAGAAGAACAACTTTGTAGAGGGACGAGGTGTGTGTGTGACCAGCCGGTGATATCGGCGCCCTTCATTACTAGTAGGATATGGTGCGAGAGATTTGGCATCCCAGGCACGGTTGTTGAAGGTGAACGGCACGACGCATCTTCGTAAACATATCACTGACAGGCATCTCAGGGTCTCGCATCACCTAACGTGCACACTGCACGAGCTTGAGTTTTTCTGTCGCGTCTTTTTGAGCGTAGTGGCACGACTGCAGTGTAGGCAACAACTCGGCTTGCCTTACTTTCCCGGAATATAAAGACATTTATTGCACCATTCTCAGTCCGAGCAACCGAAAAACAAACATGCACCCTCAATTCTTGCCAAGACCATGCAAGATTCGAAATTCGCACCGAAGGAATTCAAGAAGCACTTTAAATTTTGGACGGTCTGATGAGTCCGAGTACGATGATACTATATGGCGCTACGCTGAACAGTGGACGATCGGTCTGTCACAGCCAGGCGAAATCGAACGTAAGATAGAACCAGGAAGAATGTATGTGGACCTGCACTCTCATCAGTACAAACATCACTTAGCCAATGACTGCAGTTCGATTTTGCTTATCGAATTCATCAAATGTAAGTCCGACATCACACAGGATACAAATCAATGTCCATTAACAGCTTAGGTGAATCCTGATTACACCGTGACAGCGCAGGGATCAAAAAGGGGTAACGATCGTGTGTAGGAGGATAAAAGAATACAAGGAGACAACTACGCAAACTGAGGCATGCATTTGTGTTCTGTTCTTTCTGTGGACTGTGGCACGAACGTCGGACTCCCTTCCCATCTGGGACCATAGATCCCGAAATCAAGATTCTTGGAAGGACTTCTGTTTGATTATGGGTGACATGGACTTCCTAGGGGCTCGGAGTAAGCATCATGATAAGATGCGTACAAAACGAGATTTATGTGTTAGATAGCGTAGTACTAGTCATTATTTTTTTCGTCCTATCAAGCTCTGACTACGAGAGACTATGTTTGATTTAGTAGGAATCAATTATGGGCAGACGTCGGGCAGAAGCTCAAATGAGTCAAAAAGGTCACGTGCCCGTGTTGGGAACGCGTCGTCGGAGTTGAAGCAAAGTGCATTTGCAACAGTGGCCCTGGTCCACAACTTGAACCGGCCAGCCCATCAGATTGATCGATGACGGTCCACCACGGTTGCGCCACATTCGCCGACCAGATATAAGGGAAGCAGGAAGCGGTCGTTCTTTCTTGTCCTCCTACTTTTCCCCACTTCACCAGCTGATATAGTACTGCTCACAACGCTCAGTCAGCGCAACAACAACGCCTAGCGTCATGTCCCCTGCCAGTGATGCGGGTGCATCGTCCACTCCGCTACGCCCAAATTCACAAGTTCATGATTCTGGCCAACTGAAATCTACCCCAAGCAGCCGCGGGGCTGCCACCATCAGCGAGAACATCGGCCTGGTCGGTGTGACGTGAGCATCTTTCTTATTTTATTGAGTAGCATCTAACATGTCATCAAGTGTTAGGAAACTCAGCCCGTGGATTGAACGGGACGTCGAGCAGACTAAGGAGTGCCCTGTAGATTTTATGCTACAAGCCCTCCTGCAGCGCGGTTCTTGCGCTCCCGATACCATACAGCCTAAGCTCCTGGATCAATGCCTCGAGGCAGTTCTTCCGGTTTGCAATGGAACTGTGTCCACTGCACTGGGAAATTCTTCGGAAATCGCGACAATCTTAAATGACTAGTGAGTGCTTCCTCTGAGTTCGCATGATCAGGTGTTTTGATGCTTACAACAACTATAAGCGGAAAGCCAGGAGTCGAAGACAATTTCTACAGCCCTTTCATAAAACTCACTAACATCGCGCTCGCTTGTCTTGCAGAGACCAAAGTCGACGGAATGTGTGATGCTGACCCCGATGTGGACATGATCTGTCAGAAGAACGATATGCCCATGCAACAAACCCATCAGACCCGGAAATCAACGCGGAAGCCCGACCTCGTCATGCTTCCTTTAAACAGCGCATGCGCTCCCTTCGAGACAAATAACAAGGACACTGCGAAGGGCGGCAAGAAGGACACAAAGAAGCGCGACAAGAAGGACGCTGAGAAGGGCGGTGAGAAGGACGCCAAGACGCGCGACGAGAAGCGCAAGGCTCACATGGACAAGAATGCCATGGAATCGCCGAAAAACCTCCCCTGGAAAGATATTCTCGCTTGCATCGAGGTCAAGAGAGACGAGAGAAAGAGAAAGGTCCAAATGACGGTGCCCAATGAGCATGTCGTGAAAGATTATGCGCCTACAACGCCAGAATATTTGTCAGTGAATCATCCCAAGGTTGAAGGCGCTTCGCAGACCCCGGCAACACAATCACTGTCCGTCGCCGCATGTATGTGATTGTATTCCGAATTTCGAGATCAAACTAAATCAGCCAAGCTGCAGTTCCACCTTCTGGTTCTACTACTGCGCGGCCTTCCAAGGGCAAGTCCAAGAAGCGCCCGTCCGAGGATACTTTGGAATCCGCCACGCGAAAAAAAAACAAGACAAACAGGAACGACGACCCGGATGCCGAAGTAGATGTGACCGTCCAGATGGGTCTCTACGCCGCCGAAATGTTTGCGGCCAATCTTGGAGTCAATCATATGCTGAATTTTATCGTCGTCGGTGGGTTCGTTCGTCTGTCGGGATAGGTCACGCGCTTACCACCGCTTTTTCAGACGATATCATCCGGATCTGGTATTATGATCGGCAAGGAATCATTCAATGCTCAGGCATCAACTTTCTTCAAGATCTCCCGCGATTCATGGTGTTGTTGTATGCTCTACAACGATTCACGCTCGGGGATTGGGGCCGAAACCAGGCCTTCCTGCCATCTGAGGAGAAACAGTGTCACGAACTCCACATCAAGGATGAAAATCTTGGAACGGTGGATCTGCAGCTTCAGACCAGCGACCCAGCAAGAGTTAGGCACTATGGGCTACAAGGACGCGCCACCAATGTGGTCCCTGTCACTAGCGACACGCTCGCGAAGAAACACCCGCACATCCCGAAAGATGAGATGGTAGCCAAGATCTTTTGGGGAGAGGCAAGTCGCACTAGCGAGCCGGAAATCTTGAAAAAGGTCAAGGAGATCGCTGAGGTGAACCCCGACGTAAAAGACCATATTCCTGAGTTGCTCTGGCACTACACGTTCACGAATCCGACATCGGCCATTCGAGAAGCGCTCGACATGCAAGAACCCAAGAAGGGCAGTCGCGTGCTCTACATTATCGTATTCCGCAAGCTTAAGCACATTACGGAACTACACGGCATTAAGTTTTTTGATGTGTGGCAGCAGTGTATCAAGTGTACGTATTCTCATTACAGCTATGAGGCTCTTCGTTGACACAGCATGCAGGCCATGTTGCTCTGTGGAAGGGAGGGGTGTATCACCGGGATGTCAGCCCTGGAAACCTGATGTGGTACGAGAAAGACGGGAAGCTCATAGGCGTTTTGAATGACTACGATCTGTCCTCGTTGGCGAGCGACCTAGGCCCTCGGGGCAACGAACGCACGGGCACAGTGCCCTTTATGGCACTCGAACTTCTCAAGGAAAAGGGTCAACGCGGCGAAGTCAAACATCTGTATCGCCACGATCTGGAGTCGTTTGTGTGGGTTTTCATCTGGGTTTGCTCCCGTTACAAGGAGGGAGTCCTGTTGAAAACAGAATCGCGCCCTTTGGATCAATGGGCGACTCTGGACGCTGTGGAATGTGGCTTGAAGAAGCTCGATTTGATAACCTACCCGGAAGAATACTACCCCTCAGGTATTGATACAGATATGGGGGATTTCTTTCTGGATTGTACCGATGAGCTTTATGTACACAATGGGGATCGTCGAGCTGCTCGCCGCATCCACCTAACGCAGCGAAGGGTAACCAAGCAATCCAACGATGAGGACCCGAAGGACGTTAGTTTTCTAGACAAGTTTACAACCATGCAAAGCTGGCTCAAGCTCACTGAGCGCAGCAACCCTTCACAGTGATTTCTGTATCCTACACACGGTGTTCTGTGTATCGACACTTGTAGCTTTTAGTTGTTTATAGCATCAACAATTTGGGGGCCAGATTATCTAGGACGAACAGAAGGAACATTACCTATGAATACAGGCCACTGCTAACTATTTGCCAGTGGTGGCAGCGATCTCAGACTCCCCGCTGCACAGCTGTCTCTGGCACTTTGTCGAAGTTAATGGTCTTTATTTGTAGTCCAAGTGACAAGTTACAATTATGTAAATGATCCCGCCAAATGCATGTATTCGGTTCCAAGGAGACGATATATATGCGGCGTGATTCCTTACTTGATGCAGAGTGGTGACAATCATGAGGCATAATTTTTATACTGTGTATCTGAAGTCAGGCGCTCGATCTCCCTACTCCCGTTATTCCTGGACTGAGTGTTTCACTTTCTCTCCCTATTCCACCGCGAGACGTTCGACAGCGTCGTGTTGCTCGTTTATCCTCTTGTAAATGAAGACGACGGTTGGTAACACGGACAATCCAACCCCGATGAACGTCAGCTCTAATCGCATTCAGTAAACAGAGAGGCGGTGTGAGCCATGTGAACAAAGTTGAACTTACGCCAAATAATATACCTCAGTGAGTCTTGTTGGTCCATAGATGGCGGATACTAGCACCACTGAAGTTTCCAATGCCGATATGAAGAACCATGCCGACTCCTCAAAGGGTCACCAATGTCGAAGTTGGAGCTCATCATTAGTGACAGTGGCATGTTGGGACAACGTGAGAGAATCTTGTCTAGTTGGTGCATCGAGGCCGAGAGGGAAGAAATCTGGCGGCGGCATACATAGGTGGCATTTGCATGGACAGACGGATGGAAAGCAAGTAAATACGTTGGATCGTGGGGTCGACATGAGAAGAAAAAATCTTAGAGAAGGGACAATGTATCCCGGAGGCGAGTATGAAAACACGATAGCCAGTGCTGCCAGCACCCATCAAAGCGCTGAGCTCTGTTGAGCATTGTTAGAGCTAATCGCAGAAGTCAGTTTGTGCCTGGAGGTGGCGCCAGGGTGACTTACGGAGGTATATAGAAGGTCGTGTTGGTGGTGGTGGGCAGTGAGAGACTGCTGCATTACTAGTAGATAATTAGTATGTGCAATTTTCGAGGTCTTGTGTGATGTCTGTAAACCTCCGGCGTGTCAGTGTTCGGACTTTGTTGCAGGAGGTGTTGAGGAACCGCAGGGTACATGAAACTCATTAGTGCGAAGATTTGGACGATGGGAGAACGACAAGAATGGATTAAGTACTCATGTACATATGTTTTAATTTTGAATCCTGACGAATTTTGGATTTTGCGCTAGCTTTTGCGGATATCTGGACTCAAAGTGTTGAGGTCAAGGCGACTCGATCTGACTCAAGACGATTGGATTTTAACCAAACCTAGGATCCCCCAGCCATTCTCCATACCTCCATACCGCCCTTGCCTCCGATGCCCACCACATCCTCAACCCAATCCACCGCAAGCACCTTCACCTCATCCCATGCCCTGAAACCGGTCACAGCACCTTTCGTGCCCCGCGGGTTCCATAGCAGTGCAACGCCATCATAGCCGCCAGTCACCACCTGCTGCTTCCCACTTTCAGATGTGGCGATGCAGGATGGAGTCACGGGGTGCATCATGATGCCTGTAGAGGACGAGACTTGAGAGGGATGAAACGCGGAGGTCGAAGATAGATACGGTGAGGTCCGTGGACGCAGCAAGGATGACGTTCCCGTTAGGTGTCTCAGCAAGATCGAGCATAGGCAGGTAGTATATATTGTAGTCGGTCCTCGATAGAAAAGAGTCGTCACCTCCCGCTATAGAGGTTTGGCCTCGGGTTTCCCTAGCAGTCCGCAGAATTTTGCGAATAGTCGAAGAGACGTAGGTGACCGTCATATGATGGAAATGCCTATGTTGATATATCATGAACATACTGGTGTGTTCGGCATGATATCGAAGATACCCAATCCTCATGTGGAAGCTCAGACATGCGCTGAGGAGGCAAAACACTCTCAAAGTATTCGATTTCCAAGGTATCTTCCTGCCATAACGTCAGTCTCTCTCTCAAATAACTTGGTCACTTCGCTCACCTCTGCAACACCCTTCTCTGCGCGCCACGTTGGCATGTTAATGCTTGAATTATTGATGTAGGAGCGCTTCTTTAGCTTCTCGCGGGAGCAAAGTCTACACTGTGGATAGTGATTCCAGTGAAAATCATTAGCCAAAATCAGCACCAAACGTAATTAAAAGCATAGCACAATGAGCTGAAAACGAAGTGCTGAAAGTTCCGAATTTTACTCTGAAATTACAGTTGAAAATCAGCTGAAATTGTGCTGCAGTCGTGCCAAAAGAAATGTTGCCCTGAAGTCAGATCACATGATGAATTTAACGTATTATATTTCGCATCTGGCAAGGATTGAACTTAGGACCGCAAGTACTCATACGTGCAGCATCGTTACCGCTGAGCCACACAACCATTTATATACTTCACAATAATAGCAATATATACCAACGCTTTGGTCACATGATAAAAATGCGAAAATTCCTAAGTCCGTCACAACTATCTCTATAGCACTACTACTCTCAGTTGTAATCCAAACAGAAAAGAGAGGAAGACAGGCATTTACAGAGCTGCGATCAATTTTGTACTGAAAGGATGTGCTGAATCGAGAGTGATGCGCTGAAATTCAGAATCAGCACTCCAATGAAATTAACTACATGCAGTTTCAGTGGAAGTTACTCTGAAACATTCAGCATCAGTGCATTTTCCAATGATTTTCATTAGAAGGCATCCTCTTTCTCTACCAGATCTCATCCCCATTATCATCCCCATACTACGCCGCTGGCACGACCATGAATTTCACTTTCCCATACTTTTTCTTCGAACTCGCTGTCAATATCATCGTCACGATCCTCATCGTACTCCGCCTATACCACTATCGTCTGCACATGAAGCAAGCATTACTAGGTCCTGAACATGTAGCAGAAAACACAAGTGTCGCATCCATGATCGTCGAGAGCGCAGCGATCTACTCTACGTTCTCCTTACTATTCCTAGTCCCATTCGCGACGAAAAGCCCTGTTGCGAATGTGTTCCTGCAAGTGCTTGGAGAGGCGCAAGTCAGTGGTTTCATCATCATCATGCTCATTCGAGTTATATTGACTTTGACTTTGCTATATACAGCTCATCGCCCCCCTTCTGATCATATTCCGCGAGGCACAAGGGAACGGCTGGATCAGTTCCGCATCATCCACAGCGTATTCCAGTAAAACCGCTGTCCGATCAGTACAACTCTCAGACATTGAGTTCACGTCTCAGCATATGCATAACGAGGGTCTCAAATCCACTGACCATAGAGATATCTCCACGACCGCAGAGGAAAGTCTTGGTGTCAATAATGGGGATCACGTTGTAGAAGTTCCGAGAACACACGAGAATGCATCTACTTTTCTGGAGGGGCCATGACGATGTATTTCACGTATGTTTTGGTATCACATAGAATGACATGTACCCACTACAGGACATTGTGTGTACTAGGGGTGTCATACCCGTTGAAGATGATCAATCTATATGACCAAGATCTGGTACTGCTCCGAATTTGATCCCTGTCCTGAACACTACTGTCTGTTTCGTACTTCAAACCCGAACACTGTCTCTGCAGATCGTAGAAATCGTCACGAACACACACGCCAAATTCCAAGGGTCAGCATGCGCACGCCTTGACAATCTGTCCATGTCCTGAATCGTCCTGAACCATCACACACATTACAAGAACACCCAAGAACTCATAACACTTCGTTCCCGTGCCCTTCAAGAGTCAACCATCCCTTTCACTTTCGTATCATTCATCCCCTGATCTCTTATGATCCTATATATGAAAAAAAAGGCTTAACAACAACGTATAAACACACGAAATAAGAAGGGACACGCACAAGCCCTCATCCTCGATAACAGTCGTATCTTTGACGCGCAGGTAGATCATGGGGAAGGAGAACAGCAGACCCGCGCCGACGAGACACCATGTCGAGATGAAGATGGTCATATAGCTAGAGTTAGAGTTGTCACATGAGGAACCTCATCAAATGATCGAGAACCTTCGAGAACTAAGTATACTTACGGAAGCTTTAATCCGTCCAAACGCCACCCGACAGCAGATCCGGCGGCCTGGATGGAATGGACTGTCAAACAAACGGCCAACGGTTAGATCTCACGTATCAAAAGAAAGCACAGATAAGACATACAAAAGCCTGAGTAAATTGCCAGCTTATTCGTATCATTGCTCATGGCGCCGATCAACCAGAAACACATCACATGCCACATCGCGTCCAGCAGGCCGTAGAATATCATGAGCCAGACATGCGCTGGGTACTGCGGGTCGTAAATGTCCATCTTCTGCACCGGGACGGAAGCGCGGGTGTACGTCCTAGATATATGACAGCGAATAAATGTCGGAAATGTTTACTCATGCCAGAAAATGCGAACCTTTGGTAATAATACGCCCAGATGTGCACGACGAATGTAATAACCAGGAGAATAGACCATCCCGCAAAAGCGCGCCCGCGCCTCCGCGACCACTTAGAATCCAAGACAAGTCCGAGCATCACACTCCCAAAGATCTGCGAAAGCCAGTGCACAAAATTGTTGAGCGATCTCGCGCGGATGTTAAACAGCGCTGCGTTGTAGTCGTTGAACTCTGCTCACGGACCGTCAGGTGCCCCAAGGTGGAGTGATTAGAAGGAGACTCACGCCAGGTGTAAAAGTAAGCGCTTGCACAGAACAACGGGAAAAGGAGGAGGATCGTGGGGTCTGTGAAGATTGCAACCCACAAGGCATAGAATTCGGACTTCCATGACGGATGACGAGGCATCACGACCCTCGTTCCGTCCGTGCGAATCATCTTGTCAGGATCGGCCATCAGCATAGGGATCGTGACGCCGACCAGGGTAAGAACCAGGATCCCGACCTGTGAGTTTATGAGTGGTAGTAGGCGGTGAAGCATTGCAGATGGAACTAACGTATGTACCGGTACCGACTTGGCGAGATGACAGTTCCATTAAGATGAAGGTGTGATAGTAAAGTGGACTCACCACCGTTGGACTAAAGCTTGAACGGTAAGCGCTAGTGGTAGTAATGCATCACAGTACTTACCGTTGAGTTGAAATTCTGCCCGAAGGACACGGAAGCTCCTACAACTGCTCCCAAGTTGAAAATGGCCCAAAAGATACTAATATAGATGCCCTTCTGTGCTTCGGTACAGTAGCTTAGCATCAACGAGCCTTCAGCGGTCCACAGGAATCCGGCGGTGACACCAAGAAGGGCACCCGAAGTAACGACAAACCAGCTGGCGCCAGGGTGTAGATTAATCGCCCTGAGTGACATATAAGGTGAGAGTAGGCCGGCCTAAAAAGAAAGGCACTTGCAGATAAGAACTGACATAGAGCGCATAGCCCATTGTTCCAAAGAGCAAAGTGAGCTTAGCACCGATCTTGTTGCAGACGGTTCTTCATATACTCAGTAAACCACCGGCCAGTGGTAAGAACGAGAATGAGCATTACCCGGAGAAGAACGCTGAGACCGCATATGTCGCGTACAGCGCACTATTCGCATTTGCCGAGGTCGTTGCGTTGACTTGGCCGCCTCCACCGAGTCCAGTGAGGGCGTTGAACATCCCAGGGCATAAGAAGCAGACAAACCCCAGCATGATGGTTTGTGTCATGGGGTGATAATAGACACCACGCAAGCCTTTGGGTCGTTCGTACACGGAGACAGAATCATGATCCTGGCTGTTGGAGCCGCTGCCTTTCTCCTCGAAAGAGCTGGACATGGTATAGGAAGGAAATGGTCCACGGTGGAGGCATAACGGGTGGGTGTGCTGCTTGTACTTATACACTGATACGCATGCAGACAGGGCACGAAACGTGCCCGCCTTGGCGTGATCGAATGACGATCTCTCACTTACTCCGCTCTATCATGGGAGAAATCAATGTAATAATAGGTTGCGTCTAAGTTCCTGTGAACGGAAGTCCGAACGATAAGGAGTCGAATATGAGAATATGTGCATTTTAAAGATATACCTAAATACGACGGGCACCCGCCCTTGACAGAAGTGGAGACCGTATTTTCGGGATTGTCTTCCTGAGTGGTGGCAACGAGAGAAGTGATTCGAGTTGTAGCGCTGCCTTCGATGCGGGAGCAAGAAGATTGGCCCAGAACTAGAGGTCGCGGAACGAGAGGCGCATGCACCGCCACGCGTCAGAATAAGGCGTTGGCTAATTAGAGCTCAAACGGCACTGTAATGAGGCACGTAAATGCAAAGCAGGGCATCGTTCAGATTGTCAACATATAGATGGCAATTGCGCAAGACATATTTCCCAAGCCTCGAAATCATTGCGGCCGCGGCATTTCGCTCTTGCTCTTCTCGACCACGAACACCTCTACATCCGACGCAAAGACTTAGTAACCGCGGAGAGACCCATCAGAGACGAAGAGTGACGTACAAGCCCTCGTCTTTGAGCAGTTGTATCTCAAATGCGCAGTTTCAAGATCATGGGGAAGGAGAATACAAGACCTAGACACCCGGGCCACATGGAGAGCCACTGTGGAGCAAGTCAGGGCGAAACTGTCATTGGTCGAGTTAACCCAGCAAGTTGCATCCAAGTTCCGCTTCTGGAAATCTCAGGCTAGCACAGATCGTTAGAGCTTCTGTCATACCAGACAAAGGCAAAGACGAAGCGTACAAAACCCTGCGTAAACAGCCCACTCACGAGACAAAATTTGCAGAAAGCATTTTGTAACAAGTAAGAGTCCGGAAGGTAGTAGCAACGACGAACGGGAGCGAATCTGATTCATTCAATGAAACATTAGTAATAGTACACAATACAACAACAAAGGTAAGTATCGTACAGACATGATTTAAATAATTGATTCAATATAGGTGTGACAGCGGAGGGAATGAAAGCAACCAGGATCATAAAAAATACAATAATACAGCGAACCGAGTTTCAAACAGTACTAGACACCGATGTGAACAAACACGATCTGCTGTTCAAGTGAAATCTTCTTGCGTAACGACTTCACAGCCTTGTGCAACGCTATCGCAGCGTGTGTGCAATCCAATCTCCTTGAACCATCAACCATATTGTGGTAAAAAGCAGACACAACCTGCCGCGCGACCTCGTCGTCGACAGACCACATGGAACCTATCACACTGCGAAATCCTGAGAATTGCATCGCCGCAGCGAGATGGATCGACTCGTCGAGACTCTTCTTATCGCCCACAGTGGTGTGGCAAGCCGATAAGAATGCAAACTCCGGGTTCTGCCAGTTGGATCGGATGATGTCCTTAATCATCAACGGTCCATCGCGCATCACAAAGGAAGACTCAAAGGGTTTTGCTCGATTTGGCATTCCATGACAGGCTAGATGGAGCCACTGGTTGTGGTTTAGTGCATCGAGTACGCCCTGGACGGTTGCGTTACTATCATCAAGCGATGTGAAGGAGACGACGGGTGCGAGACGCTGAGCAACAACAGCTAACTCAGGAGAGACACATCTGAGTTCCTTCCCTTTCTCTGGCTTCGCTTGACCAATGGCAACAAAATGTTGCGTGGACGTATCTTGAGAAACTCGTTGTCTCGCCCAAACGAGTGTCGCCAAAGTGGGAGTGTAGGAGGAAATGTAAATGTCAGACAAATTGTCTCTGTTCTTTTCGTACGGTCCTGCAGCATGGAGAGGAAGCAGCGTGAACTCGGCAGTGGGACACCACCAAATTCACGAGCCAGGCTGAACTTTGGATGCCCTAAGAGCTTGGACCACGGGGTCAACAATGCAATGCCAAAGCTTTCGAAGGATGCCCACAAGCTTGTGCTGATAATTGGAACAACCAAATTGCTCTGCGAGGGACTGAAACTCGGAGGACAACTCGGTGACTTCGGTCCGTGTGATATTGATTGGAACGTGGACAGGATCTTGGACGCTTAAGACAATCGATGCGTCACAGCCGTACTGACTGGCATTGACGATGATGACCGGACCTTCGTCAGCCGCTTTCTGGAGGTCATAAAACAATGGTGGACGGAGAAACCGAGAAAAGTCAGGCAGCATGCGGATGCGTGAGACGATATCATCCCATTGCATGGTCAATTGCTGGATTTTCGGAGACTGGTCTTCAGCAGACTGATCGAACGCGCTTCGAAGGCGAAAGCTCAGCTGCTTGAACTCTTCCGCCAAGGCTGCGCCGGTGTCACCGGATAGGGAAAGTTCATTGAGTGGTAAGCGGAAACGCGCCAACTGGGCCCAGAATACTGCACGGCCCCGTTCCATCAGTTCCACAGCAGTGATTAGTGCACCGTGACGAACACTGCACGAGAAAGCATCCATGGCGAGCGAAGAAGTGGCAATCCTGACGACATCGAAATTGCGTGAAGAAGACGACAAAAGAGTAACATGCTGATCTAGGAGATTCATCGCATTTTCATAAGCAACCGAAGCAAAGCCATGATTCGTTTCCTCTGCAGAGGTGGCCCATGACCTTGTGGCAGTAAGATCCCTTCGAGAGGCTGCATGAGACTGGGAAGAGAGTTGCCCAAACAGCCCATATGCTTCATCCAGGTCGGACAGGATGCCCTGCTGCTGGAATCTGTCAAGAAGGGTTAGCGCAAGATTAATGAGAGACATTGATCGGTGACGATGACCGGGTGGGTGGAGGAGGAGTGCAGCTCGATGGAGCTCGATGGCCTCATCAAGGTCAGACGGGACGCCCCGCTGCTGGAATCTGTCTCGAAGACAGACTGCTAGGTTGTGAAGAGATACCGATCGATGAGAATGACCGCGGGACGGACGAGCAGTGCAGATCGATAAAGTTCAACGGCCTCATCAAGGTCAGACGGGGCGCCCCGCTGCTGGAATCTGTTTCGAAGGCAGTCGGCGAGATTGTTAAGAGACAAGGATCGATAAGAATGACCGGGGGGCTCAAGGAGTAGTGCATCCCGATGGAGCTCAATGGCCTCATCAAGGTCAGACGGAACGACCCGCTGCTGGAATTTGTTTTTAAGGCAGCAGGCAAGATTGTTAAGAGACGAGGATCGATGAGAATGGCCGGGAGGACGGAGGAACAGTGCAGCTCGATTAAGCTCAATAGCTTCATCAAGGTCAGACAGGGCGCCCTGCTGCTCAAATCTTCTTTGAAGGTTATTGGAAAGATTATTAAGAGACGAGGATCGAAGAGGGTGACTGGGGGGACGGAGGAGCAATGCGGCTCGATGAAGCTTAATGGCCTCATCAAGATCAGACAGGACGCCCTGCTGCTCGAATCTGTTTTGAAGGCAGTCGGCAAGATTGTTGAGAGACGAGAATCGATGAGAATGACCGGGGGGATGGAGAAGCAGTGCAGCTCGATTAAGCTCAATGGCCTCATCAAGGTCAGACAGGATGCCCCGCTGTTCGAATCTCTTTTCAAGGAAGACGGCAAGATTGTTAAGAAAGGAGGATCGATGAGGATGACCGGGTGGATGGAGGAGCAGTGCAGCTCGAAGAAGATTAATGACCCCATCAAAGCCAGACGGGGAGACAAGCTGCACAAATCTAAGATTAATAATTTAAGGGAGATGGCAATGTGGTTGGGAGACGTAACATGATGGTAATGGTCGGGTGGACAGCTTTGAAAGTCTGCTCGGCACTCCTCCACATTGCATGCCATGCTATCAAATTATACGCGGACCAAACGAGGACTGTCAAAAGCGCAGGAAGCAGGATGAAGCAGAAGAGCGGCTGTGTATGCCATACATGATGACCTAAGTAGGGCACGTGACGTGACGTCAGGACTCGGAGGCTTGCGCATTGCGCATGTTGTTGACGCGACCTGTCTGTCTGCGATAGAAATTTTCTTTCTCGGAGATCAGTAAGTAGAGGCAACTCTTACATAAACTGATCTCGTGCCACATCTGACAGGCACGGAGTCAGTCCCAGCTCATCAACAAAGCACTCGACCTCCCCAAGCCTATTCCATTCGACTTCCTTGTCCATGGCGAGATCCTTAGAACTTCTAATAGAACGTCTTTATGTGAATGGCGCGCAGACAAGGGTGTTGGAGAGGTGAGCGAAGTCACCAAGTTATTTGACAGAGAGACTGACGTTGTGGCAGGAAGGCACTTTGTGGAAGCTATGTCATGTCTTTATTTGCAGTCCAAGTGACAAGTTACAGCGAAATAATCCACCAGATGTACATATTCGATTCAAAGAAGACAATAAAGGTGATTCCTTTTTGCAGAGTCGTATCCTCGTACTAGGTCGTGGCAAAAAATGAGACATAGTTTTGTTACCTTTTATAACGTGTATCTGAAGTCAGGCGCACGATCTCCCAACTCCCGTAATTCCTGGACCGAGTATTTCACTTTCTCTCCCCGCTCTGTTGCGAGACGTTCGGCGGTGTCGCGTTGCGCGTTGATCCTCTTGTAAATGAACACGACAGTTGGTAACAAGGTCAATCCAATCCCGACGAACATCAGCTCTAATCCATCTGGAAAAACAGAGAGTTAGGCGGTGCGAGTCATGTGAACGAAGTTGAACTTACGCCCAAGAATAAATCGAGGTGAGTCTTGCGATCTATAGACCACGGATGAAATGGCACCACTGAAGTTTCCAATGCCAATATGGAGGGCCATGCCAACGCCTCTCTTGTACTGGCCAGAAAGATTGTTTCCGAGCCTTCAGCACCTATATGTAAGCCTTGGTCATGGCGCAGCTGTGCATGGCATACCAAGAAACCACGCCAGGAAACGCTGCATAGCTTCCCATGACAATGAAGAAAGTTCCAAAGTACTTGACACCACTCGGTGCGGTGGATATATTTATCGAAAAGCCGATCAGACACATAGTAAGGCCGGCAAGAATGAAAGGGGATCGCATCTTCAACTTGTCAGAGTAGTGTGCAAAAACGAGCAATGTGAGAGCTAAATAGAACAGATTAATGTGTGAGACTGCTGATGGGTAAGGAAACTGACTTGCGGCGACATATGGTGGTATGGTGAGCAGCTGGCTGACTGGCGTGTTATATCCGAAGCTGAATGGAATTAAATAAACGGATCACAGTCAGCTTGCGACGACAGACCTTTTGATGATCGTTCTGGCACAAATAATGTTAAGCACCATCTCAAAGTTGTAGCAATCGACTTACGGGAGAAACAGGGTGATGCCATACACTGAGAGTGCCTCAGATCAGCTTCTGCCGTCTCTAAGTAGCAAAGGTGTTTCACTTACAAGGTCCGACGATTGACATATAAATGAGGATATGAACCCAGACCTGACAAGTTGGTTGGGGCACGAAGGTGACGAAGCTCAAAACAATGAGCATCTTACCTGCCAGTCTTTGAACGCAGCCCAGATGTACCTGGCCGCGAACCTCTCTTCCTCGCCGACTGACGAATTATCGTATTCTGAAAGAAATCTGAATCACATCTGCCCTCTCAGAATTTATCACTTGACTTACTTTTCCTCCAAACAACAAAATCACGCTCTTCCGGGGTCAAGAACTTAGCTGTGTGAGGAAAGTCTACCAGTACTGAGCGATTATATACCTATCAGTCCGCTGTGTGATCGAATGCGTGCTGTACTCGCCAAAGAAAGCAACGATGGCTACAACTATCGTTGCAAGGCCTTCAAGCAACTGCACGCAAGTTTTGAGCATAATCTCGGACATCGATCATAAAGGAACTCACGAAGATCCAAGACCATGCTTCGAGTCCCTCCATGCCACCCATGTAACTGATCCCAAAGGCTAGTAAGCCGGAGAAAGCGCCTAAAATTTATTTCGCTATTGAAACCCCGATGACGTAGCAGGACAACAAACCTGCAACTGTTGCAGCACCGAAAAACAATCCAACTATCGGGGCACCTCAGCATCGCAAACAGACGAGCAAATGCGGGATACCTTACTTCGATATTGTAACATGTGTCTCGGATACCACAAAGTAAGGCTGCGGACTCATCAGCGATATTCCGCAAAAAGTTCTTTAGTTACGCTCACTAATAAACAACACCAGGGAACAAACCTGCCTCAGCAACGCCAAGACAGACTCGCACTCCAACTAGCTGAGGGTATCTGGCACCCAATATCAATATCAGGTCAAAATTATGGCGAGAATTTGCCAAATCATACGTCTTCACGAAAGCCATGAGTGTCCTGGCAATAGATTTGCTCAGCGATTGTAGACCGTATAAAGATTCAATGACGCACATAATTATCCCCCATGCCAACTACCGTGCGTCAGATAAATTCAGCAGCCGTCATGCAAGGCTTACATTGATTCCTGGAAGCCATCTACAAAAAGAGTCAGCCAAACAACACTCCACTGTTAACATGAATAACATGAACACTTGCCTGGATGGGCGGAATGCTTTAAGAACCAGGCTTGAGGTTGCAGTCAGTTCAGATAACCGGAAAAATCGGGCAAACAAACTTAGTGGGAGGTTCAAACAGGCAGTATGGCTTTATGTTTTGCTTTAAAAAATACAATGTCTGTCAGAATAATGACGCCTACTATGATAAACATTATCTGCATCCAGCCGCAAGATTAACAAATTTGTCAACAAAAACCACACGCCACGTACCAAAACAACGTTGAATTTGTTTCCTGTGAGGTCCAGCTGAGTCTCGAGACCCTCCAACTTCGCGTTGCCGATGTTACCTGTTGAAGAGTAAGGAACACATCCGACGTGAAGTGATACAATCACCGCGCACCTCTGTCAAGGAAAGCCAGAAGGTACATCAAACTAAGGATAGGCATCAACCGCAAGTCAATCTTTCTCCACAGTTTCTTCTCCTGTTCCGGTGTCAGCACTGGGACATTTTTGAGGTCCAGAACCGAGTCCTCCAGCCGCTCCTCATCATGCTGTTTGTGTTCAGGGCTGATAGAATTCGCGCGATCAGCAAGAACAGTGTTCACAACGTAAGTCATAGCAAAACAGAGGGAAGGAGGGAAGAAATGATTTCCTGATAGATGCGTGATTGGGGCTTTTGAAGGTTCACGGCGAGCTCTATGGTTCAATCCTAAACGTTGATAGGAATCAGTTGATCGGCATTACGGTACTGATGCCTGATTCTATAATTGTATTTGGCTGAACCCCAGATCGGCAAGTATGGGGACATTCCATGAGATATCGCAGTGTTCAGACATCAATGTTTACGATCTGCCCCTGAAATGGACGGGCAACCTGTGGACTCTTATGGGTCCCAGGAACTACGAAGGTCGGTTCCACTGGCGCGCTTGGGGATAATTGGTCGTGCCTTTCGATGAACTATCGCTATGTCATGACGCAAGACATCAGAACTTTGTCCCAAGGGGGATGTCCGTCAACCATGGGGTGTTGAATTGAATTAATCGATGGTTCTGGCCGTCGCATCTGCGCCACCACCCTCGATCGTCAGAAAATGGATTGATCATTAGACGTTGCTATACCGACATACCCTTTCATGCTCGGACCTCACTTGTCAACCCGCTAATTCGTCAGATAAGTGTGGCCAGCAAGAATTCATTTCCACAGTGCTTTCCTGTCAGCCGGCAAGAACTGAGAATCGTTCAGAAGGTCGTACTTAGCTTCACATGTCAATCACGCCTCGTGGAGTTGATGCGCGCAGTACTGACATACGCGAGGACAGAAGATGCGGATCGTCGCATACAAACTGACGCTCGTGATGCGCATAAATGACTTACCACCCAGAGTAGATACCCCGTGGCCTGCTCAGACCGTTACGAGACCGGGTAAACCATTAATGTATTAATGCTGTGCCAACTGCCAACTCAGGCTGAGGTTGCAAGCACCAGTACGACTCAGAGAGACCTTGTTGAAGAAAGTGGTGAAAGCACCAAGAGATGCGCGAAGAAAGGACTCGTGATTCAAAATTTTAACAGTAAGTCACCGCTGCAGTTGTTCGGGAGTCACCGAACCCACACAATTGTCACCTCGTGGGACAACTACTTACATGTACGATAGAGTCTTCGGAACCTTTGGTTCTGTCAGGGTCACGTGCGCGTATTGATGGGAACGCGTCGTCGGAGTTGAACTGCACTTGGAACAATATTAGGTCCTCGTCATTCTTCAATAGCGCATGAGCTCCGTTCGAGAAAAAGGACAATATTCAGAAGTACGACGAGGAGCGCGACGAGAAGCTCAAGGCTCGCATGCACAAGAATGACATGGTCTCTCCGAACAACATTCTCTGCCAGTGGCAAGATATTGTAGCTTGCATCGAGTTCAAGAGAAAGCAACCTGCGTCCGACACGGCACGTAAGTGGTTGTATTTCGAATGCCGAGATCAAACTAAATCGACCAAGCTACAGTTCTATCTTCCCGCCTTACTGCTGCCCAGCTGCAGGTCCAGCTCCAAGCACAAGGCCAGGGATACTTTGGAATCGCCGCGAAAAAAACCGAGAGCAAGCCCGACGGCACGGACACCGACCTAGATGTGACCATCCAGAAGGGCCTCTATGCCGCCGAATTTTTTGCGGCCAAGGTTGAGGAAATCGCTAAGGTGCACGCTACCTCAAAAGACGATACTCCTGAGCTGCTCTGGCACCACACGCTCACGACTCCGACATTCGATATCCGGGAAGCACTCAGCGTGCAAGAACCCACCAAGGGCAGTCGCGTACTCTACATCCTCGAATCCCGCAAGCTTCAGCCCATTACGGGACTACACGGCATAAAGTTTTTTGATGCGTGGCAGCAGTGTATCAAGTGTACGTATTCTCATTGCATTTATGGGGCTCTTCGTTGACACAGCATGCAGGTCATGTTGCTCTGTGGAAGGGAGGGGTGTATCACCGGGATGTCAGCCCTGGAAACATGATGTGGTACGAGAAAGACGGGAAGCTCATAGGCGTTTTGAACGACTACGATCTGTCCTCGTTGGCGAGTGACCGAGGCCCTCGGGGCAACGAACGCACGGGCACCATCCCATTTATGGCAATCGACCTTCTCACCGCAAAGGGCCAACGCGGCGAAGTCAAACATATGTATCGCTACGATATGGAATCATTTGTGTGGGTTTTCATCTGGGTTTGCTTGCGTTACAGGGAGGGAGTCCTTCTGGAAACGGGATCGCGCCCTTTGGATAAATGGGCGACCAAGAGCGCCGTGGAATGTGGTCAGATGAAGCACTGGTTCCTGAGGGAATTGGAAAATTACTACCCCACAGACATTGAGAAACATATGAGGTTTTTCATCGTGGATTGTGTCGAGATACTTCTAGAGGATTCCAAGGATCGAACTTCTCGCCGCAACCTGCTACTGAAGTCAGAGGCAACTAAGCAGTCCGACGATGAGGGGCCGGAGGATATCGATGGTTTTCTATCCAAGTTTACATCCATGTCGACCTGGAAGGACCTCATTAAGCTCATCAACTCTTCACAGTGATTTCTGTAGTCCTACATGCGGTTTTCTGTACTCTTACATGTGGTTTTCTGTCAATCGATACTGGTACCTTACAGTTGTTTATATCATCGACGATTTTGGGACCAGATGATCTAGGACTAAAAGAAAAACCATCACCTAGCTATGGATACGGGCCGCCGCTACATAAACTTGATATGTGTTTAGGTGCAGCGCGGGATGATCGATCGACGACCAAGGGTTGGCCGGTTAGGAACCTAGCGCGTCAGCGATAGCTCAAATAGTAGTACAGTGCAAGTCTTGTCGTGTACAGTAGAAATGCTCATAATGCATACTATCTCTGGCCCGGTGTTGCAAAATGGCCCGGAGTTGCAAACCGCGACGTAGCACACTCATATTTCACTCATTTCCTTAGCACAATGATTCTAGGGGATGTTTGATCCATAGCTTACTGTACATATTTTTTATTCTACGAAAAATGAACTAGAAGTGCTTGCGGCAGCGAAATACTGCTGAGAATGTGCACTGTCCACGCCAATCCATCGGAGGGAAGCCACCACATGCACTAAAAAAATCAGGAATTTCACTAGTGGTTTCCCATTGCCTTCTAATATCACTCTAATTTTTTCCGACGTGATAAGTAAGTGGTGTTGAGAGACACAAATGTTGTACCATTGAGATGCAAGACGTGACAGGAGGTGTGAGATTGTGTTCGGAGTCATAAATCGCGGCTCGGCAACTCGGCCAATACTTACACAATTCGGGACCCATTCTCGCTCAATTGTGCTTGACGGCATCGGAGAGTAAAAGCGGCTGTGTGACATAGTGTGATGCGACGACTTCTTTGCGGGTGAGAAATTTTGCAACTCTGTGCTCAAACACTGTTTCGCACCGGCTTCTCTCTGGCAACGTAGCATTGACATATTTCTCTATTTTTTTTCATAGCATTACAGTACGTACTGAATCCTACCTGCTCGTGTTTTTGGCTCATTTTAACGTTGTGTAGTTGTTGTGTTATAAAAAACGGGTCAAAAGTTTTGCAACACCGGGCCAGAGATAGTAATGCATAATAAATTATAAGAAATGAAAGAGACATGTTTGCCCATATACCACCACTATGCATTATGACCAGAGCATGATGCACGACATTTCTACCAAGGTGCATAATTTTATATGTCAAAAGTCGAATTGTTATCAATTTCTTTGTCATTTTTTTCATTATTCATTATGACCATTTCTACTGTAATTTGAAATTCTGCCACGATCTTACTCGGTTGTAGATGGAACTGCACTCTCATCATTACAAACATCACTTGGCCAATGACTGCAGTTCGATTTTGCTTGTCGAATTTATCAGAACAGCTCTTCTCTGTGGTTGTCAGCGTTGGATTCTGCTTCTAAAGAGAAATTGTGGACTACTGGCAAGGCTGGCGAGAACTGCGTTTAGATGAGGCATGCAACAAATACCGTGCCTGCGGTAAGTCATCTAACAGTAAAGGATCATGCACATGATTTAGATAATTGTTTGTTCGTTTTGTTAGGGTCACGTGCCACGCGTATTGATGGCTCAGGCCCCATGGCCAGAAGTTCAGAACGCGTCGTCACTGCTAGTACTGACTTGTCGCACTTGCAACGATAGGTCCTCGTCATTCATCCTTTCAACAGCGCCGCGGCATGCACTCCATTCGAGAAAAAGAAAAAGATCCAGAAGTACGACGAGAAGCGCAAGGTTCGCATGGACAAGAATGCCATGGCATCGCCGAACAGCCTCCTCTGGCTAGATGGCTGCCTGAGCTGCTCTGGCACTACACGTTCACGGGTCCAACATCTGGCTTCCGAGAAGCGCCCGGCATGCCAGAACCCACCAAGGGCAGTCGCATGCTCTACATTTTCGTATCCCGCAAGCTCAAGCCCATTACGGAGCTACACGGCGAAGAGCTCTTTGACGTCTGGCGTCAGTGTATCTCGTGTACGTATTTTCATCGCATTTACGAGGCTTTTCGTTGACACAGCATGCAGGCCATCTTACTTTGTGGAAGGAAGGAGTATATCACCGAGATGTGAGCCCTACAAACATGATGTGGTACTGGAAAGACGGGAAGCGGATAGGCGTTTCAAACGACTACGATTTCTCCTCGTTGGCGGATGACCTAGGTCCTCGGGGCAACGAACGCACGGGCACCGTGCCTTTTATGGCAATCGACCTTCTCCCCGAAAAGGGTCAAAGTGGCGAAGTCAAACATATGTATCGCCACGATCTAGAATCATTTGTGTGGGTTTTCATCTGGGTTTGCTTGCGTTACAGGGAGGGAGTCCTGTTGCCAACGGGATTGCGCCCTTTGGATAAATGGGCGACTCTGGACGCTGTGGCATGTGGCATGGACAAGCACTATTTCCTAACCTACCCGCAAAATTACTACCCCTTGGACATTGATGACGATATGGGGGATTTCCTTTTTGATTGTATCGATGTGCTTCGACACCATGGCAATCGTCGAGCTGTTCGCCGCATCAAGCTATTAAAGCGAAGGGCAATGAAGCAGTCCAATGACGAGGAGCCGGAGGATATCGATGATTCTCTAGATATATTTACAATCATGCCGAGCTGGGCCAATCTCATTAAGCTTGGCAACCCTTCACAATAATTTCTGTACTCCTACATACAGTTTTCTGCGTATCGACACTTGTAGCTTTTAGTTGTTTATAGCATCAACGATTTGGGGACCAGGTGATCTAGGACCAACAGAGGGAATATCACCTATGAATACAGGCCACTGCTAACTAGTTGCCAGCGGTGGCAGCGATCTCAAACTCCCGTTGCGCAGCTACCTCTGGCACTTCATCGAAGTTAATGGTCTTTATTTGCAGTCCATTGTGAAGGATCATGCCAACGCCTCAAAGGGTCACCATTGTCGAAGTTGAAGTTCATCATTAGTGACAGTGGCATGTTGGGACAACGTGGGGGAGTCTTGTCTAGCTGGTGCATGCGGTTGGACACGAGTTTAGGGAGGATGGGTCGAGGCCGAGAGGGAAGAAATCTGGCGGCGGCATACATAGGCGGTATTTGCATGGGTGATGGAAAGCAAGTAAATGTGTTGGATCGTAGGGTCGACACGAGAAGAAGAAACATAAAATTACCCTAGAGAAGGGACAATGTATCCCGGAGGCGAGTGTGAAAACACGATAGCCAGTGCTGCCAGCACCCATCAAAGCGCTGAGCTCTGTTGAGCATTGTTAGAGCTGATCGTGGAAGTCAGTTTGTGCCTGGAGGTGGCGCCAGGGTAACTTGCGGAGGTATATAGAAGGTCGTATTGGTGGTAGTGGGCAGTGAGAAACTGCTGGATTGCTAGTAGAAAATTAGTCTGTGCAATTTTCGAGGTCTTGTGTGATATCTGTAAAGCTCTGTCAATGTTGGACTTTGTTGCAGGAGGTATTGAGGAACCGCAGGGTACATGAAACTCATTAGTGCGAAGATTTGGACGATGGGAGAACAGCAAGAATGGATTAAGTACTCATGTACATATGTTTTAATTTTGAATCCTGACGAATTTCGGATCTTGCGCTAGCTTTTGCGGATATCTGGACTCAAGGTGCCAAGGTCAAGGCAACTCGATCTGACTCAAGACGATTGGATTTTAACCAAACCTAGGATCCCCCAGCGATTCTCCATACCTCCATGCCGCCCTCGCCCCCGATGCCCACCACATCCCCAACCCAATCCACTGCAAGTACCTTCATCCCATCCCACACCCTGAAACTGGTCACAGTGCCTTTCGTGCTCCGCAGGTCCCATAGCCGTGCAATGCCATCATAACCGCCAGTCACCACCTGCTGCTTCCCACTTTCAGATGTGGCGATGCAGGATGGAGTCGCGGGGTGCATCATGATACCTGTGGAGGACGAGAGGGATGAAACACGGAGGTCGAAGATAGATACGGTGTGGTCTGTGGATGCAGCAAGGACGATGTTCCCATCAGGTGTTTCAGCGAGATCGAGCATTGGACGCTCGGGAACGTTCTGGTGCGGCGATATACATTCAGTTAGGTTCAGACAATGTGAAATAAGACTCACAATAGTATTTATACACACACCACTCTCAACATCCCACGTTCGCACCGTCGAGTCAAACCCACAGCTGTACGCCTTACCTTTTGCAGGTTCCCCAGCAGCAAATAATGCTTTTGATACGCGTGCGGTGTGCGATTTTAGCACTGCTATTGGTGCTTTCCGTTTTATGCTTGCGGGGGCGGTCTTACGCCGCTTTTTTCTGTCATCGCCACGCTCTAAATTTACTTGATGGTCATCAGGTATTGAGGTGTCCCAGACACCGATAAGGCCGTCCCATGAAGATGTAAAGAGGTGCGAACCAGATGCATCAGTAGATATGGAGGATAGTGGGCTGGTGTGTAGATGAAGAGAAGCGACGGTGGACGCGCTGGGACCGTTTGAGCTTAGAGATATGCGCGTAAGGCACGCAGTGAGGTCATGCGACGAACTTGCTAGAATGTAAGACTCGTCTGATGACGAGGATGGCAGGACACAGACTCAAGTGATGGGTGCTTGGTGCACAGAGGCGTCGATAACAGAATTTTGCGAATAGTCGAAGAGACGTAGGTGACCGTCATATGATGCTGTCACGAAATGCCTATGGTGGAATTTAAGGTTTAGCGTCTAGATCGCGAAGTGATATACGCTGGTGGAACACACTGATGTATCTGGCATGATACCGAAGATACCAAATCCTCGTGTGGAAGCTCAGGCATGCGCTGAGGAGGCATAACACTCTCAAAGTATTCAATTTCCAAGGTATCTTCCTGCCATAACGTCAGTCACTCTCTCAAACAACTTAGTCACTTCGCTCACCTCTCCAACACCCTTCTCTGCGCGCCATTCCCATAAAGACGTTCTAAGCATCTCGCCATGGACAAGGAAGTCGAATGGAATAGGCTTGGGGAGGTCGAGTGCTTTGTTGATGAGCTGGGAGAGCTGGTAGCGTTTCCAGTCCAAGGGGATCATGAATTTTTGGGAGGGGAATGCATAGGGCGCCTGGGTCGTGAATACGACAGGGTGCGAGAGCGCTGTGGATGACGATGACGACGCCATGGTTGACGGTGTGCTCGATACGCCGGTACGCTCGTTCAATGTAACCACCAAATCAGGACTCAGATATTTTCTGTGACAGTGTCACTGCATGTCACACTCATCGGCTTTACCGTCACGGTTCTCAACTTGTGACATATATTATATTGGTTCTATCATCGGTCATGTGTTTCGCGTTGGCTGCTGCCGTTGCCCGTATATTCAAACAAGCCACTGACATGCTGACTCGGAATGCGCTTCAGACGGTCCGCAAGAAAATTCAAATCCTCACCTTATCTATTCGATAGGCACATCGTTCAAGTGCGACCTGATCCCTTATCATTGTCTGGGCGCACATTTGTGCGGGTCGTTCGGCGCGCGACTTCCATTGACCTATTATTATATAGCTCAAACTATGATAGAACAGAGAAGGTGAGAATTCGCAGTTCCGCGGTTCAACACTCGCCCTCGCGAGCACGTCCCGTGCCCTGTCTGCCAGACAGCATATAAGTAGAATCACATCTACGCGTTATGTCTTCACCGTGGACTGTTTCCTCGTCTCTGTATCATGTCCAGTTCTGCTCACGAGAAAGGCAGCGGCTCCAACGACCATGATAATGATTCTGTCTCCATTTACGAACGACCAAAGGGCTTGCGTGGTGTCTACTACCACCCCATAACGCAAATAGTCATGCTTGCCTTTGTCTGCTTCTTATGCCCTGGGATGTTCAACGCCCTCACTGGACTCGGCGGAGGCGGCCAGGTCAACCCAACGACTTCTGCGAATTCGACTTGTGCTGTGTACGCGACATATGCGTTCTTCGCGTTCTTCTCCGGGTAAATAGATTCTCACCCCCATGATCATCCAGTGGTTAACTGACTGTGCGAAGAACTGTCAACAACAAGATCGGCGCTAAGCGTACCTTGCTTTTTGGAACATTGGGCTATGCGCTCTACGTCGGTTCTTATCTGCAAGTATTTTTCTTTTTCTGTTTGACATCCGTCCTTATGGACAACCCAGCGCAATAAATATCCACCCTGGTGCTGGCTGGTTTGTCGTTACCTCGGGTGCCATTCTCGGCGTTACCGCCGCGTTCCTGTGGACCGCTCAAGGCGCAATGATGCTAAGCTACTGCACTGAAGCACAGAAGGGCATATTTATCAGTATCTTCTGGGCCATTTTCAACTTGGGGGCAGTGGTAGGAGCTACCGTATCCTTCGGGCAGAATATCCACTCAACGGTATGTACCGCGGTCTATTATTCAAGACAGCGCTTACGTTACAGCTTCAGAACAATAGCGGTAAGTCTACTCCCCCTCGTGTCTTCATCTTAATCCAACTCGTCAACCTACCAAGTCAGCAATGGAACATATGTTCGTCCCACAACACTTCGCCGCCACTGTCACTCATCATGATTGCTGCACAGGTCGGAATCCTGGTTCTTACTATTCTCGGCGTAACGATCCCCCTGCTGATGGCCGATCCCGACAAGATGATCCGCACGGACGGTACGAGGGTCGTGATGCCTCGTCATCCGTCATGGAAGTCCGAATTTTATGGTTTGTGGGTTGCGATCATCACAGACCCCATGATCCTCCTGCTCTTTCCGATGTTCTTTGCGAGTAATTACTTCTACACCTGGCGTGCGTCTCTTTTAATTTCCATTACCTGAGCGCTTGACCTACCGTGAGCAGAGTTCAACGATTATAACTCGGCACTTTTCGACATCCGCGCGAGATCGCTAAATAATTTTATGTACTGGCTTTCGCAGATCGTTGGCAGCGGAATCATTGGAGTCATCTTAGACTCCAAGAAGCTGCGGAGACGTGTGCGCGCGTTTACTGGGTGGAGTATTCTATTGGTGATGACATTCGTGGTGCACGTCTGGGCTTATAACTATCAACGGTTCGCATTCTCCACTATAGATAAACCTTGCCGTCAATTCTTGACGATCTTGTATCCAGGACGTATACCCGCGCCACCGTCCCACCAGACTCGCAGAAGATGGATATTTACGACCCGCAGTACCTGGCACATGTCTGGCTTATGATATTCTATGGACTGCTGGACGCAATGTGGCAGACGACGAGCTTCTGGCTCATCGGAGCCATGAGTAATGATACGAACAAGCTGGCTATTTACTCCGGGTTTTGTACGCCGGGTCTTTGCCTTGGCCTAGCAAGCGAGTGCTAACTATTCTTGTTTTACAGACCACTCCATCCAGAGTGCTGGAGCTGCTGGTGTGTGGCGGATGGACGCAATTAGGCTTCCGTAAGTCTTTGCCACTTGACCAATTGACCACCTTCGAAAGGTTGATTTCGGTCTAACAGCTACATGAATATATTCCTCTCTACGTGGTGTCTGGTCGTCGCTGGTCTTGTGTTCTCTTTCCCGATGATCTGCCTGCGCATCAAGGATACAACTGTACTCGAAGACGAAGGCTTGTACGTGACTCTCCTCCTTCGTGCGTCTGTTTACGGTAGCTAAATATGTGTGTCGTATGCAGGATGCAGAGAGATCAGGAGATAAATGACACTAAGGCGAAAGAGATGATTGAGAGCGGGAACGATATGCCATGAGCGCTTTGAAATATGACATGTATTCATGGCTATTCAGAAAAGTCAAGCAGAATATCAGGCTGTGCATGTGCAGATCTTGGAATCCACCCAGCAGCGTTCGATCTTGACCCGATTATTGGTTTAATTTGGAATACGGTTGATACCCTACCGTTTCAGTAGTGATAAACGAAATATGCCAAGGACAGAACGGCTATCCTCATGCGTCTATGGTCTGTCTAGGGCAAAATAGCAGGTTTGTTCCAATTGCAATTTGGAGTGGACACGGGAGTGTATTCCGGACAATACAACATGTGAGCCATATCTTTTCTCATTCTATGCGTCGCATGATCGTGTACATTGTGCTGTCCGATAATTCCCCGTGACAGTGAGAATGATGGGGGTGAAGAGCAGAAGCCGATTCAGAATTACATTATGGTACATCTTTCTTGCTTGGAGGTAGTGTTTTCATCCCCATTACCGTTCACGTTTGCGGGCCTATCTAACAATCAGGTATCATCTGCATAAACTTGTACCAGTACTTATCATGTTGGCTTCAGACACCGGAATTGCTATCCTTGGCGCGGGTATCTTTGCTAAGGAAGGTATGCAAGATAACCAATTGCTTAACTCCCCGATCCTCGTCCGAATATTCACCTTCTAATGATGTTTCAACAGGACACCTTCCTGCACTGCAAAAACTTGGCCCTCTCGCGCCAAAGCTCAAAGCCGTTTACTCGCGATCAGAGAAGAGCGCTCGTGAACTCGCTGCCGAAGCAACAGTCCTCCTCAACACTGCCCCTGATGTCTACTTTGACGATAATCCATCTTTAAATCTTGATGCACTTCTCGCAAGATCTGACATTTCATCCGTTATAATCATCCTCCCAATCACCCTTCAGCCGTCCGTCGTCTTGAAAGCACTCGCCGCCGGCAAACACGTGCTAAGTGAAAAGCCCGTTTCAGCAGATGTGGCGTCTGGTGTCGGATTGATCGCTCAATATGAAGCGCAGTACAAACCCAAAGGGTTAGTGTGGAGAGTAGCCGAAAATTGGGAGGTTGAGCCAGGCCACATCGCCGCTAGACGCGCTATCGCAGGTGGCAAGATAGGAAAGGTTACCTTCTTCAGCTCTCGCGCTGTTAACTTCACGGATCGGGGTACGAAATGGTATACTTCGGCGTGGCGTCTTTTCCCGGAAGTAAGTCGATTTCCTCGACATCGTGTAATGTCTGGTCTGACTCGTGTCCGTGCTTCGATTAAATTAGCATCAAGGAGGTTTCGTGGTAAGATCCGTGTTGCGTTCACTACACCACACTCCAACGGCTGACACTTGCCTGAGTGTAGCTTGACACCGGTGTGGTGAGTGCCTGTGGTGAAATGTTTGTGGATACTGCCGCTGACTTGCTTCTAGCACTCCGCTGCAGCACTTCGTGTCATACTCCCAAGTGCAATGACTCACCTGTCCGGGTTTGCATCGCTCAATAAGCAGATACTTGCGCCCCACGATACCATCAACACCATCATAAAAAACGCAGATGGTTCACATGGCATTTTCGAGCTCAGTTTCGCTGCACCCAGCCTATCTCGTTGCGATCTGGAACGCGGCATCATCATCACCGGAACAGATGGCTGGCTCAAGGTCCAGCAAACCATGGTCCGTGACCTCATCCGTAACGTTGAGGAGCCCGGGTTTCGCGTCACTATCAAGTCGGCCACCCGTGGTGCGAACGGTGTGCTTGGCCCCGAAAAGGAGGAAGTTATCGACGAGCCATTCAGAGGCGTGGAATTGGAGCAGGCGAGCTTTTTTGTAGCATTAGCAGGAAAAGATGATGGTCTTGGCAGCCCCCTTGGTGCACTGAAGGACGTCGCGGTTCTCGAGGCTGCCTTGACTAGTGGTGGAGAACTCGTTGATCTTGAGAAACTCATCAGCCAGTCTATATGGGACATGTAGCACGGAAAAGTCGCGGAAGCACATGACACCCAAATTTGCAAAGAAATTTGTATGTAGGGAGGGGATTTGTCATTGACGCGACGACCGGCCATTTCTTTACGCTATCGATATGTGAGTATGTTGTGTACTAATGTCCATGGCGTCTCTAGGTCGTCAACTCTCGGATTCCATGTGCCCTGCTGATCAGAATAAATGATACACACGGTGCATATGGTCAAAGCGCTAAGACAACGTTATTCAATTGAAATTGGTACTTTACCTGAATCCTGCGTTGCAATATCTGCGGTGAGACGAACATTGATGCATACCTGTGCACGCGAGTGCTGGACCGCCCTGGCTCCAGAGTCCAGAGATATCTTGTCTGTCGTTAAAAGCTACAACTTCAAGAAGTCTGAAAAAGGTATCACAGGCAGGCGCCGCGGCAAAGTCACATCACGTGATCAAGCAAACGTTGAAACTGTTATCTCAATGCGCGAGCCTCGTTATGTCACTACCGTGCGCATGCAGCATGGCACAGTAGTCGCCTTTCTCCGAGTCGTTGCCATAATCTCCTACTAGTAACTGCAATGAGTCAACTCAAATGACTTTGTGGTTTCCCCATTGAACAAATAGACTATCAAGGGTGCATCTCAAGTGAGTATACTGCGTTTGTCGTTCCTGTCATGAGCGACGCGTCATGAAATAGGCTAACTTACACTGGCGCTGGCAGGGAGTAACCATGCAGAGCTTACAATCCATTCAAATTTCACTCTTGACCGCTTCCGCCCGTTGTCTTCAGGCTCTCAGTCTGGTGTCTGCACATGAGTTGGCCCTCGCTGGGGGTTTGGGAGGCGGCGCTCTTGGTATTTCGGTTTTTTGGCTATTAGTCGTTCACAAACGCAAAAAGAATATCGCACCTGATGGGACCTCCAAATCCGACCACCTCCTACAGCATGATCAAGCACGAAATGATCTTCAGGTGAGGAACACAATGACCCTATTTATTAGCGCAGCAGACTCATCGGAGAGGGTGAGCAGAGGGATGGCACTCCCAACGCACCACTCTGTTCCGTTTGCGCAGAACTGGATCTGCGACATCTTCTCCTTGAAGAAGTCCTGAAGGAAAATGCGATTCCGCTAGGCTCACTCTCATCCATCTTGCAAAAATCCGACCAATGCGGATTCTGCCGCCTCGTATCATTGGTCGTCCGTCGGACATGGTTGTTGGACAAGTTTCCTGACCTCGATCTCTCAGGGATTGAATGTGGGCTGTTCTCGATGGAGACTGGATGTCTCCGGGAGCCCAGACCCGAACCCAAACAACTATGCCACCGCCTCGTCATTGATACATCAACTCGCCCTCGAGAGATATACTCAGCTCTCATCGCAGCACATTCAGCACTAACGTTACCCATTCAAGTCATGGAAGAAGACACTTTCAAGTTTGACAGACCAACCGACCTTCACGGTCGCAGAGTGGGCGATACTGTGGATGTCGGCCTGGTGAAGAAGTGGATCGAACTGTGCGAGGAAGGACACGGAGATATATGTGAAAAGGTCTGGTGGATGGCCAGCGACAGGAGACTGCCGGAGTTTATCAGAATGGTGGACGTGGTATCAATGGCTGTGGTGCCGGCGCCTCTCGCCTGTCGTTATGCCGCCCTCAGTTACCTATGGGGAGGCATCGGAGCGGAGTATTGGACGACGAAGGACAATATAGGAGAGCGGTCCGCGCCTGGCGGGTTGAACACGGCAAACTTCCCTGATACCATCACAGATTCCATTCAACTCGTTCGACAGCTTGGCGAGCGTTACATATGGATCGACACTCTATGCATCGTTCAAGATGATTTGGAGGACAAGATGAGCCAGATACATGCCATGGATTTGATTTATGGAGAGTCTTATTTCACGATATATGCTGCTGGCGGCACATCGGCTCGGGACCCTCTTCCAGGGTATCGTCCAGGAACTAGAAGGCGGGAGCAGCACATCGAGGTCGTTCAAGGACTTCATCTTTCTGTGCCCTTGCCGATGCCTATGGAGGCTCTCACTCAGTCCGCATGGAGCACGCGTGGTTGGACATACCAAGAGCTTACACTCTTCCGCCGAAGGATATATTTTACTAGGCACCAAGTCTACTTTGAGTGCAGACATGATATCTTCTGTGAAGACGTCGTCACTGAAAGTAAGCGCCTCGCATCGTCCAGCCAACCGCTGCGGTATAGAGGTGCAGGAAACTTCACCCGCCTTCCGAAACCCGGGAACTTAGACACAGATCAATACATGAGCAGTTACATGGGTGCCATTGCGGACTATACGCGACGTCATCTCACCGTGGAGTCAGACATTGTGGATGCTATCACTGCATTGACGAATGCCCTGGCAAAAGGTTTTGAGCTTGGTGGGGGTGACCCTGCCAAAGCCTTTCGCTTTGGAATGACATTGACAGACCTCGACCACGCGCTTCTCTGGCAACATCATCCACACGTGCCTCAGGCACGTCGTTCTCTCACCGACGAAGGCACATCACCATGGCCTTCTTGGGCATGGGCTGCGTGGCGTGGTGCTGTTCACTACCAGGGGGAAGCCCTGTATACCTCGATCACCTTCTATTCTACCGGGCCAGTAGTAGCAGAGACACTCATTGATGTTTGGTACATCGTGGACGGTAATGGTGTCCCAGCGCAACTTGATGTTCGGCGCATTTCTCGGGCCTTCAAACTTCCTAAACCACAAGCAGCGATGAACCCATATTCTTCCCCGCAAGGCATCCTAGACCCATCTCACCTAACTTTAGATATTCATCGGCCGCTGGAGCCGGGTACTCTCATTTTCTGCACGACTTCCAGCCGCTTTAGCATTGCAAGGCGAGAACACGAAGAATCAAGCTTACGTTTCTATCACGATCTCTTCAATATTCTCTCCAGTCCATCTTCCACTTCAACTTGGGTTGGCACTGTCATCCTTCCATTAGACCCTTCCCCGCCGGATTCTCTCGAGTTTATCGTTCTTTCCCGGACCAGTGCGCCTACTGGTGTGTATGACGAAGAAAATTTTGGGAAGTCCTACCATGGATGCATGTTATATGTGATGGCGGTGAGTCAGAATGAGGGTTTGATGGAGCGTGTTGGGTTGGGTATCATCCATGAAACTGCCTGGATCGCTTCAGACGCGCAGGAGAAGGTGGTGTTTCTTCGATGACAGTCAGGTATGGAAGAACAATGTGTGGAGTTATTATATTTGGGGTCATTGACAATCTATCTCTACGTGCTACGTGTGTTGAATTAAATTGAACGTTTGAACATTCAAGGTTTCTCCCAATGCAAGGCGACACTTCCAGAAGGTGAAATACTACATAGAGTGGTGTGCGAACAAGTCCTTTCTAACAAGCAAGAAGATCGCCAATTTGTTCCGTCATCAGTTGTACAGTGGATGTGTCAGTCTGATGGTGAAAGATCTTTAATCATCAAGCAGGTGTTTCACCATCAGGCTGACACATTGACCAATCGGTAAAGCCACCCACTTCTGAGCGCATCTCCCCACGGTGCCCAGATGCTCTGATTGCGATGTCTGATCCAGGTATACAATGAAGTCAAACACTTGATAGATAAGAAGCTGCGATGGAAGAATAGGAAAGAAAATGCACCAGATTAACCGCGATAGGAGGCTCTTCTTCCGCGAGCCGCATCGTAAACGGTGTTTGATACGGCGTGGGTATGGATCTGTATGGATCCATGACAGAAGTTACCGCGCGTGTCATTCGCGAGTACCCTGTGGGTACACTCGGCAAGGACATATTGAACTATGAGAAACTTACCCCTTGGCCAGGATTACTTCCACGATATCGATGCTGCTCCCAGATATTTGTCCGATTTCGTCGTCAAAGTCATTTTCTACTGATATGCGCGTGCCGTCTGCTGTACACCAGACACTAGACTGAAGCCAGCGTTGTACCTCTATAGCTTCGGGTAAGATTTCAGTCACTCCATGGAAACAGGAGAATAAAGCCAATACTACGATAGAACAGCAGGACGGGACAACGAGAACTGAGTGCGAGTGGGAAAATGAGAAGCAAGCAATTCTTGTGACAAATGCGAAATATACGACATTCAGGCGAATTTATGCTGATTGCTTGTCGTAACACGCCCCTTCCATAGAGTTCGCTGTGCATGTTGATGATTAGTATAAATTCCCTGTTGCATAAATTTGACGTACCGTCGTATTGCGTAGATTGGGACACCTCAGGCATCACTTCTCGGTGCCTATAAGGGGTCTAAGAGACCCGGTTTTTATGTTATGGGAAACTAGTCTCTGAGACCCCTCCCTCCCGCCATCTAATTATAGTCATGTTCTGACATTCCCTCGCGGGCCTCTGGCACCTCCCTACGAGCCTCTTCCACCTGCCTCTTGTACCTCCCTACGAGCCCCTTGCACCTCCCTATGAGCCTCTTCCACCTGCCTCTTGCACCTCCCTATGAGCCTCTTCCACCTGCCTCTTGCACCTCCCTATGAGCCTCTTCCACCTGCCTCTTGCACCTCCCTATGAGCCTCTTCCACCCGCCTCCGTCGTGCCCTCTTGCATACTTCTCGGAGCATGGTTTGATACCTTGGAGCATTCACTCACCCCAGCCCAGTGAGTCTGCTCGGATGAATTGTAATCCGCGGTCTACTCCCATAACTTATTCACAAGTCAAGGACCCAGGAACATAGAGTAGGCACTCAAGTGTACAGTAGCAATAGCAAGCATAATGCATTATGTACATACATGGATGAGCGGGTATATCACCCAAGGAACATATTTAGATGTGTTCGAAGAGGTGTTACTGGAATCAGCGTGGATAGCATACATAAGTACGGTACAGCATAGGACAGTAGGGGTCATACGGAATCCTAATCGTCACTGATGCGCCCCATCTCGTCCTCCCAGCATGCGACGTGGTGGCCGTATATCGAGCAAAGGGCACCAAGGCTGCCGAGCTTCTCGAGTGCATGCTTGAGGTCACTCTCTCGGGATTTGGAATCAAATGAGATCTGATCCCGCAAATCAGAATTTAATGTAGAATTTCCAAGCGAATTGTGGTACTAACATGGTATCTACTTTAAAAAGAATTGTGGTTCTAACATGGTATCTACATCCAGTCAACCTCTGTGACATTTAGAAGGCCGATAATCGCTTTCAGACAACTCATCGTCTATAGTGATACTTTGATCATCATCAGAATCCTCGGCATATTCAGAAGTGGACGAAGACCGCGTGACAGAAGTTATCGGGATGAGATCCTCGGTGTGAGTAGGGTGTGGTGGCAGAAATAAGTTGGGCACAGCTCTGGAAGCTGGCCGGGGTGGCGGGCGTGATATTGCTACGATAGCTGGCCGGGGTGGCGGGCGTGATATTTCTACAAAAACTTGGACACGACGACGAATAGCAGAAGTTGTAGGCTGAGGTGGTGCAGGAAGTGGTGCAGGAGGTGTTGCAGGAGGTGTTGCAGGACGAGTAGATGGTGTAGCAGGGCGAGTAGTTGGTGTAGCAGGAGGTGAGGGGAGACGGCGAGGCCCTTTTCGGTCAATGTCGCCGTCTGCGAATGCATGTCGCCCGCGAGGGTGGATTGAGCGATGTGACGGTGCCTCTCCAATGATAACTGGGTCCTTGGACGTCAAGAGGCGTAAGCGGGCAGCATTGCTTGTGATGGCTCAAATAGTGAGGGTGCCTGTCTTGAGAGTGTTGACAAGGTTAGCACGATGAGGGATGCTCAAATCATGTATGCCTTTGGTCCGCCTGAGCGTGGGTCGAATCTCGCCGGGCATCAAAGTCTCTTCAGGGTAGTTCACAAGGCAACATCCGAGCTGAGCTAGTTCTTTGGGCAAGGTTTTCCAGGGGAAGTCTTTTGGGGAACGGCCATGCAGCGTGCCGCCAACAGAAGCTGAAAGAAAGTCAAGATTAGTGTAAAAGAGAACTAACGAAACTTACCAGCAAGCGCCGTTATGCCACCCATAATGCAAGGAATACCATCAAGGGCCTTCCATCCACAGTCGTGAACTTGTAGACTGGCAGTAACCCCACTAACTCCTGGGCCCTCTGTCGACACCGCCACATCCACGAGCTAGAAGCGATCAGCAGAACGGATATGAAACTGACTGGGGACTTACGAGGTGAGTAGTCACAAAAGAGTGCAAGTCTGTCTGCGTGGCGGCATCAACAAGGTGCGAGGGCTTGGATATGGTCATAGTCATTTTGCAAAGTACAAACAAGGTACGAGAGTAGATGCAGTTAATCGATAACACGCAAGAGAAGCCATAGAAATCTTTGGGATGTCACAGGGTAATTTTCAAAAAAGCATTGAATGAGGATAGCACCGAGAAGCTATGACTTACCAAACCTGGTAGATGAGCGCAGAACTTTAATTCATAACGTAGTGTTGGCACCAAGCGCTCAAGAGGGTTGTCGAGGCTACTGCGGGCCTCCTGCGAGGTGAAAATCACATCTGTGAGCCAATGCGCTTGAGCATATAACTTGTACTGAATTAAAAAGACAAACATATGGACATTCACTAGCATTCAAGGTGTCCTGAACCAGCCTCATGGGCTCCAGCAGTACGCCCCATTGTGCTAACACCAAATTTTGAACAAGGACACTACAATTAATGGCTGTATTGTATTTCTCCAACCGACAGGGCAATATAGCAGTACGAACTTCACAACAACTTGTGATCTTGTTAGGTACCATTTTTACAATTCATCCTTTCCCCTGTCATAATTCATCATGGACCAGGCGAGCAAAATACCTCACATTAGATGAGAAAGCAGCTGCCTCACGACAACATAGAGAATCATATTCTCAGTCACAAAGGTAAGTATTATATGTTTCTTGTCTAAGTTTAATCCACATGTTTTCATTATCACAGAGGTAAATTAGTGAGGCAAGCTCAGAATGCTCGCGGTTATGGTAGGTTATCGAGGGTAGCGGCCATTGACGGTAAAGTCAATAACCAATCCTATGTATAGATCTACCTCGAGGTTGTCGCTACGCCATCGTCAACTCCCCAGGAAGACTAGCTCATCAGGCGTGTCCGTAGTCATGTTATTCAAATCAGATTATGTATCGCGATGCACAGAATGATAACACTAAACAGACAACAAGCAAGGTGGATAACACTATCATCTTCCACCACGGTACTGACATCGGATCCCGCGTACGTCTCTCCGTCATCTGACGACATATGTCTCCTCCAGAAGTCTGGCAGCGATGGATGTCGGTGCAATGGATTCTGGCGCCATGAGAGCTGTTTACCTCTCGTTCTGGTGCAGATGGTGTGGCAGCGCTGGGGTTGCACAAGCGGTGCAGCTTGAATTGCGTCGTCGAAAGTGAATTCTGGCATAGGTGGAGGACTGTATTCTTAAGAGTTGCATAGTTCTGCAGATGGTGCGATCATATTCAGCCATTCGAATCCTCCGCAGTAGTCAAGACACTCACAGATGGACCACCAGCGTAATCTGCAGGAAGGACGGGAGGAATAAGGGGCTCCACATGTCCCTCATCATTAAGTTTATGCTGCTAAACTTTCCACTCTTCTCCAGTGCCTGCTTGGGCATGTCGCTGTGGCCCGACATGATGATGAGAATACGCTATGCACGAAGAAAAACTTACAAATTCCTGTAGGTCTCTGGTCTCCTTCTCGGGTGTGATGAGCGTACTCTGGATCAGGAATTTGTCCTTGCACTTTGACGACAAAGGTGGCTCGTCTTTCATCGGTTGTAGCATTACTGTAATACTGTTGGACATGTAAGCAAAGTTGACACAGACATATATAACACGAGGCGCATACCGGAGACATCGACACTTTCACCAGGCTCTACCCTGCCACCCACGGACACAAGCAATAAATTTTGATGAGGCGGAGGCCGTGATGGCAGTGGAAGTAGATTCTGTGTCTAGACTCTACAGATGCTGACGTCAAATTCCCATCACATTGTGTTGCGTCTGTGATGTCATTGCCTCGATGCATCTTCCAACAGAAGTCCAGCTGATGGCATCATACCATGCCCCTTAATATAACATTCTTTTTGCGTGGCTCTGGCACCACCTCCGCACCTCAGGCCTCAGCGCTCAGCCTCGTGCGAAATGTTCTAGGGCTACCTCCGTCGTGTAGGCCCTTACACATTTTGTTGAACTCGCGTTAATGGTGTAAGTACTTTTCTCCAGACTACTATTACTACTACCTAAGGTCCGATTTTTACAGTATCATGGTGGCTTCATCGCTGTCATCTGGATCTCGTTCTAACCGCCGCAATCGGCTTATATTTTCTGGGCTTGGACGTCACTCCGTCAGTCCGCGCAAGCCCCGAGACAAGAGGACGACTCAAACATTGGTCGAGGTACCTGGTGCAGAGGCCAAACGATGCCGAATTCTCGCAGCAATGGAACAACTGATGAATCCAGATCATCACGTGTTGAAGTTGCCTCTCCCACCTCCCCTCGTTACAAATGCGCCTCCTGATCCTGCTGATAATTTCATCGCAGATGATGGTGTGGAAATGTCAGTGCCAGAACCAGAATCGGACTCCAGCCCAGGGGAAGTGCCATCGAACACCTTGAAACATCGCATTTGGCCTGACAGGTCGACTCAAACATTGTACAACTCGTGGTCAACACTCATTCCCACTCTCGTCGAAGCCCAACTCCAATACTCCGCGCGAACGCATGGCAAACCCTTAGAGAGAATCCAGAAAGTCGTCTCAGCGTGTAGGACTCTCAGGTGCGCATTAAAACGGACAAGTCTTGTATGTTTGTTTTTAGACCGTAAGCACTGGAAAACATACCAGAGAAAATGTTCGTATTGACGGTTTATTAGGCTTTGAATTTATAGAAGCATTGAGTTGCCGTTGTTCTTCCCTTCCCCAAGTCCTTATCCACCATGGCTTGTTCCCAACAGCACCTTCGCAGCCTCGAATGGCAGTCTCCCTTGAATTACTATCCTTCTACCGGACGTTGTTTGAGCGTTCCTGCGACGCAATTAACGCGCTTACATACGCTCTCAAGACATATTACTCGCGTAGAGGCTTCCGATTGACAGACTCCAAGGTAAGTTAATTTAGTACACTATAAACAAATACTAACGATGCGTTTCTAAAGGGTGACGAAATACGAGAACCTTTTCGTCGCGGCCTTGGCCATGCGGTGCAATGGTACGACATTCTGCAAATTGAAGTTGAGCGCCAAATCGAAGACCTTCTCGAACGATGCCGGGATCAAGTTACACGGTTCGAAGATGCATCACCTATCGTCGATTCTCATTCCCATAGCACTTCCTCACCATCTTGCAACCCCGCCATCTCTCATGACATAGACCCACCATCCACCCCCTTCCCGTCGGTGCTACCCCAAGGCCGGTGTTTGTCAATTCTTGCGCAGCGATGTCCTGCGTGTTTTGGTGGAATATTCCACGGAAAACTGATTGAGGAAGGCGCTGACATACATGTTGCGACTGATGGAAACTTCCATCACCGGCATAGGCGCTCAGCGGGTGATTGCCCACATTTTTATAACCCTACTTACTTTCTCCCAAAAGGGTTTGTTGATGAGGTCGGCTGCCGAATTGACGCCCAACGTAAACGATCTCCTAAGGCACGCAACCCCCTTGTACCGGATGAAGCTATCGACTTGTGTGAAGGTGCTTATGAAGCAGCTGATGGGAAGAAACAGAAAGCGGCCATGGACAGTTTTGATGATACAGGAGTTATGGCCCTCATTTGTCGCCATGACATTCCATTGTTTTTCACTAACATAGATTCTCCCGGCGAACAGCAAAAATATTCCATCGCGCTTCTCCAACACTTGTTTTCGTTACTGCCTCCCCAGGCTACTGTTACTCTACTATACGACGTTGGGTGCGTTCTCGCGCGATCGCTTTCTAAGGTAAATATGATATTTATTTTGATATTTATTACTAAATCATATTAATAGCATGAGATACTTCCTGAAGATGTGACCAACCGTCTCCGTTTCGCTACCACAGCCATGCACGCCTACGGGCACGAGTGGGCGTGCCAGTTGGTATATAATCCGAGGATGTGCGTTGGCCTCGGCTTGTCTGACGGAGAAGGTACAGAAAGACTGTGGTCGCGGTTTGTTCGGTTAATCGGTGTCGAAAGGTCGTCTTCGGTGTGTCGTCATTTCTTCATTTCTCTATGTATCTATTATTAAATTCATTCTAGCGCCAACGTCGGCTATGGCTGCTTGATCGTCAGGCAGCTGCAATCGGACAGGAGATGCGCATCGACCTTGGTGATTGGATCAAGCGTCGTCTAAGACGTGGTATCAAGGATCAAGGAGCGGTGGCACAAGAAACCCTCACTAAATGTCGAATCCCTATCGAAGAACTGCGGTCACAATGGCTCCATCAACAGAAATCACAACTGTCCATCCGCACTCGTAAGCATATTCATGTCTCACGTTGGTGCTCGTTAATTCCTTGTTCCAGATGCACCTGCTCGACTTAAAAAAGAGTTGGACATTGTCCTCTCTTTACAAACTGACCTCGACACCTCACACAAGGCACTCCAGGCCGCTAAATCCATTTTGGGCAAAGAGTCGGCATCTGACGACACAATACAAGCTCTTGAGAGTCTTACCAACGGACACGACCGCTTGATAACCAAGGTGGAAACACTCTACGTGTCGCTTAACATTCACGACAGGTTTCCTGAGCTCCAGGGCATCGATCTAGAGTTTGTTCGAATATTGCTGACAGCTCGCGACCTCAAGATGAACATACGCAAGCGGGCGATTGCCAGTTTCTTCGAATGGGACAAGCTCGATCGGGCAGTAGGCGGCGCTCAACAAGCCTTAGGTAATTGTTCACTCTTCGCGTTGTATTTGACATAACGGACTTCTCTCAGGAACCAAGCTTCACCAGCAGACGAGGAAGGCCATAGCCAAACGACAGCCCGCCCTTATGACCGCCATCAGAAAGTTCAATTCATATTGCGAGCAGTTGGAATCTCATTACGACATATCTTCCGGCATTCCGTTACCATCACCTCTTCCAACGAAGCTTGCAGACTTGCGCGCTGATCCCACACTAATGGAGGATGTGTGGATAACCCCTTCAGTTGGTGAGGTACCACGGTGGTTGGAGGATTCTGAGGTAAGGGATGGCATACGCGCGCTTCTCAAGCGTGATCACTGCCAAGAAGAACGGCTGCGACTTCGCACTGAGGCAGATAACTTGTGCCGTTTTTTCAGAGCAGAGTTGGCTGCACTCGAACTCGCTATTCGATCTTCGGGAAGTACGTATTAATTTATGGCATTTAAGTTATTTACTGATTGAGTCAAATCCACAGGCGATCATTTCACAGCTGCCCTGCAACAGCGCCAGAGCAACTTCCTTCAGACCCAATCACGCTGGACAAACCCGCTAGCATCTTCGGCACAGTTCACCGCGCAAGTGAACAAAGCACAACAAACTGTTCTTGGCATTTCTGGCGACTCTCGGCATCCTAGCATCGCCTCGATCCATACTACCACATTGGAATCTTCGGACTTAGAGGGTGATGATGATCGAACGTTTACTGATGAAGTACTGCATGTCGACTCGGACCAAGCCGCCCTCGCAGACCTACTGGAGGGTGATATGGGACCCTTAGATCATGACGACGCCAACGACACCACAAATTTTGGCCACAATGTTGACGTGAATTTTCTCCAACCAGATGGGTCTGAGGTAAAAGTCCCTTGCTTAAATTAAATCTAGCTGTGACCCATTCTGTTCTTACAGAATCTTCTAATCGATGACTACAATGTTCCAGCTCGCAAATCGAACATTGTTGTGCCTGGCACCTTTACGGCGCGAGTCCGACCTCCTTGTGACGGATTTCCCCATCAGATTTTTGAACCCAAAGACATTGCCATTCTCTGTTCCCCCGCAGCGTGTCTCAATGACATTTGCATAAACAGTTGCGCTGTGCCTACTCTACTCCGAGCTCAAGGTTCCCAACGTCTCTTGCGCAATACTCTCCACTCATGACCTTCCACGTATCCGATACAATGCGCCTGATGAAGTCATCTGGCGTCAATGTTCATGGACGCAGTACTGGGAGAGAGACATATGGGTCCTTCCTATACATCGACCCTCCCACGTTGGACATTGGGTATTTTGTGCGATCTACCTGCCCTCTAAGGAGTTTCACCTCTTTGATAGCCTTGGGGATCAAAAACCTTGGAACATGATGTAAAGGTATGTTCTTGTTATCAACATCCGAATAACAAAATTAATTACAAGAAGGACATAATGAAATTGGTTGGTCGGCTCATTCTACTGGCACGCAAACATCACCATCACTTTCCCGTCGACCTCGAAGGGTGGGTGGCTCGACCACTCAATGTAAGTCTCTTCGCCCGATGAGTCGGACCGGTCTCATGTCATATAGATACAACCTCTTCAAACCAACAGCTATGACTGTGGCGTCTGGGGTTTTAGCTGCAATCGTTGCTGTGCTTCGTGGGCGGCATGTCATGGGAGTACGCGAGGCTGACATTGGTGATCTGCGTCATTATCTTAGCATGCTCGTACTTTCTCTACCATTGGATGTCCAACAAATGTCTTGAATATATATTATACCGGCCATCATACATATGGATTCTTGCCAGTAGCTAACCAATCCTCCTCTCGTCGGTAATCCAAGATCGCTCTCGCTACCCCCCTGCAGGTCACAATTGGCCACAAGCTTATGTCTTGAGCATTCATGCAAGTTGGCGACACGAACACGAAGCCCGTCCCAGGCTGCAACCAACCCCTTCTCCGCCTCTCGAATCTCCATAAGAATCCTGGAAGTTTCTCCCGCCTTATACATGTCAGCGCGATGAGTGCGAGACTCCCTTTGGATGCGCAAGTACCGTCCATGCATCACATCGACAAGGTTCTCCGTGAATCGCGCTTCCTCTGGCGAGTCAGGTGGAACTGGATGATCATAAGGAGGGGGTTGGTCCCACTGTGAGAGATCAGATTCGTCAATTAAGTCGGAACCAGCACAGGATTGGTGAAAGAGGTAGGAGTCAGGAAGAGGAAGAGTCGCGAATTGAAGGAGGGAGGATGTCAGAGAGTCAGGCGGCTCGCTAATGGTTGTACAAGGTCCGCGTCGTCCACGGTGCTTGACGTAGGCACGGGCGTTCTGAGCTTTGCGAGTAATTTACCTCTGTGGAAAACAGGTCAATCATGACATCAATGCGCAGAATATTCACAGCTGGAATACTTGCCGTTCTGACTGACAATAAGATGCTTTGTGACACTTTGCAGCTGTCAACTTCGCCTCTAATGTCAAATACTTTGCTCTGTGGCCCATGGTGGGGACAGGTAGAACAATCGTGACAATGTTAGTACAAGTAAGACCAAAATTAGTGTTGAGTTCGCACTGCTATATTCCTTTTGTACACGTCGAATGTAGTGCAGCCATTCGAACCTCATCGAACCCATAGTTCTCGTCCAAAAATTGGTACTAGTGGGATGGGGCGTGCTATTGGAATCTATGAGACCAGTTCAGATGGGATTGTGGGCAGCGAACACCTGCCAGTTTGTCTTTCCAACTTAGTATCATGTTTGTCCTTGACCTCATTGGCTTACACCTGTCTTTTTGGAGGCTGGAGGCTTGCTGAAGGCTTGCTGGAGGCTCTAGAAAACACTACTACAGCCAAAGTCTAGGCCACGGCAAGACCATCGGCACCTCCAAGCGGAGTATGAACACTGCTGTTCGTCACTGTTTCTCATGCTTTTTCACTGTCTGCAACAGCACCAAGGCACCAAGGGCTATCCATATATTGATCTCAGCCGGTTCTTGCGATGCACTAGCCTCCTCAAGGACTTCATCCAGCTTCAGCCACACACTATCAACATCATGGTGGGCCCTGATATACTGCCCCCTCCATAACCGAGGGTGTCTCTACAATGGCCGGTCTGGCATCAGATCAGCGCGAGGTGAGACGCCGGTCCCCGTGCACTGACGTATTAATTATTCACACTAGAAACATAAAACTGAGGCCACTCAATTGGTGCGTAACTTTCGTCTGTTTGTTGACGCTGTTCTGGGGATTCCCCAGCTCTTCTGGCTTATTCTACTGCCCGTCTACATATGCTAAGTTGTTTCTTTAATTTAATTTAATTTAATTTTGAACTCAGTACCAGTTATATGTCTAGCCTCATTGGTCCTCCGAGTCAAACTAATTTTAGGGGGTTTCAATTCCCCACTGCCTCCTGAGCCTCTGTCTCACATCTTTATTCTATGTTCCTAATATTTCACTAGATATCAAAATATCTTTGGCATTTTCTTCCGGACATCATGCGTCAAAGTGCATTACTCGCGGAGGTTCAAATTTTGAATAAGTACCGTGCATTTCCTACCTATTTTTCAGTGCTTACACCCTCATTTCTCCCTCTGAACATCTCTGTAGCCAACGCTGGTCTGCGCAGGCTCTGTTGCCTCTCACAACATACCGAGAACACTTTGTTGACATTGTGTTCAATTTATACCTGTCAGTCTTTTTTTTGTACCGTTCATTGCCGGCTCAAACATCATATAAGGTCTTTTGTTGATTGAGTACCTATCGCTCGCGTTGTACTTTGCCGTAAGTTCTGCCCCTCGTTTATCCTTTGTATTTTCGATGCTGAGGCCTTCCTTGCAACTAGGGTACCCAGACCGCTTGCTCTTTAAATTTGTCTACATTCTGTACCCTGCGTGAGTTTGTTTCCCTTAAGATTATTTCCTGGCTCACATCAAATGCAAAGTCGCCATGACACAATTTAAGGCAGACCACTTTGCTGCATCCGCAAATCAGGCATGTCTGCCTCCCATCTCCATGGACTCGTCGCTTGCTGTACCCCTCTCTAGCCTTGAATATGTCCATGAGCAATTGGGAGGAGGGTGCCGCCAATCATTACCTCCTGAGTTGACCCCCACAAGGCTCAGGAGTAGAATCAGAGCTACTTCATGGGATGCTGGTATTGTGAAGGAGGCATCTATTCGCCGAGCCCATCAGCAACCTTCAAGACACTCTCCTGCCCCCTCAGGACACTCTCCTCCCCTATCAGGAGCTGCGACTTCTAGCTCTTTTCTCGACGACGGTCCCACGAGCATCGACACGTCATCTCTGCCGATGCCACTTCCATGCAGTCGTCAAGGTTTGCCCTATCTTGGCGAACCTATTCTGCGACTTCCTTCTCATCCGGCCAGCGACCACGACACAGCATCACTCACCCTCTCTGCTCTGAATGAGCAGCATTCCTCTCCCTCGGGAGGTGATCGCAATTCGCAAGAACCTGCACAGATTCAAGACATGTTTTACGGTCATAGCATGAATGCGCAGCCCGCCTGGATAGGCCCAAATAAACCCCACCCCTTTGATTCCATGGCCAATGGTGTCAAAAATTTGCCATCCCACTCCCACAATCCGACCCTATGTGACGCGTCCCGACTCGTACCTCCCCTGTATGTAATACCTCCAACACCGTCCAAAGATATCCATGACGGCATTGATCAGTCTGCTCCGAAAGCAGCCATTCCCCAGCTTGACCTCAGCTACTACCCTGATGATGGGTCTAGTCATTCGTGTTTCCCAGAAGAAAGCGTGTTTGATGATAACGCAAATTCGCAGAAACCATCCCTGATGGGACGGAGGTCGTTGGAGATGAACACACTTTTGGAAGAAGGTTTTGCAGGGATTGAACGTGCTTTCGATGATTTATCTCTGTCGACTACATATCCACTTCAACAGCTCACTAATATGTTTCTCAAGAGTCGTGGGCGAGCAGTTCATGGGATTAATTACTGGAACATATACGCGAATTACTTCAAGGAGAACATGGACAAAGAAGTGGCGCATGTAACGGAGGATGACGTGAATGACGCCAAAGGCAAAGGAAAAGGAAAAGAGGTTTGTAGGCCAGATATGCAGGGCACGCCGAGTGAGTATTAAATATAGTTGATGATATTCATTTTATTCTGACTTTTTATACAGGCACGAGGCTGCGAACACGCTGCTATGAAAAATTCAAGGACACCTTCCCAGATGCGTACCAGGATATTCTCGACATGTTTGATGAAGCTGCTGTGCTAGGTGCTGCTACCCAAACCGTCTCTCAACGTGGACAATCGTTCCAGAGGCTCTGTAAAAAAGTGACAGGCATAGTAAGGTGTTTCATTTCGGACACGTTACTCGCTAAATTTTTTCAGTTAGATTCCTCAGCCGCCAGATTCGGTTTTGAGGCCGCTGTCGTGCTGTGTGGAAAAATAGTGAACCAAGATGCATCACTCGGTCATGTACACACCACACCCGGTGCTGGAGGGGTAAGGCGATTTACGTCATGACATTCATCAGGTGCTTACTCATTTAATAGTTTTTTGAGACACGATGTCGTGCCAACGACGACACAATCATCGCTCACATCAAACCCCATGTATTGTAAGTGTTTGTTGTCAAATTATGGCCTTCGCTTTTTGATCTGGCTTGTTAGTAACGCTGCCTCGTTATCAGCAGTTGAAGCATCCTTCAATGTTGACGATGACAACCAGGGTATAGAATCATCGTTGAGGGATGACACCTCGGACGTTCAAATTGTAGAAGGGCAAGAGGTTGCACTAAAGTGGTTGAAGTGCGAGCTCACCAGACAAGTTGGTATGCTTTCGTCTCTCTGTATCTTTGGCTGAGGTTCATGAAATCACATCAGAGTGCTGCGGCGGCAAATTCGCGTCTGACAAAAACTTTCCTTGGAAGCTCATGCCGAACGCCCTCGCCGATGACCGGCTTCGCATCACTGGTTATCCTGCACACAAGTGCTTGTTACTGGGTGAATACCATAGCAATACGTCGAAGAGCAAGGCCATTGGAGGGCTGATGCACAAGGAGATCTCTGCACTTGTAGATGCCCTGAAGGCAGGAATAATGGTCGTCGTTAACGTACCCGCAAAGCTTCAGGGTATGTCTGACAGATGGGGCTTCGAATAATCTACTGATTATTTTTCAAGCCGCTCTCATTGCCTCCGAGGTGCCTGTTATCGTTGGCGAAGCGCCTCCATCTGACTATCTGCACCCTGGTGCCCGCCGCATGTTCGCAGATGGTCACTCGGACTTTAACGGACCGCTGTGGGGACAACAAATCTGCTGAGTAGCAGAAGGTGTTGGGTCTTGCTGCCTAGCTGCTATGCCTTGAGAGACAATGTAAGACCCAGGCTTTCTTGACTAGGGAGTGCTCAAGCAGGGAGAGAGAGAGAGAGAGTGTGTGTGAGAGAGAGAGAGAGGGAGGGTGTCACTCCAGACAATGAGGCTAGAACTTGGTATCAGGAGCAAACTAGTGAGCCAAGAAGCTACAACCAGAGAAGCTACAAACTGGGGAAGCTACTACTTAACCCTAGAAGGGGAGCTACCAGAATATGAACTGAATACTGCTAATGAGTGGAAGTGTAGGGCGAAGATTTGATGATTAGGTAAGCAGTCAAATGCCAACATAAACAAAGGAAAGGGGTAAGTAAGGCTAGGTAGAAACTGTCAATACAAGGCCACAGGGAACTAGTTCCCTACACCGCCCCGGGCTAAGCCTACCACTGCAGCGACCAGGGTCAAGAAGGCACAGATAGGTCACAATGCCAGACCGTCTTCTCACGATGAGGTCCCTTCCTCGCGCCCATTTGTCGTGGTCACAAAACCTCCACCACACCCAGCACCTCCTCCCTCGCGTCCATTTGTTATGGCCACCAAGCCTGTCATGCTTGACGTAATCTCCTTTTCGACCTCTGACTCTGAGGAGGCGCCACTAAAAAATGGTAAGGGCAAAAAGAGGAAGTTAAAATTGCCGGCAGCATCTCGAACAGCGAAGAGGCATGCACCATCTGCAGTAAATGATAAGAAAGGAGAGACGAGGGGTGGGCCATTATCGCCTCTGACTGTTAGATCTTCAAGTGATGAGCCGCTCACACCGGCAGGTTAGTCTTTTCAATTAACCTCGGACTCACATATCTGACTATTTAAAAATAGCTCAACCTGCTAAGAGGCTCCGGGACGGCCCCGTCAATCGTTCTCACTATGTGGAGGGCTGCGCACCTCGGAAGTTGTACCACAAGGTTGACTCGGAAGGTGCTTATGATACCAACAAGAAGGATCCCGCTATCGAGCTTGCTGTAAACACTCCTGCACGCCCCGTAATGGTTGCTCCAACTTCAGATGACCCATCCGTGCTCACCCATACATCGCAGACAGAGCCTTTGAACACCGTGGTTGACCAGGTTGGTCCAGCCAGTCCACATACTGCAGAGCAGCAGTCACCCCGGCCTATGGCGTCTCAGAATCCTCTGCGGAGCGACCCTCGTGATCCTTTGGACTCGCGCGAGCTTCTCCGTCTTCGCGACCACCCTCATCGTCATTACTCCCGTGAAGTTCATCGACATGTGACACTTATCCGCCGTTGTTGGACCATGATGATCTGCAGCCGCGGAATGTGACGTATAACCGAAGGGAGGCTCCAGGCCTCACGCCCCCGGAAGTTCATGATGCATATGGATCATATGTTTCTGGGTTTGCTCCGTGGAATGATGTTGACGACCGTCAGCATTTCACTCCTTATTCCAACAATCCCTTACGCCCGTGGGGCTACCGTGATCGGTACGGTCAATGGAGGAGGTATCCAGACACGCAGCAGATGGTTCATGATGGTGAATTTGGCGACTACTCACGCGAAGCTCTGGCGCCACGAATGTATCCGTTTGAAGACCACCGTGCAACCCGTACTGATGACAATCATGATGGCAACTCGATGATGCATGAACACTCTCCAAACGTCCAGCCTGGACCATCTTCATTTTGATTACCTTACCCAAGTTCCCTCACAGTGCCGCCGTTGTCAGCCCATCTGGACTTTTGACACATGAAATTCCTTGTCTTTATGGTGCCTCCGTTCTCGTTATTTCACGCTCTTGCTTGGACCATTATGTTCCCTTTCGACTATGTTGGTATGCGACATGTAACTTTCGAGTGATCGAGAAAATATACCATTATTCATGTCCGATTTGGTGTGTGGAGTATAATCTTTATTGCAAAAGGTGTAAACAAATACAAGATGACTCAATTATGTGTAGTCAATTTGACATGTTCAACGAGGTCGCTCATGGCATGACGCTACCTTACATGGTATACAGAAGTGTTTCCAAAATTAGTGAGATGTTCTCAACCGTTTCAACGACTCCGCTTGACTACCAACCACTCCCATGATGCCGCCGCCACAACCAGTGAGTACAACTTCTTATCACAAATGCCTCTATGCATCGGTCTCTACCTCCAATGCACTCCCTGAACCTCGGAACAAGAATGTCATGGATAGGCTCTTGGAGGAAGAATTCAAAGGTACAGTTATGTGGGAAGAAAAATCACTCCCCATAGATGCCGAGTCCACCATGGACACCCTTATCTTACAGTCCGATTTCGCTGTAACGTCTCTCACCAAAATCCACTATTTCAAGGCCGGGCCAGGAGGGAAGAGGGTTCAGAACAAGAGGTGTGCATTCGCAAAATTCCGAACACAGAGCCCAACATTAGATAAGCTAAAAAAGCTTAAAACACAGCCACTCTAAGTTATGAACAATGAGTTTTGAGTTTCTCGCCAGCAGCCTCAAATCATCGTAAAATTGTTTGTCGAGTACTCAAAAGGGGGTGTTTTCACTGGTGTAGAATATACCTAGATAGTTATTTTAATGAAAAACGCATGTGCAAAGATCCTACATGCTAAATGTTGGTTCTCGGGTGTGATTTTTGGAAGCACGTGAGCAAAGTCAATATGACACATCAATATCAATGTGATGCGTCTCGTCAACGTCTCGCATCTCTCTCCTTGCAACATTCATTATGTATTCTACGACCCATCAGCCTGCTCGCTACGATTCCTGGTTTGCTTCCGAAGACGATAACGGAACTTATTACATCACGGACCTCGATGACGATTCATATCATACCACGCATTTCGTATCAAATGATCCATCAAATCGCTCGGATATCATTTACACGTCATCCGGACACTCGCAGACCCCATCCATAGACTTTCAAGTATTGTTAGATACGGACAAACCATCTTGTATTTCTAGTTTAGCTTCCCTTAATTATCTCTCTCGCCAATCATCAACGGATAGCCAAACCTCAAATTCATCTTCGGTCTCAGCCACGATCTCGGACTCAGATATCGACATCAAGGCGCAACTCAAGCTTAATACCCCCAAGTCCCTGTATCTATTATTCAAGGCCAATCGGCTTCCAGTATTGGATCAGTTCGGAGATCGATGGAGACTACTCTGCCCTGAGTGCGGAAGCTGGTGTCAAACCAGTGTGCACACAGCCTTACCTCTATGCACCCCCGGTCAGTTCAAGTCGCTCACTAACCACCGAGGCAGTAAGAAGTGTGCTGCTACTGCTTCCAAAAAGCAAAAGCACAACACTCAGAAAGCTGGCACAATGATCAAGCCTTCCTTTCAATCTGATCAACCCAGGTGTGTTCATTTCGGCTCAATTTCATTGATGATCGTGTTACATTATGTCATTTTCAGCAACGCATATGATCGGAACATTATGTGTTCTGATATCAGCTCGCTTAAACGCGACATTGTGTGTCCAGGCATTCCCATCAACTGGCCTGACGACCTCCACACATTCGCTATGTCCTTTCCTTGGGCACGATACCACGACAGACCCGACGGACTACCGTTTACTGTCGACATCACAGTTCCCCGACTCCCTCATGCTCGATCGAAACTCTGCACACATCTCACTATTCGGGAAGATTTCCCGTGTGAAGAGTGTGGTGAAGTTTACGCGCACGTCTATCGCCTCATTGATATAGCACATAATCCCAAGGCCCACACGAACTATCATTATCTGGGTCTCGCACATATGCGAGACTTAATAAAAAAACACTCGGATCAAGTTAATCAGTTGAAGTTGCAGGCATGTTTTATTATTCTGCCCCCCTCCCATTGCAGCATCTCCTACCTCACAATGCCTAGAAACGGTCTTGAGTGAGGATGGTGTTGAGGGTGTTGGTCCTGGAGAGTCGCAGGGAGAGAATGACGACGAAGAAGTCATGTTGACGTTCGAAGAGGCCTTGATTGATGACTCTGACTCACCTGCTGATGCCCCCCCAGCTCAGTCTAACCAGCCTCGCACTCAAGATTCTTCGTCCCCACCACTACCGCAAGGCCCAGGCATCCGTCCCGACGACTATCTGTTGTATAACGGCCGCTGGATCCACAAACAGACGGTCTGTCGTCTCATCATCAATAAAGACTTCATCTCGAAATCACTTAACCGACTCGAGCACGTCCGCGCTGGCTATACTAAAGTCAACAAGTGCATCGATATGTCAGCAGGTCGCATCACTAACCAGAACTTATTCCTCGTTGGTGATATCTTCGTGACCATCCTGCGCTCCAGTCGGACACTTTCTATTGCCGTTCTTCGGTCGACAGCAGCTAGCCTTTGCGGTATTTCTCACTCGTCAATCAACATAGGCGTGATGAAGGCTTCAAGAACCACGGCAAAGATAACTGGCCAACTGCTCACCATCATCGCTACTCACCTCTCAGCTGATGTTTCACAGATGTTCTTATGGGACGGCGGGTATGTTACTGCGTGTTCGGTAATTCAAGGGTCCTCGGAGTCTACAGAACGCAGTGTCGTCGTAACCATCCCAGGTTCTCTTGTCGAGCCTGTCAACCCCGAACCTACATTCATTCGGCTACGCGACGATATCAACGTGGACGACTTCTTGCAAGTGAGGGGGGGGCAGAGCACATGGCAGATCTCACGGGACGCTCTGCAAGCAGCTTGTGACCTGCTATGGGCAAAAGCGGTAGAGATAAATGTCCCTCTCAAGTCAATTGCAGTTGTTACTCCTTCAGACGAGACCAAATTTCCTTATAGACGCTTGGATGGTAAGTGTCTCACGGTTTGTATGTTCACTTTATTTCTAATGCTACATTTACATTTACAGGTACTCCTGCTGTCATTTCTATGGAGGCCAGTAATTTGCTGGGAGCATCCGAAGGGGATCGAATCTCTGTGTGTCCCCTTTGCGAATCAAGTGTCCTCAATATGCGCAATCACATGGGTCAGCATATCCTGCACGCACTCAGTAACACACCAGAGGAGGTCGTTTTGAAAGAACCTGTACGTTTTTATATATTTTCATTTGTACTTTACGCTTATGACTATCTACAAGGTCGGCGACACACTTCCGTGTGGCTTTTGTGGACGTTCTGATCGACCAGAGTGTGCTATCACCGTCACTGTGCCTGCAAAAGCCGCCACAACATGGGACACTAAATGCATGTACCAGCACCAATTCCGTTACGCGTCCGCCGAGACCGGTTCCAAGAATACACCATGCCGCAACCTGCCACTGAAATGTGAGCTTTGCCATCCCATTCTCCCTCCAGCGCCTGGCAAGACAACGAGAAAGACGGCTGTCGTCCCGGTCGGTGCCGTTTGGCGCTACAATATGCACAAGCATATCTTCCGGGAACATGAGGAATATATGGTGCCGGGACAGAGAGATGTTGGCTTACCGCTGCCCGCAAATGTTTGGAGGGAGATGAAGCTCACGGACTTGGAGCAAACGGCTTCGCACATCCCCAAGACGCATTGGCAGCCTTCCTACACTCCTCCGGGCGAGATTGGAAAAGAGAACATTCCTCCATTAGTTTCCCATGGTTCCAAACGTGCTGCTCCGCAAGCAGGCTCTTCCCGTCCTTCAAAGAAGGTCCGAATGACTATTCCTACTGCTCTTTCTGCACTCAGCGGTTGATTTCTTAATGTTTTCTTACTTCATGCACTTATGCCAGTCGTCTACGTACTCGTTTTCATTCGTTTTATTGCTGCAACTGTACTGTTTTGCTTTCGATCGTTCAATTGATCCGTTCTGACTTCATATTGATTCTCGGTGTGACAAAAAAACTACCTAATAAAGCTAAATTACATGATTGGTCACGCTGTCATCACGCCGTCACAGTAGGCGTAGGGGGTACCCAAGTTGCGGCAGGTTAGTGTTCTAGATTTCTCAATCACACACCTCTTGGTTCAGAAAGGGCCTATCTTTCAACCTGCTGCCCGCCGTGGCGCAGCACAATGGCTGTTTGATGAGAGGAATGTCCAGCCGAGGACGTTGGTAGACTCCAGGAAGCAGAAGAAGCAAAAGGTGCAGATACAGAAGGGACAGGGACAAGAGGCAGGGAGGGCGCGGACACAACCACGCGCACAGATGAGCATGTCGGCTGCGTTGACCGACACAGAATTGGAGGTGTCAGATTCGTCATTCACATCGCCTGAAACCGACAAGAGTTTCGGTGCTAAAGGATATGACGACAAGAACCCCAACAAGAAGCGGCTTCGGGCATCGGCGACGACAGAGGGCAAGTGGACCCTGCTGTTCAATGTCGTGCAAGCTGCCATGTATGCGATATACAAGGACACGTTCCCGAAACCTTCAGCTGCATTCCCCTTTCGTGCCATGGACGTTATCAGTAGCCCGCCGAAGCGTATATGGTCCTCCCAATTATGTAATACTCCCGTCCCGGACGACACCACCACCCAGAAGCCAGATATCATTCTGGTAGATTGCAATCTACGCAACCTCTCATTGCGATGGTGCAACATAATCACATGCGTGGAGCACACAGATAGCGAACTCGACATATCCATACCTTTGTACTGTGGCAGCGGCACCAAAGGGTACCTGTTGATGTGAGAGCAACCCTGGCACCGGTTCGTTTTGATTATCACCATCGCCAATAGGCAGCTTCGCCTTCACTACTTTGACCGCTCGGGTCTGATCAGTTCATGCCCCGTCAACATCTATGATTATCCTGTGCATCTTCTTGAGGTTTTAAACACATTGACGCTCGCGCACACCAACAACCTCGGGTATGATCCCACAATGCACATGTGCGATCCTACCTGCAAGGGCTCGCACACCAATCTGAGGGAGCACGCAATAGGCTGGGTAGAGAGCTATGATCAAGCGATTCTATCAATCATGAGTGTGCTTTGGCGAAGCCAAGGTTTCTTTTCTCGTGGCACCATCTGTTATCATGTTCAGACCTCGGATGGGACGGAGTACGCACTCAAAGACTGTTGGGTCGCGGAGAAGAAGAAATACCACGAGGTGACCGTTCTCAAGATGGTTGAAGGGATCCAAAATGTAGTCAAGCTCGTGGCTGATTGGGATGTCCTCTACGATGGGGAGTCGGACTGCACGTATCGCATTCGAGCTTCCCATGGTGTTTGTAGCTCTAGGTTCATTCGCAGATTCCACCGGCGCCTTCTGTTGACCCCCTGCGGAGAACCGCTTGTGCTCTACTCCTCGAAGCTTGAGCTGTTGAAAGCCTTCCATGACTTTGTCACAGGTGAGTCTCGAGTGTGTTGAAATTGAATCCTGAGACTGACCATCAGTATTTAGCTCATGCTTTAATGCTCGGAAAGCACGTCCTCCATGGAGACTTGAGCCCGAACAATTTTATCCTCCATGATGGACGAGGGTATTTTATTGACTTCGATCATGCTCGGATTCTTGCGGAGGGCACCGATAGCATTCCTTCAGAGGGCACGGTAAGTGAAACTTAGAATTTTCACGGCATGGCACATGGCTGAGCGCATTGTTTGAAGGGTACTAGGCCCTATATGTCAATTCGTCTTCTCCGGGAGGGTATTGCAAAGAATAATGCAATGATCCAACATACAGCAAGTGATGACCTGGAGTCGTTGTTTCATATCTTTGTCGAATTTGCGACGACCTTCGATGGGCCACGCGGCTTAATGAGAGATGAGAACAGGAGGCCCTTGTGGGTTCATAAATTTGAGAGCGCAGACGACGACCCCTGGGTGGCAAAGCAGGCATATGTGCTTGCACCTCGCAAGGACACGTCGTTGATGGACAAAACGACTCCATTCTTCGCACCGTTCAGTCAAATTACACAGGATTGGCGTCATCTAATTCTAGCAGCAGCCAGCGACTCGAGCGACCCGAGCGACCACCCCGTTGGCGTAACTCATGCAGTGCTTACGGCGCTCCTGGAAAAATGGACCTCTCAGCTCCCCCCGGATGCGCCCACAGAAATTATGGTGCCCGTGGCATCATCATCGAGATTGGGTCATCCTCCACCCGACGATGCCCAATCATCCGCGCGTCTTTGTCGGTCTACGCGCATCCAACAGCAACTGTGATAGCCCTCAAACCCTCCTCATCCTTCCCACATCCAAATGAGAGTGCCATAACCTCTTCTCGCACGTCCTTTCTGTATATGTTTTGTTTTGCAACGAATTTTGGTATAATATAGTAGTACACCACGTGCCATATATTACATACCTTCCTGGTCCGAATATCAATGACGGAATGTTTGATACCCGTGGATCTGAGGGAGCCTCCTCTGGAGAGGTCCTAGGTAGATAGGCTGTAAACACTAAGTAGATATCCCCAATTGTAATACATGCAACTTTAAAACCTCCTCGTAGATTGGGGTCTGTCAGACTACTTTCCCATAACCTAAAAAGTGGGTCTCATAGACCGTGAGAACAGATGAAAAGTGCTGCCAAGGGTGGATTGGGATGCATAAACTTGCAAAAATTTCATATGATGTTGCGAGTTTCCGTGTTCCGCCTCACTGGTTGTTCCGTGAGAAGTCGAGAAGTAGTAACTGCGACTGTTTCTGTTTATTGCGATGCAAATAAGCACCATGTAGAAGGCAATCGACATGATCGGCATGGCCTAGTAGATCGAAGTTCAGTTGTTTTCGATAACAGGTGTTAACAGGGGAATCACCATGTCCATCACAACAGTCTCTCCATTGTTCGAGCAGACGAAACAGATAAGTGCAGTGAAAAGCACCACAGTGTACAAAACAGCGGCATCCACAAGCATGCGCATTATTGGCATTACAGTGCTCTTCAAAGCACGAACCGTAGAGACAGCGTGTTCAATCATCCAGATGCGATATGCCAGTAATGCTGGACATATTCAGGGCTCAGACGTAGCGCTCTCGGAAACATGCTTACCTGAACTCAACAAGTTAGTCGCAATTGTTGAGGCAAGGAACGCCGCGGACCACAGTGCGAGCGCCTCGGCGAAGATGTTACTGCTACTGGCTTGCGAACAACTGTAGACCGCATAAATACCGGTCACTACGAGGCAACATCAGATCATTTTCTGAGCATGATTGTGAACTAACCTGCGACACTGCACCACAGCATGCACGGTACGATGATAACCCAGACGGATTGCCAGACAATATAGCAACGATAAATCTTTTACCTCAGTTCTATAAGTTCAGAGGCTCCTAAACTAGCAGATAAAATTATAAACCCACAACCACCCCATCAACGAGTATAGTCTGCATGACATAAAACGCATGCTTGATCACATACGTGTCTTGGGAAACATCTTGGAAGAACGCCGACGGCCCGCCTGGGTACGTGTCACGATACTTCACCAGTCCATCTTCGACACGAATGATATTCACGGCCATGTGCTAGAGAGATATCAGCAGATGACATCAGATGCAAGAGGCGAGAAGTTAACCGCGGTACTCAGTATCATCAGCAAAATGGCTACCACAGTGACTGGGCGATTGATGTCCTGCATGCGGTGATTGCAGGTCAAAGCACAGATGGTACCTATAAACATGAGGGCCGAAAAGCCTGCAGAACAGTTAATGTTAGCTTGGTTGGCAGGGAGAGACCAGCACATTGCGATACTTGCCGTATAGAATACCTTCTAGCAATGCCGACATTGCAACAGCAGCATCCATCGGCATCCCTCTCGAAGCCATGATGTCGACGGTCTGGGGGATAAGATGGTTTGGGCATCTTCGCCGGTTTCACATACATCGTTATTATATGACCTGAGTCAAACTTGGTTTCACGGTCAATGCTGATAGAAGTCTCTGATGGCATCGCAGGTGGCTGCATCATGGGAGTTTCAGGTATTTCTGGAACCCGTTGGTTCCCACGCTTGAAGTAGAGCCGCTGCGACGACGTCTGCGATCTCCGTGTCTCCACCATTTGACGTTCGTTCCACGATTAGTAGCCTATTTGACTCAGACGGTCACGGTGAGCGATAAGAACTAAGTTAGTGATTGCGGCAAGTTGCGGAACAATCTGATGGGCCGGCGGCAGCGGCGGCTGCATCACTAACCGTTTCATTACATGAACTTCCATGCTAAAATTTTCTATGGGCGCTCACCGGTGCACCCACCGCGGTAGACTCTATAATAGTGATTCCTCACATCAGATTTCCCCAATTATCTTATCGTCGTCACGTTGTACACCGTAGCCATGCCTCTTGGGATCAGACGAGTCACAGGCTGAGCGGCAGGTATTATAAGGCGCATTAAATTTACTCTCAGATCTTTTTCTAGCCCACTTAAGCACCATGAAGCTAGGAGCACTCATCACGGTAGACTATGCTGCTGGTGTTGTTGCAGCAGCAGCGGTGCTCGCCGTGCTATACAAGAAATCCTCGTTCAAGTTAGCAAACGGCAAGAACGGCATTCCGCTTCCACCTGGACCTCCCGCCCGTTGGTTCTGGAGCAACGCTTTGCCTTCTGTCAAGTGAGTTTTGGAAACGTCACCCTTGGTATATGGAACTGATGCAGTCCGTCTACTTAGCATTGCTCGTGCGTTGACTGACCTTGTTCGGGAGTATGGGCCTGTGGTATCGTTCCGACAAGGCAGTCAAGTGATCATCGTCATTGGGAGCGTCGAGGTAATCCGCCCGTAATTAGGTTTTCTCAAACTTTGACCCATCCACCAGGCAACCACGGCCATCATGGAGACAGAAGGTAAATCGCTGGTAGATCGACCCCCGTCTATCGCTGCGGGCGAGATGCTCTCAAATGGGATGCGTATTGTCATGGCTCGTTCCGGAGAACGCTTCCGGCGTCTCCGCAAAGCGGTTCATACCCATCTCCAGCCCAAGGCAGCAGAGGCATACAAAGATATGCAGCACGATAACGCAAGTAAATTTGTATTGGATATCCTAAATGACCCCAAGAACCACAAGGAGCACGCAGCGCGGTACGTCGTTAGTACAAATTCCTTTTGTAGTCCTTTCACAGATATGTTGCCTCAAGGTATTCAGCATCGGTCATTCTTCGGGTGACCTATGGGAAGTCTACGCCAACTGCTTACACTGATCCTGAAATTGTCCGTATCTACAAAGTCCTCAAACATTTTGAGCTTGTGATGCGCCCAGGAGCTTATCTCGTCGATCGTGTGCCTCTTTTGCGCTACTTGCCTGGTTACGGAAAACAACTCAATGAGTGGCATAATGAGGAACTAAGTCTCTACAGACATCAGTTAGGGCGAGTCGAGAGGGAAATAGTGAGGGCTTTCTTTTTTGATAAACGTACTTCATAATAATGATTCTTGCACTAAGGAACAAAACAAAGCGGGTCCCTCTTTCACCAAGACACTGTTGGAAAACACCGAAGACCACCAACTTGCGACAGATGAGATGGCCTATCTCGCTGGAACACTCTTTGGTGCGGGATCTGATACAGCAAGTGACGCAACATATATCCTCTCCGTGAACTTACTGATGGGCGCGGTTCAGACTGCTATTGGAATTACCACTGCTATCATGGCTGCGGCATGTCACCCACTGGCTCAGGCAAAGGTGCATGAAGAACTCGATATGATCGTCGGATCAGACAGAGGTAAGGCTAAGAAGGTGAACGTTTTACTTTCTTAACTAATCCTTAGTAATAGCGCCAACGTTTAAAGACTCGAGCTTGCTCCCTCAATTGCACGCGTTCATTTTGGAAGCTTTGAGGTGGAGACCTGTCATTCCCATAGGTAAACCCCAAATTCGACGCGTTCCTGCACGGTGCTGACATGTTCCTCAGGATTTCCCCACCGCGCAACTCAAGACATCATTTGGGTCAGTGTCTTGACAAAACTTATGGCGTAACCCATGTTCTTATTATATCGTGTATGCAATCAGCAAGGATACTGCATCCCCGAGGGCGCAACGGTCTATGGATGCCATTGGTAAGGTTAAATACATCTTTACTGCGCGTCCCTTCATTAATTCAACCTATCAGGGCAATCTGTCGCGATCCAATTGCCTTCCCAGATCCTGACAAATTCGATCCCCAGCGCTGGCTTGATTCAGAAGGCCGCCTTAAGGACAATGTAAAGTCTTTCACCTTTGGCTTTGGTAGACGGTAAGTTGTGCCAACAGTCTTTGACAGCGATCAGTGAAGTTCACCTGTCATTGAAAGGGTGTGTCCTGGCAGGCATCTCGCAGATAATTCAATGTTCATCGGCCTCGCACTTCTCTTCTGGTCTTTCCGCATTGATCAACGACCTGACGCTCCGATAAACACACAAGCTAGCGACAGTATCGTTTCCCATACTGCGCCATTTGAAATCAATGTCGTTCCCCGGATCGATGTTGCGAAGTTGAGAGAGATGATGACGGATGAAAGTTTGTATTGAAATGTTGAAGATGGGGTGCTGTTGTTCGTCCTTCCTGACTTGTGGGCTTATTCACTTTACTTGTCCCTGCGAAAGTCAACTGCAACGCATGGAGTCCACTACATAAGTAGCGGTATAGATATTACTGAACGCACATTGTTACTACTCATGAAGCTCCCTGCGAACACGTTCCTGAAGTCAAAGCGCAGGTCCGTGATGCGCGTTTGCTCGAGATAAAGAGAGTGCAAGAAGTTACAGGTAATGGCCACGCCCCATATTGTGTTCACCCGAGGTCAACGTGGTGGCTACCTTAACCTGGATACATGATGGCACTGCACGATGGTTAAAGATCACATACTTGGTGGCCTCTTGAAACAACACAACTTCAATGAGTTCAACGCAAACGCCCATGTCACAATGTTGAGCACTTAGGGCCATGACAATTATTAGCAGGCAATACGACGTAGAACTACACACCAATATGAATAAAACAGTCCTCTGCTCGAGTAGTACTTTCGTCTTCATAGCATGTGTGGCATGATTGAGTGCCCAGGCCGCCTTCGTACGGTCCATGACAGTCCTATCCTCCAAATCATTGAATGCATCCTCGTAGAAAGCTTCGACAACGTGTTTGCAACAGCGTCACCAACCTCCCATAGCGTACCAAAAAAAATGCAGCCAACAGCAAAGCTTGAACAGCTCACCGTACATGTGCATCTTTGTTGTGAACAGGGACGTTGAACCTGAGAATGAGAAGCTCTGAGATTTCGATAGTAGCACCGGGTGGGTATATATACGGTAATATCGCATGTTGGGTAGTCTCCCATTCCAGACAGTCACTCTATCTTTGTGATGCTTGTTATGCGCCAGTGCATCAGAATCATTTTGCCCTTGGTGGCCCCCACGCACTCGGCTGCTCAGATTCATCCGTGTAATCGGCCACCACCGAGCGCTCAACGCGTACGCGTACATCAAGTTCTATGTCGTCGGCATGCCCATCGTAAGGAGATTTGGGGCTAAAATTTGCATCCATGGGGTCTCTAGAGCCTTTTGAATGGCTCTTAGACTCGAACTGTGAGCGGAGACCGGACATCACTTTTTTCTGTGCAGAGAGTGTGTTACGTGCGACGATCACATTTTCCACACGTTGAGTATTCGGTTCTGATATTCCGTTGCAGGTGTAGGTGAGTGGAGCGGAAGCAACGGAATAATGAACATTGCGAACATTAACGGAATATCGGTCAAACTCGGAAGTGGTGCACACCTCGTATATTGATGAGGATCCGTTGGCTCATGATCCACGTTACAGCATAGCCCATTGACGACCTAATGATACATTCTGAGCAGTTTGATCTCCTTGACGCCAGACGATGCCAAACGTACCCCGCCGTCTTATAACAGGAGTAAGTTGATATGCTCTGAATTTCACGGTGTATCCGTAATTGAACCTACGTACCTGAGTCTCAACGTTGGTCGTATGATAAAGGATGAGGTTCAATACGTTCGACACTGAGGGAATATTAAGAGGGTGCTCATCACAAACGGAACGTAACTTGCCGGACAACGCGATAAAATATCCAATGCCATCATAGATCAGGCTAATTGTGATGAGCGACGTGCATTCTCTGCCAGCGGCGAGGGACTTACACACGTATCAGCTGTTCGACTCTAACAGCAATGTTTTAGCGACCCTAAAGATGGGAGAGATAAGGCGCACCTGCTACTGAGAGGATTATAACGCAGGAGATGGATGGTAGATACCGTCACCATCACGATGTCATACATCATCACAGCGAGGTAGTAGAACCAGGTTGTCAATACTTTGCCAGTATTTGCTGAGGTGCAGCTATGGTTCGTGGAGATTTGAAGAGCCCACACCAGTGGTAAGGGAATCACTTACTTTCCCTAAAAACAGATGTTGTTTGTTTGGATGAGATATCGTTGTAAGGAACACTGACGTACATTGACAGAAGCAGCTGTTGGTTCTAAAGGTCAGTGGGAACCCAAGATTAAATTCTAAGCCAGAGCTTACGGGTTCCGTGAAATAAAACGGCAAACCACTCCGCCTAAAACGAATAAGAGAAATGATATAATGCGTGCTGTAAGAGCCCACCGAAACTGAGACGAGGTATAGCAACAACAGTGCAATTCCTATCCGCCTTTCTCTTCTTACAATATTGAATGTCCTACACGGTGTTTTTTAAGTCTGCAACTGCAACCCACAAAAAAATTGGCAGGACATACCTGACTCCTAGGATGACCTGTGATATCATAGTTTGTACAACTACATCGTGGTCAATAAAGCCTTGGTGTGTGAACACCAATAGGACACACCTTTGAAGATAGGCGCCAGAAGATAGTATTGTCGACATGTTTGTAGGGTAAAGGCGGTGGAGAAAAATCCGTAATTGCTGAATAATATAACCACGATACTAACATAACTGCATGAAACGTGAGCGAAAAAAATCACACAACTAAACGAGGACAAAGCGTACCGTATAAGAATGAACAAGGCGCAGGCAAGACTGATGGAAATCGAGCTTGTCATCAGTAGTCCGCGAATGCACGCATACACATACCTTATATGAAAAATTGACGATTGGCTTCGGTAAAAGCGCCATTCTGCTGGGAGTGTGATAAGATAACTAAAAGCAATCAGTCAGAATATGGTGACGGCTACAAGGCCACTACAAAGAGAGCAAAGACTTACTCGTAAAACGCAACAGAGACTGCTGCTATTCGGAAATACTTCTCCGTGGTTACACTGTCTACAACTAAACTCTCCATTTAATAGATGAAAAGTGCGTTGATTAACTCTGCCAGTCAGGCAGATCTATCATCTGTCGTTGACTTGGATGCTAAATTGAGGCAAGGGATTAGGCAAAGATGTGAATGACGAAGACTTCTGCGAATAAAGACGTTATAACCCGGACGGTGCGCTTTCAACACAAAAAGGAAGCGACACGAAGAGGGACAAATAGAGTGAATGCATTGATATTGCTTTTCTACCGAGTACTAGTGGAAGCCCGGGCCAGCGAGCGTGACGGTCCAAAAGGGTCCAAACCCCAGTTTCTGCTGAGTAAGCGGGGTTTATCAAATTCGAAGTATCAATTTAAGGTCTCAGTATGCGAGGAACGCATCTGACTGTCACATCGCTACCAGACGTCGTTCAGAAATCATGCCAAAATCTTCGAATCAGAAGGGCTCCAGTCGATCATATCATCAAAATTTCAATTATTTCGCGTGTCACACATCGCGGCACTCCGAGGGTGTCCGGCGCGTCCCGTTATCATAGTAAGTAGCCTTCTTACATCCCACAGATTCGATTCGCGCCTATCATCGCGCTCTTCCCTGACTTGGACATAGGCTTCCGCTTGAGATACCTAACTCACCTCAGCCTCAGACTCCCTGAGTTTCCGTCGACGAGAAAGCACGGATCGCAGCGTATGAACTTTGAAGCATGCGCGTGACGCGTGCGCGCCCAGGGGTAAGGGGTGAGCTGCCATGGATGGATGGCGAATATGCAATTGGACCTTTGACAGTCTGTAGCCGGAACGGTCAGTTTCAATTTTTTTCCTTGTGATATCTTGCCGCGAGCGCTCTAGCTAGGTCCTATCGATGTTCCTATTTCCGTGCCGCCTCCACACGCTCCAACTGTGTTGTTGAGGCCTGGTGCCGCCAATGCCTCCATATGAGCTGTATGCCTCTAAGGCCCCGCACAAAAGTGTCAATTGCGAAGGGTGTAAGTTCAATCTACTTAGTAGGAGATCCTGCAACCCAGCAGTATCCTTTATGTGATCTAAGCGGCATAAAGGTAAATTTCTATCTAGTTGACGACAAACGATTGTTAACATCGATGTAGAATGTTATATGACCTTGTACACGTCACAAGAATTACAGATGGCTCACCTCAGTGTCGAATCGTATATCTCCCTCCGAGTCTGGAATTCGGCCTTGATTCTTCTTACCCTCCAGAAATACTGCGCGACGTGCTGCTCTATGTTGTTCATGCCACCCCAGCGTTCCATGGCGCATCAGTGAACCCAGCCCCTATGCCCAGCACGATGTTGCCCACTCTGGAGTCACAAACTATGATTTTCGATATGTCTCTCTCGCGAACCTATGATATGTATTTCAGTAGACAATTTATACAAAGTAGCTGTAATATACTGGGCGACGGGCCACTGGAGCGCTTCTGCCAGTGGGATCCTAATGACACGCGGGTGTTTGTTGATATTAGCATTCTCTATCGAAATAAGTTGTGTAATGTTTGACAAAGGTGGAGTGTGCGGAGGGGAGATCGTGTCCCGGCGTGTACCTGGCGCGACTTCTTTCGTGCTTTTTCATGCAGACGGCCTGGGTTTGAGTTTTATTAATCTTGAAACAAGCAGTCCGCCGTTGGAGTAGGGGGTCCTAGGGCAGGGGTAGAGCAGAAGACCCCATACGGACGATTCCGAGAGCTTAGTCAGCCAGGTTAGGATAGAGCAGCACAGCATGTCAGTAGCATCATCATTCCAGCACAGACAACCACGAGACGACGGCACCACTCCACCGTGGTGGGTGTCTAGACTTTTGAGAAGCAGTTGATGATTATAAACATACGTACAATCTATTTATTCATCTATAACACCAATTCGTGGATTTGATGTGATTCTGGGTAGAATCTTTCCAGTTGTCGGAGTACAGGGAAAGTGTCGAGGTCGTTAAGTACGCCTAGTCCAGGCAATGTAGGAGAAATGACCTTGCTCTCCCATTCTACGGCCCATATGCTAGACCGGGTTCAGTAGACAGTTGGTTTGATGATAACTTGAATGAAGTCGAAATGTAGACGAGGGACGTCCAGAACGTCCGTGGACAGCGACCGTAGGACTTACCGTTATAATATAGGCTGGCCGGCCTTGCCAGTGCAGGCTCAGCTACAGGTGTTGCCCGGGCTGGCGTTGGTTTGGGTGCAAAGGCAGACGCGGCAATACCCGAGGGTGATATTTTCTCCAAATAGTCACTGGTCACCTTCTTTGATGTCACGACTCGTCTTTTCTTCGGAACTTCCTGGCAGCACTTTATCATGGTCTCTTCAAGTTGTGCTGGTACCTTAGCCTGAGTTGCCACAATGTTAACAGTTAACTCGGTTTCAACGTTCGGGTTGGTCACAAATATCAACATCAGGGAACTCTGGGCGACACTAAGTCCTTAGCCTCAGGCTGGGCCCTATATGCGATCACCCGCATCTTTTGTCTCCACATATGCCGGCACTGCGCGCACCAACTCTACGAGGCACAATTGACGTGTGAAGCCAAGTACGACCTTCCTGAACCATCCTCCGTTCTTGCCGGCTGACAGGAAAGCACTGTGAAAATTCTTACTGGTGCTACTGATCTGACGAATGGGCGAATTGACAAAGATTGGCCAGTGACCGAACATGAAAGTGTACGTCGGTATAGCAACGTTCAATGATCAATCCATTTCTGACGATTGGGGGTGGCAGCGCAGATGTGACGGGCCAAAACCGGCCAGAACCATCAGTTGATTTGAGTAAGTTCACGCAATTTACATTATCTTGCGTCATGATATGGCGAAGTTCACGGAAAGGCACAGCCAGTTATCCCTAAGCGCCACTGTGGAACCGACCTTTATAGTTCCTGGGCCTCCAAAGAGCCCATAAGTTATCCGTCCATCGCAGGGGCAGCTCGTAGACATCAATGTCTGAATACTGCCGATCTGGGGTTCAGCCAAGTACAATTATAGAATCAGGAATCAGTACCGTAATGCCGAGTAACTGATATCTATCAACATCTATGATTGAACGATCGAACTCGCCTTAAAACCCCAGTCACGCGTCTATCGAGAAACCATTTCTTCCTTCCTTCCTTCTTCCACTGTTCTGCGATGACTTACGTTGTGAACACTGTTCCCGCTGATCGGACGAATTCTGTCAGCTCTGAACACGAGCGGTTGGAGGACTCGGTTCTGGACCTCAAAAATGTCCCAGTGCTGACACCAGAACAGGAGAAGAAACTGTGGAGAAAGATTGACTTACGGTTGATGCCTATCCTTAGTTTGATGTACCTCCTGGCTTTCCTTGACAGAAGTGCGTGGTAATCTTAACCCTTGATATCGAATGTATTCCTCACTCTTCAACAGGTAACATCGGCAACGCGAAGTTGGAGGGGCTTGAAACTCAGCTGGATCTCACAGGAAACAGATTCAACATTGCATTGGTACGTAATGTGAGGTTTTTTGTTGAAAAGATTGCCAATCTTAAAGCTGGATGCAGATAATGTTTACCATAGTAAGCATCGTTATTCCTACCGATGTCATATTTTTTTGAAGAAAAATGTGAAGCCATACTGCCTGTGTGAACCTCCCACTAAGTTTGTTTGCCTAATTTGTTGCTTATCCGTGCTCTGACCGCAACCTCAAGCCTGGTTCTTAAAACATTCCGCCCATCCAGGCAAGCGTTTATGATCGTCATTGAGTGCTGCATGACTTACTTTTTTTTGTAGATGGCTTCCAGGGATCAATGTAAGTCTTACATGATGACTACTGAATGTATCTGACGCGCGGTAGTTTGCATGGGGGATAATTATGTGCGTCATTGAATTTGAATCGTGGTACGGTTTAAAGTTTCTGAGCAAAACATATCGCCAGGATAATCATGGCTTTCGTGAAGACGTAGGCTTAGGCAAATCCTCGCCATAATTTTGACTTGAGATTGACCTTGAATGCCAGATACCCTCAGCTTGTCGGAGCCCGAGTCTGTCTAGGCGTTGCTGAGGCGGGTTTGTTCCCTGGTGTTGTTTATTAGTGAGCGTAACTAAAGAACTTTTTGCGGAATATCGCTGATGAGTCCGCAGCCTTACTTTGTGGTATCCGAGACACATGTTACAATATCGAAGTAAGGTATCCTGCATTTGGTTGTCCGTTTGCGATGCTGAAGTGCCCCGATAGTTGGATTATTTTTCGGTGCTGCAACACTTGCAGGTTTGTTGTCTTGCTAAACCACTGGGATTTCAATAGCGAAATAAATTTTAGGTGCTTTCTCCGGTTTACTAGCCTTTGGGATCAGTTACATGAGTGGCATGGAGGGACTCGAAGCATGGTCTTGGATCTTCGTGAGTTCCTTTATGGTCAATGTCCGAAGTTATGCTCAAAACTTGCATGCAGTTGCTTGAAGGCCTTGTAACGATAGTTGTAGCCTTCGTTGCTCTTTTTGGCAAGTACAGCACGCATTCGATCACACAGTGGACTGATAGGTATACAATCGCTCAGTACTGGTAGACTTTCCTGACACAGCTAAGTTTTTGGCCCCCGAAGAGCGTGCTTTTATTGTCTGGAGGAAAAGTAAGTCAATTGATAAATTGTGAGAGGCGAAGATGATTCGGATTTCTTTCAGAGTACGACAATTCGTCAGTCGGTGAGGAAGAGAGGTTTGCGGCCAGGCACGTCTGGGCCGCGTTCAGAGACTGGCAGGTAAGATGCTCATTGCTTCATCATCTCCGTGCCCCAACCAACCTGTCAGGTCTGGACTCATATCCTCATTTATATGTCAATTGTCGGACCTTGTGAGTGAAACACCTTTGCTACTTAGAGACGGCAGAAGCTGACCTGAGGCACTCTCAGTGTATGGCATCACCCTGTTTCTCCCGTAAGTCGATTGCTACAACTTTGAGATGGTGCTTAACATTATTTGTGCCAGAACGATCATCAAAAGGTCTGTCGTCGCAAGCTGGCTGTGATTCGTTCATTCAAAATTCTATTCAGCTTCGGATATAACACGCCAGTCAGCCAGCTGCTCACCATACCACCATATGTCGCCGCAAGTCAGTTTCCTTACCCATCAGCAGTCTCACGCAGTAACAAGGTCCATTTAGCTCTCACATTGCTCGTTTTTGCGCACTACTCGGACAAGTTGAAGATGCGATCCCCTTTCATTCTTGCCGGCCTTACTATGTGTCTGATCGGTTTTTCGATAAATATATCCACCGCACCCAGTGGTGCCAAGTACTTTGGGACTTTCTTCATTGTCATGGGAAGTTATGCAGCATTTCCTGGCGTGGTTTCTTGGTATGTCATTAGCAGTGACGTCATGACCAAGGCTGACATATGGCACTGAAGGCTTGGAAACAACCTTGCCGGCCAGTACAAGAGAGGTGTTGGTATGGCCCTCCATATTGGCATTGGAAACTTCAGTGCTGCCATTGCAACTGTCATCTATCGATCGCAAGACTCACCTCGGTTTATTCTTGGGCGTAAGTTCAACTTCGTTCACATGACTCGCGCCGCCTAACTCTCTGTTTTCCAGATGGACTGGAGCTCATGTTCGTCGGCATTGGATTCACCTTTGTACCACTAGTCGTGTTCATTTACAAGAGGATCAACGCGCAACGTGACGCTGCCGAACGCCTCGCAACTGAACGAGGAGAGAAAGTACAATACTCGGTCCAGGAATTACGGGAGTTGGGAGATCGTGCGCCTGACTTCAGATACACATTATGAAAAGGAACGAAATTATGCCTCATGATTATCATGACCTGGTATCGAGGATACAACTTTGAAAAAAATTGCGTTTGTGGACTCTTTGGTTCGAACCAAATACACTGGCACAACTCGTCCAGCTGAACGAGTGTGTCATTTTTCTTCTCTTCATTTTTCCTTCTCTATACATCCCACTCGCTCGAACCTACCTCATTTCTATTTTCCTTCTGCTTAGGAGATCCATCATTCCCACAGAAAAGCCCAAAATTCGGCGCACTTTTGTACCTGTGCAATCAGCAACGAAATTACATATATTCCTAAAAACGCAGCGGTCTATGCCATTGGTGAGGTTTTACTTCTTGATGCTGTGCGCCCTTTCATTATCTAAATTGGTCAAGGCTATTTGTCACAATCTTATCGCCCCCAGACAAATTCGATCCCTAGCCAGAAGGCCGCCTTAAGGACAATATGAAGTCTTTCACCTTTGGCTTTGGTAGATGATAAGTTTTGCCGCCAGTTTTGACAGATACTAACAAAGTTTTGTTGTCTCTGGAAGGGCGCGTTCCGGCAGGCACCTTGCAGGTAATTCAATATACGGCCCGCACTTCTCCTCTCATCTTTCCGCATTGATCAACGACCTGACGCCCCGATCAATACGCATGCCAGTAACAGTACTACTGTTCTGTCCCAAGAAGCACCATTTCAAAATCGATGCGATTTCACGGATCGAAGTTCGGAAGGATGACTCGGAAAGTATGTGTTGAAGATGTGGTGCTACTGTTCGTCCGTTGTAGTGCTTATTTCTTTCACCCCGCGCGATATTTTGATCCCCGATTCCCACAAAGTGGGAGAAGGGTTTTGTCGGACGCAAGTGGCTGCATTGAGGGCTGACCTAGAATTATTGTAGACAGGACAATTCCATATTTGATTGAGCGTAAGCTCAATTTATCCTGGTGTTGTCTCATGGGCGATGTGGATTTGAAGAATTAGTAGTGGCCCATGGCCAACGGTACTCTTTCTGCCACTCAAATGAAGCTGGTTTCAAGTTGCCACGAGCAGTACTAGTCGCTGTCAAAATCACGTGCCCAAAATGGTTCAACGGCAGGTGCAAGGCAGCTGTTGGCACGGTTGTCCGTCCAACCAGCCTGGAACGCAAAGTCATCAGGCCCACTAGTAGTCATTCTCATTTTTCTCATTTGGAATAGCTTATCCATCGACTGTGCGCTCTCTGGCGGATATGATACATCCAGATCTTCGCCAGGTCCCGTAGCACCTTGGCTTCACATCGAATCAAGGAAGGCAAGGCTGCCGGAGATCCTATGGATAAAAATGCAGCGTACAATGCGGAGAAGGCTGCCAAGGAACTGGAGCCTCTCAGGCGTAAGATAAAGTAGCTTCAACTCGCTGTTGTATCTATGTGTGATTGATGTTTCCACGTGTCCGTCAATTCAGGTACAATTCCAGAGTTTGTCTCATGTGCGCATGTCCGGCGTGCCATTCGTGCGTGCATGCTCTGCTTGTTTCGGCGACAAACCCCATTCCCAATCTAGACGCGACCGAGGACGGGATCCGAAGAACCGTTGACGAAACCGTGAAATATTACAGGAGATCTGAACAATAACTATCAACGTCGCACTTGCACGCTAAAACACCAAGGTACCGCAAGAACAAGTTCATTCCTCACAAGCCACTTCACAAAATTGTGAGTTAGTTGGTCGATATCTATATTTCTGGATCCTAAATTATCCATACGTTGTTGTAGAGTGGTCATGGTCAGAACGAGCATTGCGAGTATCCAGGTCGGAAAACGTTTCCCCAGCTGCCACCCTCCAGGCCGCTTCATTAGGGACCGGTCCCCCCTTCTGGGATCTTAATACAGATGTCTATGCGTTAGGAACCATCGACCATCGTCGATAACGATAATTTCGACACCGAGGAGGATGATTTGGAGACTAAGAAGAAAAGTTTCGTTGCTGGCTTTGTTATTGATTGGTACTACACTTTACAGAATTACTAGGAGATACATCTATTCACGTAATAATAATATACAGGGATGATACGTCAACTCTCTAGAGGCCAGACTAACGAAGGTAGTAGCTGGGCTGCCGTGGATGAGTTGATTGCTGCTGAACTTCCTGATGCGTATATGAATGGTTATATTCAACAACAACAATATCACAAGACTCGAGCTTGAATAGGTGAACGAATGGGTACAAATCTGATCCACAATGAGAAATTGGAGAGATCGTACTACCAACGTCCTGTCATTGTGCGGTGCTATGCAAGAGATGAGAGATTACACACTCGGGAATTTTCCAAAGCCTCGCCCAGAGACTCATATGTAATGCGGGCGACCTTAACGCAAGAAGTCGGAATATGAAAACCAGGATTCATCCCAACACAGGTGTCCTCGGGGTTCCATTGTGCCGCACAGGCGACCGTGACCTTTCAGGCGATGCAAATGGTGGTGCAACGGGTGTAGTGAAAAACACTGGTCGTGGCTGCGTCTCTAGACCACTTCCGGGAGACGGAAGCCCGGAAGGATAGACAAATAACGGCTGAGCCACATACGCTGGGTATAACGGCCCAGAGTATTGTTGGTTGTTGGTACTTTCTGACGATGGAGCACCATCTGAAGAGGGCGATCGGGACCGCCCACCAGATACTTGTCTAGAGAACATGAGATTTGCACTGCTGGGGCTAATGACATACGGTCTTGGAGCTGGAGCAGGTGAGTTCTGGACATGCTGTGGAATACGGCCTGTAGATAGAGGAGTTGATGGACCTGAAAGCAAGTCCAAGGGTCGCTTGTTTCGCTGGGTGTACCAACTCTTTGATGTTTTGGAGTACCGTTGACGGCTGTGCCTCCTCCTGTCACCCTGTCCGGGAACATACTCATTTGAGATACGAGCCGGAGAAATCCAAGGAAGGCCGCTAAGGTCCCGCATGAATCGCCGAACACGCGCCACTTGGGAGGCAATGGATTCCTCTGGTGGGGGGCGGATGGGAGACTCCATCTTTGCAAAATCCTCTGCAGGCCGAGGTTCTACAAGGACAGGAGTCGCTTGAGTCGAAAGATGAATGGTGCGGGGGATGGAAATCGCTTCAGTGGAGCGGTTAAATGGGTGAAGAGCGGAAATTGCATCAGTGGAGTGGTGGAATGGATGGGAATTATCGCGGTGGAAGTGGGCGGGGAAAATGTCATCATGACTGTGCGAGCGACTAGGTTCGTACAACTCGTTGACAGCTGACAATGTCCGGTCACGCCTTGTATCCGCAATGGATGTACGTGTATCAGTATCAAGCAGAATATTGGGTCTTGTGGGAGATAGCACGTCGGACGGAGGCGTGTCAACTCTCTCTACCTGGGGCACATTATTTGCTAGCACTTGTCGGTGTGTGAGCGAGATTCCTGGAGCTTGAAGATTCGGTTGGTACGGAGGGAGTGCAGTCCCCTGCTTCACTGGCTTGATATGGTCCTTTGAATTCAAACGTCCTCTCGACATGACTCTCGGTATACTTTTCAACCCATTCATGAACCCGCCGTAAAACTTCTTTTTTCCCTGGGGCTTCCTCTCATGTGCCTCGGGAAACCCATATTCATTCTCCTCATCGGCACCTGTGTCGTCGATGCCAACAGTCATGTACTCGTAGTCCGAGTCTGACAAAGTGGGTTGTGCTGTATGAAGTGCTGGACGCATGACAGGAGTGGAATGTTGCCAGTTAGGCGTCTGAGGGGTTTGAGTTGCAGGGTACTGGGATGGCTGAGAGGCTGAAATCCAAGTAACATCTCGGACACGCGAAGCATGGCTTGCCCTAGAGTATCGATCCCTGGGCATTGGCTCTCCAAGGAAATCCCGAGTAGTACTGGCGGAACGCGAGAAGCTTGTGTCAATACGAATGTCTCGAGGTTGCCCATAGTCGGAGTCAGACATTGCAGTAGACAATCGGGGGTAAATGGTGCAGCTGGCAGAAGCGGAGTATGAAGAAGCGTCTAGAAAGCGACACGAGTCCTTATATAAGTGTGGTCGGCGTAGAACTGCACTAGGAGCGAACGTCACGTTGTGACACGAGGCTCCAGCGAGATCTGAGATTAAACAAACAGTGCCACTCAGAGCACTGAAATGCATGCTCATTCTCGCAGTTTATCACAGCCTGAGCATGCATCTCTCGCATGGTATTTGACTGCAAGAAGAGCACCTGTGACAATAGTGGTCAGAAGACAACAAAAACCCACATTTTGGCTTTCATATCAGTCCTGCAGATCCCAATGTTCGTCAGAGGCTGTACTTTATCGTCTTGAAGCCGCTGAGACCAGTGGAAAGTAAGGCGATGACCCAACCGGGGCGGTGACGTATTGAAGTGCGTGCTGGTAGGCACCCACAAATCGGGTTAGCGAAAAGATGACCGGCAGCGGTGCAGCCAAGGTGCAGGACAGCCCTATTCAGAATCTCCCATTACGTTCGGGATGGAGAAAATGCGTGCTGCCCAGCATGCAAGAACAGCTGTGCCATGGCACTGACCCAGAACCTGAGGACAAAGCCTACGCAAGTCCCAATTGCTGATCCATACCATGATCTCGTACCAGGAAAGACCTGGTCACCAACCTCGTGTATCCTTACACCAGGTGTAACCTTCGAGCTTATAATTGCACCATTTTGTTGGTGGGGAATTTGAACCGTCCGGACTCCGAGTCGTTTAAAGTTTAAACCCTACGCGTCCAGGCTCGGGAATCACGTGCGCACGGAACTTCAGAATAAATTCGTCAGACTCCGACTCCCACATCCTCATCTACTGAACAGTGAGCAGTGAACACCGCTCGAACAGCCTCGCCATGGTCAACCCATACTCTACAGTCAGTCTTCTTGTGGCCATGAATCGATCAGCGTCTCGATTGAATGCGATGCAAAACGGAGTACCTCAGGCATATCGACAGTCTGCAAGCTCCTGCAGTCGCTAGCTCCCTAGCTCCTTTGAAGACGAGCGACTTGAGGTCAGCCAACTGGCAGTCGATGGCAGCAGGCTTATTACTGACGCCCGGGGGATCAGTGCTTCTAATAGATGTGGATGCACTGTACGATGTCAAGCATCTGGGAATATGGTGTCCAACCCTGCGGATGGCGCCCTAAGAGCGATTCTGCTTACTTCTCTTCAAGCTGTCTTACAGGGCTTTTTGTATATTTATGTTTTGCCTTCGACACTCTCCTTTTCACCTTGCGTTCATGCTCTTTTCTGTTGTGGTTTCCCGCTCGCCTCACGTTTTGTCACCCAAATACCGCCCGAACTGTGGTGCTTACCGCTAATACAAGCGGCCTGGCATAACGCCGCTCAGCTCGTCCAGTGGCGCTCAGTTTAGGGCTTTATAAGTGAGTGTGCGATCAACGTTGCATGAAATTTTGGCAAATGCAGAAAACACATGTGCCGCTTACAGGTAATCGAAATGTTCAAGTAGCCCCAGGCTGGTTACCACTACTCTGGATTTCTACATCTTCATGGCGCCTATTACTATCACTTCCACTGCAATCGGCACCCCACAGAAGTCGGCAGTCACGCAAATGTCACTCTAAGTCACGACATGTCACATATGCCGGTTTCAAAGCCAGCTCGGCGGTCAGGTAAGAGCGCAAGGTCTGCTACTATTTGACGTGAGCGAGCAGGTATGGTATTTACTAAGTAGATATATCTAATTACGAGGGTAACCATCATTAGAATTATAGTAGAATTGAGTGAGATGTGTAGGAAGGCCATGTACATTGTATGGATGAGGTTGTCTTTCTAAGTTCGATGATGATGCAATGGGAGTCGGACTGCGAGATGAATGATTATGCTGCGTTGTAGGGTAAGGTGGCGTGTGGGGAGCTGGATTAGCGTAGAATTGATGAAAATGTGGCTGGTTGGTAAGGTGCGGAGGATAAGTCGAATTGAAAGAATGCGTGGGAGCGGTGAAAATTTGATTGCTGGAAGCCATGGTGTTGGACGAGGTAGCGCTATTGTCCCGCGAAGTGCTACTACTGGCTTGTCCTGTTGACGACGCAGTGACTGAATTCTTCGAATGTGTTTTTCCCATCTGGAAGAGCGCAGAAAAACGTGGATTCATCAGCAAACTACAATGTTCTGTACAGCTCTGTACAGAGCTGTACAGTGCCACAGCACCACAGCTTGGTCCCTTCTGTACAGTACTACACAGAGCCTCCCCACTCTGTACAGTACTGCACAGAACCTCCCAGTGCCACAGCTTCCAGTACCACAGCTCCGACAGAGCCAAAGCTTCAGGTAGTAAACAAATAAAAACAAGTTCGCTTTTTTTGACACTTTTAATTGCCAATGTCAGGAATTGAACTGGTGACCTCAAGCCTCATGCACTCAGAATTATTTATCAACAACAACATACTTACCATTACACCATAGTAGCTTTCCTATACCTCACTCAAAATGATATATATACCATTTCTCAAGTCACATTACCTAGTCTTAATAACCAAAAACTCGAAATTCATAAGTCTTTCCTATGCTATTCTTATTGGTATTGCCTAGTCTCTGATAATCAAAAACTCGAAATTCATAAGTCTTTCTTTACTATGCTATTCTTATTGGTATTCCTAGTCCTAATAAGCAAATATTAGACACATTACTTGTGTGCCTGAACTTTCTTGAACACACCACTTTCTAGTATTTTGCTTATAACTCATTAGGATCTTAACCTATTGAAATCATAAGACTATGGATAGACTTCCCTTGACAAGGACTACAACTTTGATTTTCATCGAAAAATGTTCCCACGGCTAAGTTGCTTTCTTGAACACACCACTTTCTAGTATTTTGCTTGTAAGTCATTAGGATCTTGACCACAAAATGTTGTGAGACTATGGATAGACTACCCTTGACAAGGGCTACAACTTTTATTTTCTTCGAAAAAGTTCCCACGGTCTACCATAGTCAATACTAAGGTTTAAGATCAATGTTAAGCTAATTAAAAGACTTGGTGAAGTTTTTGTGCTCAATCCTGTGAGCTCTGTGGGTCTGTAACGCACTGTGGGAATTTTGGCTCTGTGGCTCTCGGATCTCTGTGAGTTCTATGGGTCTGTAACACACTGTGGGAATTTGTGACTCTGTGGCTCTGGGATCTGGCAGCTCTGTGGTATCTGGCACACTGTGGGGATCTGTAGCTAAATCAGTAGTTTGCTGATGTTGTCAGCAAAGTGCCGATTTGCAGTGTCCGCGAGAAACTCTTTGATTCTAGCCTTGAGTTCCTCGACCGTCCCATCTCTCGAAATCTTGAGAGCGCCAGCAAGTGTGATAAAATCGTCCTTGCGCCGGAGTGTTGAGAGTGCATCGAACGTCTTCGACTTGATATCATTTTCAATCTGGGCATGACGCACTTCATCTTCCGACTTTTTCCTGGCCTGTTTCTCTGCGTCAGCCTTATCTTTTGCACGCCGCACTTCCTCTGCCTTGTTGAAGTCCTCCTCAAGCTCTGGGTGTGTCACGAAACGGGCCCGCAACTTGACGGATTTCTTTGGCTGCTTTTTTTTCTTCACATTCTCCAGCTCCAGTCGAGATTGAGCCAATGCCCGCTGCGCCATTGTACAGTGCACGTTTGTAGCATCGAGCTGGGTAGTCAGGACCTGAGTAGTCTGAACTAATGCCCCATTCTGCTCATACATGCGCTGGAGCTCGTGCCAAAGTTCCTCCTTTGTCAATGCCATTGCCTGAACATACGAGGGGATGACGAGATGTGGGACGGGGCCTGATAATTGCAATGTCGAGCGCGGCGTGACATGGGCATCGTTATGAGGGGGCTGCGGCACATCTTGGGTCATCTCCTCTTCTTCCTCCGAATCCGAATCTAACTCTAAGTCGTCGCTGTCAGATTCTTTGTCCGAGTCATCACTTCCAGAGTCCAAGTCTTCATCGACGGCCATAGGAAAAAAAACATTGTCGTCCTCCGAATCCTCTTCCCCGCCACCATCCAGTCTAATCGACTCGTCAATTTCGACAACATCAGAAGGAGTTGCCATTGGAGGAGGGACTTCGGTGGCAGGATATGATGGAGGAAGATGTGCAGCAGTTGAATAAACCAAGCTCGGTGCGAAATCCTCGTCTGTGAAGACTGACGGATTAAGAGGATAGATGCCAGTTTTTTTAAATGCTTTTTGGATGAGTTGCGGAGTGATGACATGGTGAATAGCCATGTATTCGTGAATAAAATTATAGCGATCAATTTCAACCCCGTCGGCAAGGCGCTTGTCACAATGTTTGGTCCAAGCACGCTGGACGGAAGAAAACACACCCACGTCCAGTGGTTGAATTTTGTGTGTGGTTTTCGATGGAAAGGCGTGAATTATGACACCATTATCGTAAGCCGCCTTTTTGATAGCACTTTGTTCATGTGAACTATGACCATCAACAGTCAGAACAATTGGCTTCTCAGGATCAACACGGTATTTCTCCGCTGTAGGAACAAAGTGGTTCCTGAACCAATAATCTGCGATCTCATGATCTGTCCATCCCGTTGGAGAGAACAAAACACTGTAAAAAGTGACAGTGTTAGTAGAGCATAATGCTACACTTGTCTAGCTTAGTACTCACCCGCCCACTTTATCTTTTAGATCCCGAATATCTGGGGCTGGTCCTTCTGAAAGGACAAACCATGGTGGCATCTTAGCACCAGCAGCGGAGACGCACTCGATAATGGTTACGAGCTCTAGATTATCGCTATGGACCCGATAACGATCTGAATCTTGTGCGGAAAAAATGAACTTCGTGCCAGCATTTTTCCTCCCCCCACCCATCTGATTGCCTTTCTCATCCATATTCCAATGATGCTCTGGCGGAATTTTATTATAGTCATCATCAAGCTTTTTCCGCATCTCAAAAAACTCCCCGATGGTATCCTTGTTGAAATTTCGAGCACGTTTGGGATCCAGTCCACTTGCTCGAGATATGCGGAGGGATGAGTGTTGACGAATAAAGCCATAGTGCCATTTTTGTGACGGGAGTCGACCAGTTATTTCCTTAACAGATGCGCGCAATCTCGCCGGGTGGATAGGAGTCGCGGAGGTGGATGCCAGGTTGCACCAGTCGACAATGGTTTCCTCCTGTGCAGCAGATAATAATTGCTGGCTCTCGTGGGCAAGCCGACGAGACTTATGCACTCCCAAGCGTCGATCACTTAGTGTCTGACGTGATACCTAAACCACAGTTGAGTGAATAATCATATGAAGAATCACGACTCACATTCTGTTCCTTCGCTGCAGCTGCAATGGACTTGTACAGGCCATTTGCAATTCCTTGAATTGCAGCCTGAATACGTGACTCGTAAGTAGGATCAGACGAAGCTCGCAGCTTCCCTCGTCTACCGCTGCTGGATTTGCGAATGCGGACCAGCCCCATGACCAGCAGCGCTGCACCCAGCAGAAGTTGGCACTCCCAAAATGGGCGTGTGCAATATTGAAACTCCGTCACGGCACAACATCGGCAGGTGACATTTTTGCGTGACTTTGGCACTTTTAACTATCTCACTCAATTCTTTTTCAATCATGCCCATTCTACCTCGTAGTGAATTGTAGTAGAGATATAATGGTATCTACATTAAGAATTTTGTGTTGAAGTAGCTAGAAATACGAGTTTTGTGAAGGTGCCGACTTCTGTGGGGTGCCGATTGCAGTGGAAGTGATAGTATATCTACATACATAAGTCCTCTTTAGTAGGCCCGGGTGCCGTTTGAGCTCGTAGTAAGGTAGACGACATTGAAACCCAGCCACATTTTGTATCACCTCCGCGCACAGGTTATTTCTCAAACATGCTGCACATTAGAACCTATTAGCATGCAAGAATGCATTCCAGATACCTTTGGCTACAATATGATGGTCAAAAAATCAAAGAACATTTATTTCCTATGATATTATTTCAACTTTTATGAAAGTGTCCAAAACACCTTGAATAGTCATTAGATGCAGCATGGCAAGTTTTCAAAAATCCGAGGTCAAGAATTTGGCCACATCACGTGACATAAAATCTTACATAATCCACCAAAAAATGCGACGCAAAGTCAACCGGGAGATTGGCTCACAAATCTCAATAGCTATGGGTCGCAGGAAGAACTGCATTAAAAATAGGCTCAGAAATCTGCACGGAAATACCCCTAAAGCCAAGTCCCAAGCACCGGAACCATCTGTCAAATCAAGCACACCAGACCTTGGAATAGACTCAGACTCGGAAGTATACACTTCTGATCTTGAGTTGGAGGACAATGAGGAGGAGGTTATGCAGGAAATTCAAACAGATTCAGACCTTCTTGCCTTCACTGCCAAACTTCAGGCAGCACATGACAGTATGGTTAGAAAGGAGAAGGAAAGACGAGCAGCCACAAAGAGAAAATTTGTCTACACAGGAAATTCGGACCGGACAAAACAGAGGCAGAGACTCGAGGGCAAGAAAATGGAGGCTGCTGGATTTCCATCCATAATGTCATTCTTCCAAAAAAATACAGAGCCTGAGAGCAGTGAAAGGGAAGACTCGGAGGTGAGAAATAATGGATGTGAAATGGGAACGATGCTGAATTGATTTTCCGTCAGATCACGAATGGCAACCATGTGCAAGGAACCAGATATGTCACAGCAGATCCAGAGATCGTCGAGACCCAACTGCCATCTCAGTCCTCCGAGTCTGATCTGAATTCACCAAGTGCCAAACAAGTCGCAGATCCACAAGCTGATGTCACAGTTGATTCGGATATGGAACCTGAGTTCCCAACCACATTCGAACTTCGGGATCATCGAGATCTCCCAGCTCTGCGAAGAGCCAAGGCTGAATTGATGGCGAGGCACAAGAAAGATAATCTTGACCTCTTCTTCCGTGCTCGTGTCACCAGTATGATTGCTCTTATCAATCTGTATATTGATCCAGAGCTGGATTTCGGGTGGATCAAATGCTCTGTACTTGCAGCAAAAGCAGCTGGAAAAGGGATGGTAAATCACTCACGAAATTTACGCAGATGGGTTGTGGACTACATGCGGTTCGGGACTCTCCCGCTCAATAATTATGGCCGGATGAATACCTCAATCCTTGAAGACGAGGACCTTGCACAACAAATACATCTCCACCTGCAAGGCATTGCGAAGGACGGCTACGTGAAAGCACAGGATGTTGTTGATATTATGGCAACTCCGGAGATGAAACAATACCTAGGCTTGAAGACTGGCATCACCCTGCGGACGGGTCAGCGTTGGCTGCATAATATGGAGTGGAGATATGGGAAGGCAACAAAAGGAATGTACATTGATGGCCATGAGCGGGCTGATGTCGTCGAATATCGGAAAGGATTTTTGAGTCGCATGAACGAGTATTCAAAACGGATGACGACTTACGATCGTGATGGAAATATCCTATCCATGCCCACCGGAATTGATCTTGCTGCCGGAATCTACCCGCTCATCAAAGTGACCCAGGACGAATCCACATTCACGATGTATGATAGACGGCAGACAAAATGGGACCACGAAGATGCAAAGCAACCAGAGGCCAAGGGTGAAGGGCCCTCGTTGATGGTTTCAGGCATGTTGACTGAAGAATGGGGTGAGTTGAGGCATGGTGACAGGTGTGTTGAAACTTCGCTATCATTCTCGATTGTAACTTTGCGTCCAGCGAATCCCGAGTGCTGTTCAAGGCAGGTAAAAATAGAGACGGATACTTCAACAACGACAACCTTGTGAAACAGGTCGATAACGCAATCGACATCTTCGAGGAGAAGACCCATGGTTTCAAACGAGCCCTGTTTTTGTTCGACAACGCAACATCGCATCAGAAACGGGCACCTGATGCTCCGAGCGCAAGAAAGATGGTGAAAAACCCAAAGCGTGCATGGACACATCAACCAAATGGACCGAAAATGCGGGATACAACCCTACACGATGGAACACAACAAAAATTTTACTTCGCGGATGATCACCCCACAATGCCTGGGTGGTTCAAAGGCATGCAGGTCATTCTGGATGAGCGCGAACTCTGGAGAGCAGGGCTTCGTGTGGAATGCAAAGATTTCAAATGCATTGAAGGTGCCGTCGATTGTTGCTGTCGTCGCATATTATTCAATCAACCCGACTTTCGGAATGTCAAATCACATCTCGAAGAGCTCGTCACTGCCCGCGGACATGTATGTGACTTCTACCCCAAATTCCACTGCGAGCTCAATTTTATTGAGCAATATTGGGGTGCCGTCAAGCTGCTGTACCGCTCGGGTCCGAGGGTCCACAAGATGGAAGACATGGAAAAGCACGTCAGTGCGTGTCTTGATGATATTCCATTATTGCAGATCCGAAGGTAAGCCTGAAAAAATATTCAGCCAAATGACTACATCTAACGGCGGTTACGGCGCTGTCGCCAGGTATGCAAATCGTTCCGCGAGGTTCATGGATGCCTATACCAGAGGTCTTACAGGGCCACAAGCAGTTTGGGCCACGAGGAAGTATCATGGACATCGGGTCCTTCCGAATTCCATTATGGAGGCTTTGGACACAGCAGGAAAGGCATGATTGACTGCAGCGTATACAATTTTGACAAAGGCAACAGAATGTAAAACCCAAAAAAAAATCGCGACAGGCAGATTTGGCCGTGGGAAACATTACGTAAGCGATATGGCGCAGTAGTTGTATTTCAATGTCGTCTACCTTACGTGAGGAGAACGTTTAGCTCAAGCAAGTGCTTACTAAGCCAGCGAAATTCCAGGTCTTGTAAATTCTTTACGACATACTGTTCTGTCGCCTGAAAATGCATCTTCGTTGGTTTTAAGCTTGCAGACCGTGGTTCTTCGTTATCACCCAAGGCACTTCCGTCTGCAATACCTATGAACTCCTCGCTGTTAAGTACTAGTTCTCGGGGGATAGTTGCGTACTGATTCGCGGGGTTTCCCAGAAGCTGGACGTGGGCTCGTTTCTCGAAGTTCAACACCAAACTTGATACAGCACGACATTCAAAACACAGTTATCCGCGGCGTGTTAACATCCAGACCTCGAATGGACGACGGGCAATGACTTAATTTTGTACGGGCCAAAGTTTGGGATACGTTTAACTTTAAAGTTTAAACTCCGCCCGCGATGTTGGCGGCAATTCAAAGGCGCCCAGCTTGAAAATACACTGGCAGTATAGACTCGTGACCACAGTCTAATTGGCAGCCGCCATCATTTGAATGCCGTGACATATCCCAGCTAAAGATGCAAACCTCGTTTCTCAGTCTCGTCGTTTCAGAGCCAAGTATGTTGATACTAGCTGTCGGCTGTGACCATATTAATTAACCGCTTCAAAGGCTACTACGCTTATTCTGAACCAACTATGACAATCATCACTCGACTATTCTCATGATTCAAGCCTTGCGGTCACGGTGTCCCCAGCAATACGAACCGTGACCACATCAGCATATATCACATCCTTACATTTACAGACACTGTCAATCAATATTCCGTTGCTCGCGCAAGTGGAAGCCTCGACCCATTAGGACCTGAGCAGAACTTTGTCCCATTCCGTCGCAAGCGCCGAGCCTATCTATGAGCCCGGAACAGCCAACCCTTGTCTGTCTGGGCAAAGTGTTGGGACCAGTGCTGCCCGCATGGCAGACAGTGAGCTCTTGTCAGCTCCTGTCTTCTCGCATGACATACTGTCTGACAGCAGTGGGATGGGTTGAGGCCTGAGGGCGGTGACATTCTAGCCGCGCTTCGCGATAATCGAAAGCCTGAAATGCCATGCTATTCTTGAGCCTCGCAGCCTCCTCGTGTTGGCTGCTTCAGGTAAGGGCGGACCCACAAGGCGCCTCTGCTGTACGATTCTGACGCCCATTAATGAATTTATAGATAATTTATTGTCATGCGAGCCGCTTCTATCCCATTCAACTCGGCCCTGCGCATCGCAGCGCGGTTTGCATGCCACGTGCATGCTGTGGTTCCCTCCTTCATAATCCGTCAGGACTTTCTAGTATTTTGTGACCTCACATATCTTACTCTCAAGTGTTAGTTTGTGTCCATTCTCCAGCCACATGTCAAACTTTGTCCCTCATCCTCTGGATGACCGCCCCCCACCCTTGGAGGAGCTGAGCCATCCAGAACGCCCCCAGGACCCCGAGACAAACTTCGTGATCAATGAAATACTACAAGTCGCCGTGAACAGTATGTGCCATCCGTCTTCATTCAGCACGTACCAATGATTTCTCAAAACCATTTTGATGACACTTCACTCCTTGATTACTCTGCTGTTTCGTTTCCCGACCGTGCCGGACCCACTTGATGATACCCTCCCAGCCGTGGGTGAGGAGGCAAGCCACCAAGAACACCCCCGCGGAGTGCAACAAGTCGTCATCACTGGTATGCGATATCAAACCCAACCCCGCACATATCGACGAATTCTTCCAAGCCATTCGTGCAACTGATCTGACTCTTGGTCTCCGACGGATTCCCGCCGGCTTCCATGTGGTAGTAAAGGCTGACGGCATCGAGTGCCAGACAAGCAACAAACCTGTACACGTAGACCAGGTTGTTGTCGAATGGAACGAGCAGATACTTTTGTAAGTTGTCTTTGATCCCGTTTTTACTGCAGGCATTGAGATGGACTCTAGGCCATGCGAGCCATCTTCTCTAGTTCGGGTCAGCGTGTATGCCTCATTTGAACTGGACCCCATGCTCTGTCATGGAGAAGTCCTTCGCACATTCAATATCTCCGTGGGAGAATTACTGGATCGCAGTGAAAAGTCACGTCAGTAACGTTTGTTGTAAATCTTGCCTGACAGATGTTGACGAGTACCACAGCTATAATCTTTCGGGCTAAGCAGCATGAAGTCGTATCCTCGTACACTTCATTGTTCATGAAAGTGGAGCAGCGATGCTCTGATGAAAATGCCGATGCAGTTGTTTGTCCTCATACTACCGTTAGTAATCAATGCAGCTTGATATTCTGATACTGAGAGCCTGTAATGCGTAGCTTACATCCGGCGATATGGATTTGTCAGTACTAGAGACGGACACCGGACATCGTCTTCTCGCACAGTACCGCAGGATGAAGGACAATGGGGATCTTGACCAATCCATAAAACACTTTGAACGCGCCTTGGATTTCTTCCCCGTGGAGCATCCCTGCCGTCCTGCAGCACTGTTCAATTTAGCCACTGCAAAGTTTGTTAGTCACCAAGCTATTGGAACATACCTCGACCTCGACATCCCCATCACTCTTTTTGAAGACGCCCTTGAATTCCGTCCCGATGGTCATGCGGACAGACCCATCACCCAGCTTCATCTTGCCATTGCTCTGCTGTTCCGCTTCGCAAAACAGGGATCTGAAACGGATGCCGATGCGGCCGAAGAGTTACTGAGCGACGTTCTGGATGTTTGCCACTCCAACAGCCACATTTACAGAGCAGCTTTGCTTGCAATCGATACATTTGCTCTGCATGGAGCTGGAGGCAAGGGTGGGCGCGATCTTGATCAGAAGCAGCCCACTGCATTCATGATTCCGTTATCGCCAGATCAACTTGCTCGCCGTGTAGAGTGGTGTTCCTACAGAGATGATTCCCGTGAATTAGATGAAGTGATCTCCCTTCATTACGATGCACTGCGATACTACGGCACTATGCATGATTGTCGAGAGCAATTGCAGTGTAATCTGGGCGTAATGCTGTACATTCGCTATAATCGTCGAGGCAATAACCAAGACTTGGACGAGGCCATCACCCGTCTTAGGGAAGCGCTGGATGTGTCCTCAGTCGGTCGCGCACATCGGTCCAAGTCATCAAATAACCTTGCAAATATGCTCTATACCCGCTTCCAGCACCGAGGCAATGACCAGGACTTGGATGACGCTATCATGCTTCACAGGGACGCGCTGACTTTACATTCAGTCGGTCACCCGGATCGGTCCTCATCATTAAGTAACCTTGGGTCTGTGCTCTATATACGGTTTCAGCACCGAGGCAATGACCAAGACTTGGATGACGCTATCAAGCTTTACAGGGACGCGCTAGCTTTACGTCCGGTTGGTCACCCAGATCGGTCCTCGTCATTAAATAATCTTGCGACTGTGCTCTGTACATGCTTCCGGCACTGAGGCAATAACCAAGACTTGGATGACGCTATCATGCTTCACAGGTACTCGCTGACTTTACACCCCGTCGGTCACCCAAATCGGTCCTCGGTATCATATGAACTTGCATCTACGCTCCTTACCCGTTACCAGCTCCGGGACAATGACCAAGACTCGTATGAGGCTATTATGCTTCACAGGGGTGTGCTGGCTTCACGTCCAGTCGGTCACCCAGATCGGCTCAAGTCATTATATAACCTTGGAACTGCGCTCTTCACCTGCTTCCAGCACCGAGGCAATCACCAAGACCTGGATGAGGCTATCATGCATCTCAGGGGTGCGCTGGCTTTACATCCAGTCGGTCACCCAGATCGGCCCTCGTTATTAAGTAACCTTGCATCTACGCTCTCTACCCGCTTCGAGCACCGCGGCAATGCAGAAGATCTCCACGAGTCACGAGAACACCTCCGTTGTGCATTGACTCCGTTGACGTAACATGATCCTCATCTATTACATGTCCACCAGTCACTAGCTGCCGTCTATCTTTTGTTCCCTCGATCGGGACTTGACGGTACTGGTGAAGACACCGACAGTCAGACTGCTGCCATGCATCATCTCAAGGCAGCAGCAAATGTTGTCTCTGCAGGTTTGCTACCTCGCCTGCAAGCAAGTCTACGCTGGGCTCGCGACGCCGATCAACATTCGCATGATACTGCACTAGAGGCCTATGCGAATTCCATGCAGCTTCTGGATGCTTTCATGTCCGCGACAGCTTCAGTATCGTCTCGTCATAGTGTCCTGAAGAAATTCTCAAATAGGCTTGCCATGGATGCTGCTTCATGTGCTCTTCGTAGCGGTGATGTGTGTCGCGCTGTCGAGTTGTTGGAACAAGGCAGGACTGTCATATGGTCCCAGATGACACAAATCCGCACGCCTCTTGACAACCTCCAAGATCGCGGCGATCATGCAGTGGCCCTGATGAAGAAGTTCAAAGAACTCAACTCCCTCCTTGATACGCTTCCCACGAACCATCCAGAAAGAACCCCGGGAGTCGATGTAGATGCAGAAGCAATCCGGTCCCGACCTCTAGATGCAGAAGCAAGCCGGTAACGACGTGTAGTGGAGGACTGGAATAGAGTTGTAGAAAAGATTCGGAAAATTGAGGGCTTCTCTCGCTTCCTACTTCCCCCCTTGTTCTCCTATCTTCAATATGCAGCTTGTGATGGGCCTGTTGTCGTGCTCGTTGCAAGCAAGTCGTCCTGCGATGCCATTATTGTTCCACACAACCAACCTCCGATGAACATTAAACTCCGCATCAATTTGGAGAAACTCCAACATTTGGTGGTCAAACTCCAACGGGCAAGTCAACCACAGGCCGCTCCCAAACCCGCTCCCGAAACCACTCCCAAATCCGCTCCCAAAAGTACCCACTTGCCCCTCATGAAAGCTTTGACGGAGTTATGGGACGACGTCGTCCGCCCAGTGGTCGACAATTTGGGCGGATTTGCACCACCAGGTTCCCGGATTTGGTGGTGCCCTTCGGGTGCCTTCAATTTCTTGCCCTTGCACGCTGCTGGCGCATACAGGCGAGGCGGACAGTTGCTTTCGAAGCTCTATATCTCTTCATACACGCCATCGCTTACCGCCCTGATCAGGGCTCGCAGAAGCCATGATAGATCTCTGCCAGTGTCCTTTGTTGCCATTGGTCAGAATCACCCGCCTGGTCATAAAATCCCTTTGGCTGGTGTGGAGCCTGAGTTGGATTTGGTGCGGGATCTTTTGCCCCCTCCTCCAACTGTTTCCTTCACCAAGATAATGAGTGTTGATGCAACGAAATCGAGAGCATCGCGTGCATTGCGAGACAATACTTGGATTCATTTTGCGTGTCACGGGACACAGAACTTTGACGAACCCTTCGATTCGGCCTTTCTCATGCGCGACCAACCGCTTTCACTCCTCGATATCTCACAAATGGATTTGTCTCGACATGAATTTGCGTTTCTTTCTGCCTGTGAAACCGCAGTCGGTAACCCCCATACGCCTGATGAAGTCATACACCTGGCGGCTAGCCTACAATTTGCTGGGATAAAGAGTGTAGTTGGGACATTATGGGAGGTCAACGATGATACGGTGCAGCACTTAGTCAAGGCATTCTACAACAAATTTTGCGGGGATGGCAAAATGGATTCCAAGCGGGCTGCCCGAGCGCTGCACCGAGCGGTCCAGTCGTTGGCTAGTGACAAGGACCTGGACATGCCATTGGACCAGCGCATAGTGTTCATGCATGTGGGCATATGATCAATTTTGTGCGTCCTTCCACCATATATCTCAAAGTGTTTCCGAGACAATCTGATGCCTTCGCTTGTAGCATCCAACCGTGGCTACTCGTAGCCTGTTGCCAACAAGATACTTTGTTTTCGCTATTTCAGACTTCAAGACTGTATAAGTGCCTCCTGGATTCCCGACATGTCCACCTATCATTCCGACTTGTATTCTCCAGCCTGTTGCCTCAGAATCAAATACGATCGCTTCTAATATGCACTGGCGAATCGCGATGTGTGAGTCAGAATGAGCAAGTTTTATCGTTGGTTCATGTAGGTACCACTTAGGTACGAGCGAGCCACATCAAGATATTCAACATGTGGTCTTCGGAAACTCTCGAGACAAAAACTTGCAGAACGTCCTTGGTTCTGATACGTTTTCAATTTGAACCGTTTGATATGATGAGTTGCATATTTTCGAGCAGGACTTTAAATTCCCGCTCAGGCACTAATACTCATACTTACTTAGTCTCGTTCCCGAGGGGATTCAGATTCTGATAGCATAGCTGCGAAGGCGGAGTTCCGGAGGCGTATACTCGGTGAGCGTGTGTGAGCGCAGTGCCTGCAATGCGGGTGTTTTCGTTCTATGTTACAACCGATTCTGCCTCCGCTTTGATTCTCCTGTATCATTGATTTAAAATCAAGATTGATCTTAGCTACCCACACCCACTCTGAGTGCGATGCGTTAAATTTTAAAGGCTGACAGGGTCCAGTAGAGGTCGTACTTCTGGACAAAGTTGCCATCACACATTGAAACACTATCAGGTCTGAGTCTGAATCATGTATACGTAAGGCTGCCGGTTGATGAATCCCATTCCCATTCTCTACGGGTTGCGTCTTGTTTGATCACACGCGTACGTCGGGGGTGAATCTGATTGACTGGATGAAGGAAAAGGGTGAGTTAGATGCTGCGATATCGGGGTTTCTCTTACTTACAATGCTTTCGAACCCCAGTACTTTGTCAAATCGCCAAATTACTCAAACTAGATATCTGGCAGACGACGGGCTATAGTACACAATAATAGCTCAGTGCCGCGCGCCGCGTCAGTGTGCCCAGCATTGCCCACACGAGATGGTTGATTTGTCTGAGGTCAGATCTGGAAGTCATGCACTACAGACTTAGTGCATGTCAGAGTTCCGAGCCAATAAAAGCGAATGCTCTGGAAAGCGAGTTGCTCGCTCAGGATCGTATTATGGCACGCCTACTATATGAGGGCGGTCACACGTCGCTGAGGTCTTCTAACTTTTCTTGATTTATACAGGTGGCTATCAATACTAAGCCATTCTCGATTCATCACGCTCCCATGCAATATCGCGATGGTATCAGTACGCTGTTCATCAACTCTGATCAAATGATGTTTGATTCAACCGCCCAACCCATGGTGGCCAAGATAGTTCAGGTGCCCCACTTTGTCTCAGTGGGATGCAATCACACTGCCAGTGCGCTATTGATGACACAAAGTTTCAGAAAATACCATAAATAAATGTGTAGTAACACGACCCTTTTGTACAACCCCCTTCACTGAAATGGCCATTCAAACACTTGTATGTGGCTGATATCGATTCTTCTGCTATGAATGCTGAAATACTGGCCAGCCAACCTCAACTCAGATACTTGTTGTCGGCGGTGGACCCGCCGGAAGTTATGCTGCTGCTGCTTTGGCTCGAGAAGGTTTTGAAGTCACTCTTCTCGAAGCTGTGAAGTTCCCTCGGTCAGCGCATATGATATATGTCATCGGTATACGAAGTCACTAATGTATAATTGTGCTAGATATCACATTGGCGAGAGTTTGCTTCCGTCGATCCGCCCTTTCTTGGGATTTGTTGGTGCAGAGGAATCTATCATGAACTACGGGTTCACAGCCAAGGTGTGTATAGTCTTCAATGTGCCGGAGTACATCAGATGTTCAAATTTTATAGCCTGGTGCCGCAGTCAAGTTGAACCAGTTCAAGCGAGAAGGATGTGAGCCCCAGTCACTCTCACTCATCGTCGTACTAGTATTAATATTTTGCTCCAGATACAGATTTCGTCGCGCTGGACCCAAACAATGGGTCTTGGAACGTGGTATGTAGTGTATTGGAGATATGCTTATTGTCTCACCGTTTTGCAGATTCGATCAGAATTTGATGATTTGCTGTTTCGCCATGCTTCGAAGTGTGGTGCAACTGTGTTCGACAACATAAGAGTCACTGAACTTCAGTTCGAGGGTGAAAGACCTGTTTCGGCCAACTGGAAGAATGCCAGCACTGGAATAGAGGGCCATATATCTTTCAACTACCTAGTTGATGCGTCAGGAAGGAACGGGATCATGTCCACCAAGTATCTCAAGAACAGACGCTACAATCAGGCCCTCAACAATGTTGCATGCTGGGGATACTGGGATGGAACCGAATGTTACATGCCGGGTACTACTCGCCAGAATGCTATCTTCGTAGAAGCACTCGAAGGTATGAAAGCAACTCGAAGTGGTCAAGCTGAGCTTAATGTCTGCAGATGAGTCTGGATGGGCTTGGTTCATCCCTCTTCACGATGGATCCACATCTGTGGGAATTGTGATGGATCAGGAGTCAAGCAATCGTAAAAAGAAGGCTTCCCGTGCGGCCTCAGGAGAATCTGGCTCGAATCTTCTGGCTCATTATAAGGAAGAACTTTTGAGCAGAGCTCCTGGAGTCCTCAAATTGATCGGAAATGCCACTCTTCGAAACGACGGTAAACCGGAAGCTGTGAAGTCTGCGAGCGATTTCAGTTACTCTGCTCCCTCTTATGCTGGGGATCATTACCGACTGGCAGGGGATTCTGGAGGTATTTTTTCTTGATGTTTTGTGTTACTCCCAATTGACGATAATCAAGCATTCATTGACCCATTCTTCTCCTCTGGCGTTCATTTGGCTTTCACAGGAGGACTTTCAGCTGCTCTCACGATTGCTGCGTCAATTCGAGGACTCTGCAGCGAAGAAGATGCCCAACGTTGGCATACCTCAAAAATTGCCACATCTTACACGAGGCATGTGAATTCGGTTACTGGAGCGATAACGACTGACACAGTGTGTCGTAGGTTTCTTCTTGTCGTCCTTGGCACCTATAAACAGATCCGCAATCAGGCTATGCCAGTCATGAGCGACGTGGATGAGGACAATTTTGATAGAGCCTTTGATCTCATCAGGCCGGGTGAGAATCGATGTTTCCTTCCATCACCGCACGTTCTGATACCCCAGTGCAGTGATACAAGGAACTGCAGACGTCGGTAAGACGTTAACGGAAGACGAACTCCAGGTACGTATGTTCTGTGATTATCTTCCACGACATCCTCAATCCGATTGACAGAAAACTATGGACTTCTGTCGTCATCTATTTGCACCAACTGACCCCGAGATGCATTCTGCAGTCAAAGCTAGGTGAGGACCTTCCTTGTACCCAACTGAATTATCCCATACTAAGCTCAATAGATTGGACCCTTCCCTAACATCCCCAGACGCGCCCATCATGACAGAAAGCGACATCGATCGCTTGCTCGGAGGTGCTGACGAGGAAGCCAAGCACGTTTTGAGCGAGATCAACGCGCGAAAGCCCATACATACAATGTACAACCCGACGGAGAACTTTGGTGTTGAGGAACATTTTGGTTTCAAAGCTGTCTTGGAACGAGGCAAATTGGGTTTGGTGACTGCGTAGGTCAGGTGTTACTAGCAATGCGGGGTTGGAATGGGCATTTCATGACTCGGTTATTCGCTGATACGATGACGGAGGAATCCATCTAGACAAAAACGAAGTATGTTGGCAGGTAGTTGGACTTGCACTACATACATGTAGAGCAGTGTAGAGCTTAATTTATATATTTCACGTTGCGATCCTTATTCGAAGGTACACTTATGATCTCATCATTCGGCGTCGTCGCTCCAGCGTGTACGATAGTTGTCGGTCTCGAGGTTGTCCACTCTTGCACTCTGAGAGAGTGATGCCTCGGCGTTCGTGTTACCGGGCATTTGCAATATGAATATGACGACGCTCATGAGGACTTCATTGCATGTGGATGACTGATTGTGATTGAATGCACATGCACACGTCCTATGAGCATATGCAGGTATGCGAAGGCACCAGGAAATTGCAGATCATGAGAATAAGGACCTCCGTCGGATTTTTGCAGAGCGGCTATAGAGCGGCGATAATTAAGGCACCAAACACTGCCGCGGATAGTACTTAGGACCAATCTTTTTTTGATACGGGAAAGCCCGACGTTTCTCCAGAGATGCAACGGCACGGCAACGAGGGAAACTTGATCCTCGGTGACGTGATGACGCGATGACGTCCGCTGCAAAATATCCAGGCTTGAGGACCGACCATAGCGGTCACTGGATGTAACTGACTGATAAGATCCACTGTCAGACGCAAGAAGGCTACGGTCCACCGGTGACCGACTTGGTACGAGTGAAATTTGCACAGGCTGGATCGTCAGCGGGGCGACCCACGCCATGCGCACGCAATGAGAGATGATGCATCTGCATCAAGGATTCAGGTTGTCAAGCCACAAGAGAGCCTAAAAGTGTAGTAAAATAGTGCCCGTGTCTATTCCTGCTCGTCGGTTTCGGGGGCAAAGTAGGGCAACTCAGATTGCCGCCGGCAGCTCCAAGTGGTACGCACAGCTTGGTACAGCTTGATATATGTGCCGTTCGGTAAAATCTGTGCCGATTTACATAGTGGACAACGCGTTATCAACGTACATAGGTAGTGCTCTGTTTCACTCTTTGACTGCGTCCAGTGTAGGCCAGGGCCGCCATCTTGACTCCCGTCTAAGTGTGACTAACGCGGCATTCCATAATAGACACGTAAGCCCTAAGCTTGTACAGCCCCGTGACGACAAGACCAGCCCGGGAAATTATAGTTCGCCACTGATCCTGCAAAAATGGTGAGTGAAGTTCATGCTAAGCTGAGGCAGACGCACTAATGTTCTTTCGTGACAGTTCAAAATGCACAAGAGGTGCAAAGCAAGTGCTTGTGGCATGCGAGATGAAGAATTTAGAATGGCTTGCTCTGTTATGAGCGAAGCAGAAGCTATAGTGTCCGTTGTGTTGGCTGGCTTATGTTCAAGCTGGGCGCGAGTGTCAGGATAATGCCCAGAAATTCTCTCGATGATCAGGATCTTGGACTAGAAAGATATTGGCAACGTGCTCTCAGAACTACAAAATGACATCAAGGACGAACCTTTGGTCCTGCGGCAGCAGCGAGTTTCTCTAGGATGCTCACCTGGAAACGTCAACTGAGATTTATTTTTTACGATGGCGAAGAACTTACAGCTTGAGCCTCGGGCCAGTTGTGTCTATGACAGAACGTTAGTGGATAACGATGGATCGTGACGAAGGTGCAGCGCACAGAACATGTCGTAGCATGAAGGTATAGTTGTCTCCAGTGCGCGGCTGAGAAGAGAACAAGTCATGAGCTTCAGCGACTACTCTACCAGGAACTGAGTTGGTATCCAAACGGGCTTTGATGTTAGCTTCAGCTAGTTCGACCATCTCCCCCCTCTCCTGGACAACAAGACGGAGGGCAGGGAATCTTGATACACGTCAGTCGAGTTTACCCTTCACGGATTTTATACTGACTTATTAGCGAGGGAGATAGCTAAGCTTCCCTTACCTCCCCCGCAATCAACAACAGTTGATTCCAAACACGTTTCCCATGGATAGTCTGATAATATTCCTGGGGTTACATATTCGCCGAGTGCCTAAGAATTATAAGTATAGTGTTGCGAGTCAAAGGTAGATGACATGCGAACCTCAACGCAAGCTGCAAAACGTCCGAGATAATTTCTGTCCTCTTTCACCCATTCAAAGAATGGTTTCGTAGTATTGTTCGCAAGCTGAAATGCGGTATGGTCCGGAGACTGAGAGAACCTGGAATCAGGATGCGTGAGCCATTGAGGAAGAGCCTCTGCGATCCTCATGTTGCCGGGAACCCTAGAGCAATATTATTCGTGCAAATCCAGTATGCGAAATACACTTACGAGATTAATGCACGACCCCTTTGTCCCTGTAGTAAAACGCGAGAAGAGCGATTCATGGCGAAAATGCCATCCTGGGTCTCTCGAATCCAACCACAAGTGGAGAGATGGCGCAATATCGTGGTCAGTTTATGGGAGTCGAGGTTCAGTTCTGACTGGAGAGTTTTGACAGAGACGCCAGACGGCTCCTTCGCCATGCGGTCGACAATGCCATGTTCAACAAATACTTGAAGGGTCGCGACATCATACATGGCAAAGGTACTATCAGCAGCTTTCTCAAAAGGATGTTGGAGAAGATTCTTGAGCTCTGCCTGAAAATATAAGTTCGCACACAGCACAGCAGGAGTATGCTGGATAACTTACAACGCATGCTAGAGGGGCAGAATCAGTACGTAGTGGATTGACCCTGTTGCACTCGAACATACCTAGTGCTGCTCGGCGGGCTTCGTATACACCAACTGGCGTGGGTTCGTCTAGGCCATCCAAAGGGTGCATGTCGACTCCATACTGTGACGACAAAGGCGGCAACATCGACCCGTCCATTGCGACGCGCAGACTGTTTAGCGCATTGTTTAGCGCGGTTTGAAGGTTATCCAATTCCTGGTGGTTCATTGTGATTAGTAGCACGCACTTATCATCGCGGAAAGATTTGTATATATATATACAATGTAACAGACTGCCCCGAAGAGGTTGGGCCAGGTTGGGCCTCGCCACCGAAACCTAAGCCTACGCTCACCTGCAAACCACGGATGCATCATGTCAACCGGGCCGGGGATTCAAGCTTGTATCATGATGGCGTCTGCTCTGGTTTACTAAGAGCATGATTGTAGGGAGAAGTCGATGTTTGATACAGATGGGCCTGACCACTGATGGGAGTCAAGTTTGGGTGCAAGCGGCTGAACGCTGATAGCCCTGGCAACCAAGACCTCGGACATTTGCATTAGCGACTAGCTGATCAGCGCGTTGATCGTCGAATATTCAAGTTCAGCTGCTAGCGTTTCAAAATTCAAACAGAGGCTTGGGTCCCAAGGTAAGTCACGGTATACACTGTCACAGGTTTTACCCACGGTCCATAGCCCATTGTACTATGCATGCGGCATCGTCCCGTGCTCAAGATATCTCAGATCTCCCGCAATAGAACCAAAGGCCGAGGAGACAGCAAACCCCGGGGACCTGGCGATTCGTGAAAGTGCTACTACCGAATAGATCCAAGGCTTGCGTCTCACACGAGAACGTCCTATGTGAGTGTTCTCACAGTCCAAGCGACTCCATAACTGACGCCGCGTGCCAATGTCGTCCTCAGACCCATTATCATGACCGAGACGAAAATCCATTAGATTGTATTATAATATTAAGCTGTTCGAACCGAAGCCTCAGGCTAGTGACACGGACGGTTTCTGAGCAGTAAAGGCGTAGAAGATAACCTTTGACTGAGCGTTGTTCTCCCACTCCCTTTCTAGATCTTCCACCAACTCCTTGAATTCTCCCTCGGTCCGAATCCCCATCTTTACTACTGGAGCTTGCATTCCCTTGTAAGCACCGATAAAGCTCTCGCGAGCTTTAGCTTTCATCCCGTCTTCGTCGTCCCCACCGCCGAGGCTAATTTCGAGACGTTGGGCCGTGATGTTGTCAAATCCAGTGCCTTTTAGAACATTCGGAATATGCTCAACACAGTTGAGTAATAGGCCTCTTTTGACGAAGAGATCCCGAAGCATCGAGAAGTGTCTTTGCGTTGCTTCTCCAGCTACACAATGACTAGCTTCGATGAGCTGCACCCAGCCTCCCGGAGCAAGGACGCGGAAAATTTCCTCCACGACCGTGTTCCAATTTTCTTTCGATAACGCTGCGATAAGGAGTCGTTGATTTAGTAGACGAAAGTTATCCGTCCAATCGCTTGGTAGCTGCAAAATGTCCCCCGCCCCCAAATGGATATGTTGCTTTTGTACATCATCGAGCTTTGGGAAAATGTGCGTCTTTAAATCGATTCCATGGAAGGTAGCATCCTTGTTGGCGGTATAGCAGTCCAGGAGCCAAGATGCTGACGTACGAGTGATCCAGCAGTCAGCTCAAGGAACCGAATTTCTGACGATAACAAACCTGAGCCAGCTCCGCTGTCGAGTACCTTGTCTCCTGCGTGCAGTTCAATTGGAGCGAAGACAATACGCCCCCCGAATGCGTTTCGAAGGACTTCGTGTTGAACTTCAAGTCTATTGTGGACAAAGGCATCAATTTCCCTTTCCTTTCAAGTCGAGCTATAATCTAACCTCTGGCGCTCCTGTTCATCGGTTGGGAGAATATAGAGGGATTTTGAAACTGGATGTATCTGGTCATCACCGTGTGGTTCAGACTGAGAAGGGTTTTTCGAAGGCTAGTGAATGTGATTGTGAGCTAGAAATATTTCGAGTTGACAAAGGAGCTTACGCAGGACATGATGTTGGAATAAACCCTGCACTGGAATAACTATGCGACAAGCTTTTAAGCAGCGGCATGTACTGGACTCAGCTATGTAAGGATCATCCATTAAAATGCTGCGCGTGTCACGAGATTATTATTATTTGTCGATTGCACCTCTTTGCACAGGTGGGAGTTATGCAACATTGATTGGGGCGAATACTGCATCGCAGTACAGTTGTATTCGGATCGGCGGATCAGATGAACAGTTCCAAACTTCTCATTTGAGGCGTGCGTGATGAAACTCAGCCACTGATCTAAATTTCGACAGGTCATATGTTACAATGCCTGCAGGGCCAGCGACAAAAATAGGCAGGCTGCGAATTTGCATCAATTGACAATGTGACCTTCACGGCTAATTATAATAGAAACATTACAGCGACCCTAGTATTCTAGTGCCGGCTTTCTCAAACTGGGGCGGCCAGCCATCTGAACGTTTGAATCCAGATCTGTGACAGACCCTATTACTAATAGAGAGAGCCTCGAGGAGCTGCTATTTCTATCTAGAATAATTCATTCCAGCATACTTGAAAAGGGGTGTCTTCTTATTTACATTTCTCGGCATTGATGTGAGGGTTCTCTATGATAGTAGAGCGTTTTTGCTAAGTGACTTTTGCGTTTTTCACGATGTGAAACGACACTCCACTTGATGTAATATAAGCATCAACCGGGTGACACCTAAGTGTTAAACAAACAAAATTAAATTAAATATTACGATGTTGAATCACACAGAACACTTACTCGTGGTCTGCTACAACAACCAATGGATCCAGCCATCCTTGCCATCCAAACACTTTCAACCAAACTTATCCACACCCTAGCTATCACAACCTTATCGCGGACCAGCAGTGATGTTCTGGTTTTGACTGGATCGAGAGCAAACAAAAGACAACGTGACGAAAAACCACGTCCGCTTCAGGGTGGTGAACGCATATCAGAAATGTACTTACAGTCGCTGCGAGACCGTGAATCGCTATGGCAATTTCGGTGAGTGATAGTGATGTGCAGGCATATGGCTACTATATGTGCTATCAAGGATGACCCCATCAGAACTTCTCGAACTTGCTCGAGTTTTGCGATTGCCTAGTGTGATTAGAACTGAAGGCAGGCACAAATTCACTGCTATTGAAGCATTGGGCCTGACTTGTGCTCGCCTCCGCTCGTCCGGTGACTTGTACGAGCTCGTGTCCAAGTTTGACCGCTCTGCAGCGGCAATTTCTGAAATCGTTACCTGGGTCATCATTTTCATTGATGAAAAATGGGGTCATCTCCTAGAATTCGATCATGAGCATCTGCTTTCCCCCCATAACTTGGAGAAATATGCAGAGGCAGTCCACAAACGTGGTTCCCCTTTGACCGGAGTCTGGGGATTTATTGACTGCACCATACGGCGTATTTGTCGGCCATCGCATTGGCAACGGCAAGCATACAACGGTCACAAAAAACACCACGCACTCAAGTTTCAGGCTGTCATGCTGCCTAACGGCATGTTTGGTCATCTTTATGGCCCTGTTGAAGGCCGACGAAATGATGCCTTCCTGCTGTCGGAGAGTAGGCTATTGGCCAATTGCCAGAAATATGCCGTGCGTGACGACGTAGACGAGCATACACCTATCGAGGACCGCTTTTTGCAGCTTTTTGGAGATTCTGCATACGGCCTAAGCCCTCAAATCATTAGCCCGTTTTCAGGTTCTGGAGATCGCACGGAAGAGGAACAGCATTTTAATGCAGCCATGGGTGCCATACGCATCGAAGTCGAACATGGATTTGGTGTTGTTGCCAACTTGTGGCCACTGCTCAACGCACACTGGAAGATGCAAATCTTCTCGTCACCCGGTGGTCACCAGTATCGGACAGCTGTCCTCCTAACAAATGCCGTCAATTGTTTCCATTTCAACCAAGTTTCACAGTACTTCAATTGCGAACCACCGGAATTACACAATTATTTTCATCTTCGAAGTTGATTATTTGCAGTCTACATGAGTATGTACTATTGCTACATGATGTACTGATATTTCGAATCCTAGTGGTGAAGGGCTTCTATTGTTTCAAAGTGTGAGTTACGGCCTGCAGGTAGCGTTCAGAACACTTCTCGAGAACAGCCGTACAAGCCCTCATTTCCTCGATAACTGCTTCGTTCTGCCTGCTTCGCTGCTCCTCACCAAACTTAACCACATCAAGTACCGTCTCCCACTCGGTACCAGTTTTCTCCCTGCGGATGCGTTTCGCTGCTGGAGCAGAACGAGTGGGCCTGGGAGACACGTTCTCCTTATCAGAATCGTCAACCTGGTCAATTTCCCTCTTCCGACTCTGACGTGTGGTGGAACGAGAAGCCTGAGCTCGTATTACTTCTCCACCTACACGATCGGCATCAGCTTTCTGGTCTCTCGTCAGTACAGTAGCGAGATAACACATTACTGCAGAAACTCACCTTCCTTTCAGATTCTTTCTGTTCGTCGTTCATTGCAGCGGCAACTCGCTGGTTTTCTGATACCTTGTCGAGAAGAGCAGCAATGACGATCTTCTGTGATTGTGACAAGGTAGTATCCATGCTTGGAACGGAATCGGGATCCTTCCAACCAGTCGTGATATGAGCATTTTGCAAGCAAAAGCTTCGAGTGAGTACTTACCTCGTGATACTTTAGAAGCTGTCCCATTTTATTTCGGACCACTGCATACGAAGTATTCGTAAAGTACCCTTTCTTCTTCATCGCGCTGTGAACATCCTTCCAAGCCTGAGTCTTGTGTTTGTGTTTGGCGGTATACGGGTTGCATTCGCTGACAACTCTCGCCAAATGCTCGAGTGCGGGACCTCCATATCGTGTGCGAGACGAGCAAGACTTCTTGTCATTGTTGGTGGGATCAATGGTTGAACCAACGACAGAGAGTTCAGCACCACAACCGCCAAGACTGCCAGTGGGAGATGACGGCGGGGTTGGAAATTCACCTAAGGGCGAAGGAGCGGGGAGAATGGTATCCGATGGTGATTGGGTTGCGAAAGGGTCGGTTGTGGATGAACTCGGTTCCCAGAACACTGACGCGTCCTCACCGCTCCCGGACACGGAAAACTCAGGCACACGATGGGGTTGAACATGTGCCATCATATCCTCGACCCAAGGGGGCTTACTAGTAGTAGTGGTTGTGTTTTCGTAGGAAGACATCTCTCTCAGCGTGGAATTCGAGGCTTGCAAGTTGTGACCAGTGAGTAGTAGCTCTTATACCTACCTTGCTAGTGGGTGTGGGGTAGCACGTCATACTACTATATAGATGAGTGGTGTCCGCCGTTTACGCGCGTCGTCATAGTATGTGCTAGCGAGGGCTGGGGGTTGGGATCGAGCTCGGACTTGCCACACTAGTTCTAGTTCATCAGAATTGTCACTGAAAAAATCGGCAAGCTATGAGTTATTTCTCCGGGCTCCACCTGCATTAGTTAAGTGTAAAATGGAAGATCGATAAGTTAATAAAATCGTTGAAAAATCACTTAGCAAAAACGCTCTAGTATCTTGCATCAGGAAAACCCTCCCGCCCTAAATTTGTCTAAAACACCTGTATTATCCAAATTTACGATAATTGATCTAATTGGTCTAATTAGCCTAATTGTTGAGATTACCTTCTAATAGTCTAAAGATCCAAGAGTCATAGAAAATTCGTGATAATACACAAGGCATTATCTTCTAACTTCAAGCAATGTCCAAAAATAAAGCCGTTAGATTGCTATGCCTGGAGTATCATATACAGCAGCTGATACTATATAGAAGGGCATATATCAAGGGAGCCTATGGTGCTGGATCTGTTTAACTATTGTATACACATACGAAACACACAGTCACTAGTTCGCATACACACTCTAGTATAGTAGGATGACTTGACAAGCCCAAGTCGGCGGAATTGAACACCTTGTCGTTACCCAGTGATACCAGCAAGCGGTCTGCGATGAACTCGATGTACTGGCACATGAGCTTGGTGTTCATCCCAATGAGGCCAACAGGGAGAGGCGTCTGGAAAGACAGTCAGATAAAGGTATGGTGATTGAAATGACGGACCCGTCAGGGACTTCTGCTCGATGGTAGCAGCCTGAGTAATGATGCACTTGACAGTGTCAGGGTGCGGGCGACACTTGAGGTGGCTAAAGAGCGAGCACACAAAGTCGGTGTGCATACCCTGACATCACAGCTGATGAGCTCGTTGGAGAACGTAAAACCAAGCCACGAGATCGCGTTTCTTGAGCCAGAATATAGACGCAAAAGAAGATAGACGCAAAGGAACACGAGAAGAAGATGCCTTCGACGGCAGCGAATCTTGAGCTTGACACAGGGAATAGTCTCCATGGCGTCAGAGGTATTTGCGCTGATTAGAATCTTTGATGTAGGTGTCGATGAGGAGTGAGTAGGTCGAGGAGTGAATATTCTCTCCATCATGATTTGGAAGCCGTAGAAGCACTGGGCCTCAGCAGCCTAGACCTCATTGGAGAAATGTTCGACGAGGTTTTCATTAACAATGCTGTCAGATGCAGCGAAGAAGGTGAGGATGTCGGGCCTGGACGTGATAGTGTGGAACCGTTCTTGGATGTGATAGTGCGGAATCGTTCTTGGGCCTGGATGGGGGGGGGGGGTAAAGGCTGCTTGTGACCATAGTGCGGAACTGTTCTTGGGCCTGGACGTGGTAGCATGAATGCAGACATGAACAGGTGGTGTCCCGAAGATCCCTAAGCAGTGGGGAAGCGTGCTTTCAATCGCTGGAGGAGGACGAGAGCAGCGAAGGTAACAGATGAGTGCAACTTCGTGTGGTGGAGGGCATATGCGATGAAATGCGGGAGCTTGACTCGGGAGTTAGAAGAGGATGTGGGGGGGGTGGGGGGGGGGGGGGTACTCGGGACAAGTAAATAGGTGTTCCGAAGATCCCCGAGCAGTGGGGAAGCGTGCTTTCAATTGCTGGAGGAGGACGAGAGCAGCGAAGGTAACAGATGAGTGCAACTTCGTGCGGTGGAGGGCATATGCGATGAAATGTGGGAGCTTGACTTGAGAGTTAGAAGACGATGGGGGTTATTCGGGACAAGCAAATAGATGGTGGGAGGCATATGCGATGAAATGCGGGAGCTTGACTTGGGAGTTAGAAGACGATGGGGGTTATTCGGGGAAGCGTGCTTTCAATCGCTGGAGAAGGACGAGAGCAGCGAAGGTCACAGATGAGTGCAACTTCGTGCGGTGGAGGGCATATGCGATGAAATGTGGGAGCTTGACTTGAGAGTTAGAAGACGATGGGGGTTATTCGGGGAAGCGTGTTTTCAATCGCTGGAGAAGGACGAGAGCAGCGAAGGTCACAGATGAGTGCAACTTCGTGCGGTGGAGGGCATATGCGATGAAATGTGGGAGCTTGACTTGAGAGTTAGAAGACGATGGGGGTTATTCGGGGAAGCGTGTTTTCAATCGCTGGAGAAGGACGAGAGCAGCGAAGGTCACAGATGAGTGCAACTTCGTGCGGTGGAGGGCATATGCGATGAAATGTGGGAGCTTGACTTGAGAGTTAGAAGACGATGGGGGTTATTCGGGGAAGCGTGCTTTCAATCACTGGAGAAGGACGAGAGCAGCGAAGGTCACAGATGAGTGCAACTTCGTGCGGTGAAAGTTGTTATGAGAAACTTACGTGCTACTGGTACTAGGTAGTACTGTCAGTCCAATTATTTGAACTTCGCAAAGGTATGTCTGTCCAAGTACAAGTTCAACCAGAAACTCTCGCAGTCGTCTAGGACAGTACCACTCGTCCACTCACGTGGCGCAACAGCGCCAAATCTTGGGACAAGGTGGGTGCTGCACAAAATATTGGCGACGGGCACAATGGAAGCCAAACGCTCTCCACCGCGTGCTAGTGCCCGAGAGAGCTTGTAGAAACCATGGTTCCGGTCAGGTGCTGGGGGGAACGGCGTGAACCACTCGATGTATGCAAGATGACTGGGTACTTGGACAGTAGGTGAAAATAGCATCGGTATTGATGTGGGTGGCAAAGCAAAGATTGCACGAACTTGGCCCACCCGGAAATCTGCATACCAGTTATCAGTAACGCATACAGTAGGAATTGATCAAAACACATACCTTTCAACCCTGGAGCACCTGTCATCCGATCCACCAATGCTGTATCAGATCGCCGAGCCACCAGACGAGAACCAGAGTGATGCTGTGGTTTAGCATGTATACTGTCCAGCGTGACAGATGCATCGCCATGGCCACGAGTATCCAATGACAGCCACTTAATCTTGTGGAAAACGGGTAGCGTGCGGAAAGGAAAATGAATATCGATTGCCAAGTCGTCAAGTTCTTGACCTCGTGGAACATGGTGAGGGGAGCAGTTGAGTCGAGCAATGTAGCGTGCCAACGCCTCGCGGAAATAGGTCGCGCCGTAATCGTTGACGAGTTTCTGCAAGCTAACAGCCTTTGCACTAGGATGTTTCGTCATGACTTGCTCACGACGAAAGCTCATATCAGGAGGACGTGGATGATGAGGGACAGACTCGCGTCCACCAGAAATCCGCCAGTGAATATACTTGTCGTGGCGAAATATCTTTTCCTTTCGTTCTAACCAGATGGTCATTTGAATGAATTCGTCCTTGTGGTTTGTCGCACGGTAAGCGTCCTTCGCGATGTCGATGTGGAGGCGTTCGGTGTACTCAGTATTGTAATTATCTGTTGTACCGAACAGCATGATCATGAGGGGGTAATGGCGAGCGGCGTGGAGCTTCGGTAAATTGAAATTGTTGCGGATACCAAGGTCCACAAAAATACCCTTGTTGTCGTGGAAAGTGTCTAGTGCCGCGTGTAATAGTTCTAGAGTTTCGGAGCTGTGGCAAGGATACTGTGCGAGGTACAAGAAATCCAGTAGTCCCCGCACTGCTCGTAAGAGGCGACCTGCATTCAAATTATTTGGTAAGCGAATGTCAATGATGATTCCCAGTAGAAATTGGCGAATCTGGGCATGTTCCTTGCCACTCAGACGTGACAAGGTAGTGATACCTTTCGTAAATAGTCGGATGTTGTGGTTCGGAGGGAGACGTCGACATCGAGCATCGATTTCTACCGCTCCACATGCTTCCGAAAGCCACTGGACAAGATGTTTCACTAGTCCCTGGTACAGCTGATGCAGTACATCAGGGGTGATAGCGCGAAAGATGTTCGCAAAGGGGAGATCCTCCCAGAACGGGTGAACAATGGGCTTGATGCCTACAGTGGCACATGCACGGACAAATGCAAGACTTCCTTGATCAAGAGCAGCGAGCGCATCTAGCACTGAGCCCAGATTGCGCAAGTGAAAGGCTGCTGTGTTGCTCCCCGTGTCGTCGGCATCGATATCGCATTTGGGGCACTCCATAAACTTCACGCCAGTAGCAAGGAGCTGCTCTGGGTAGTCGCCAACGAAGGAGGCAAACAAAGGGTGACAGCGGCGAAGAGCGCCATCACCACTGCGCATCTTAACACCATCCAATCCTGCCCTTTCGAGTGGGCCCAGTATGCGAGACATGCATGCATGATATAGGTTGGAGATAGTGCGACGGCGAGAAGCTTTATTAGGGATGTGTTCGAGGCGGGTGGTGGGCAGATACCCAAGGAGGATGTGTGCACTGCGGGAAGGTTTACGACGGATTTCCTTCGGTATGTTTCCAATTGTCAGGTAAACGGGGTAGGCGGCCTTATTGCGAAACATGGTGACTTGGGTTTTATCGGATGAAATGATGATTGGTATGATTGTGCCCCCGGGGCAGTGTTGATCAAGTTTTTTCTAAGACAAATATAAGTATGAAATCCGATGAATGCAGATAATCCTTCGTACCTGAGTATCCCACCACCACTTCCCAGTGTACATGTCGTGGAACAAGCGCGTGGTTTGATCTTCGTCGGCATAATGCCGCTCTGGAGTGAAAGCGAGATAATCTGCAAAGTCGGGATCCCCGTAGAGTGCCTCGATGCACTCGATAACATCACGGTGATACACATCAAAAGCCTCGCCAGCAACAACAATCTGTTCACACTTGAACTTCGGGCGTCCCGTTGGCAACTCGTTGTCGATAATCGCGTTTAGCTCCTTCGCGTTTTTGAAGGAGAGCCCCAAAGACTCTCTAACCTAGTAGAATTCACAATTAGACACTTATAATATAGGCAAATAGCGAAAAATTCACTCCATTGATTGCTAGCAGATCTGTAAATGCCGTGGAAGTAGGTCCGCGAAGTTTCGACCACCTTGCGATCTCCCAGTCAATCTGGGAGCAGAAAGGAAAATACGGGTTATTTCCATCATCGAACTGCGCTCCATATCTGGCATTGGCGGCATCGTCGTCAGCATGGTGCCTTATCTCTTGGCCTGCTCGTGAATCTGGATATGGCACAGCTATGAAACCATGCTGTCCTTGCGCACGCTCTTGAACTCGCAGGCGATCATCACGGCCAGGATCTTCTTCGGCAACTTCATCTTCCTGGACCTGCGGCTGTTCTCCCACAAGATCAGGGACAGGAGGCTCCCACTCTGGTTCCATGGATATGCCGCCATCATCTGAGTCGCTATCAGCATACTCAGACTCGGATACGTCATCACGCCACTCCATCTCATAGTCTACCTCGCCATAGTTCTCGCCCTCGAAGTCGTCACCTTCAAAGACGGGTGGTTCAACCGGTTCATCCTCGTCTTCCATATGGTGGTCTTCAGCGGATGTGGAGTTGACTGGTTGACGTGATCGATAGAGCGCTTGACAGCGGGGGTCTCGACTCTTCGCCAGATGTTGGCTAAGACCAGTGAAAGTAAGGCCATCGCGCCCACATGCTGGGCAGGTTTGCATATTTGAATCGCGGAGCAAACGCGGTCGTAAATGGCAGTGCAAGGAGTGATGGTACCGAATAAAGAGACGCCTAGTGCAGGTATTCAATAGTGTCCTCAGGGACGACACTAGTGTGCTTGCCGTAGTTGCAATGGGCGGACTGTAAACTAGAAAATTAGCTCCCCATATATTCCTCAACCAGGAACTTAGAACGTACCTCCTCACACCCACATTCCTTTGTCCTCAAGTTAATATCTATCCCGTCTTTTAAGGTCACTAGTACCGGCATTCATTATCATTCAGTAGTAACAAAGGAACTTAGAACGTACCTCCTCACACCCACATTCCTTCGTGTTCAGGTAAATATCTGTGCCGTCTTTGAAGGTCACTAGTACCATCATTCAGTATCATTCAGTAGTAACAAAACAACAAGATGTCTGCACTTACTAGTAGCGCCCGCGGTAAGTGAATATATTATGGCGCAAGAGGCTCTTATCATGTGCGTTGACAGCGCCGCGCGAGGCTAAGAGAAAAGCGTTGGAAAACGCTGGTGAGCATGCAATCAATTCTCATAACGTGCGACACTCACCAAAGTTTGGATTGTAGTCTGGAATGTGGACAAAGCGAAAGGTGGACCAAAAAACCTGACCGTTCCTCAAGTGCCAGTGGATCTTGCTATGCAGAAGAAGAAGCCTGCAGCGCCAACCAGTCAGGCGAAAAAGAAGACCACCACTGTGGCACCACGCGTGAAGCCATCCAGCAAAAGTAAGTGTGGATTTGATACTGTACCTAGATGTTAGCGATTGATTGTGATTAGAGCGGTCACGTACCCTAGTAAGAGACTCGGATGAAGAGGATACCGAGTCCATTGATGGAGACCTCACAGCGCATAAGAAACGTTTGTTAGCAGTTTGTTAGCAGAACAAAAAAACTTACAAGCTGGTTGAATTTGAATGTAGCCCGAAGTGCCGCCCCAGCCAAATCTCATCAAAACGAGGACAACGACAACGATGCTATTGAAGATCGTGGGGTCGACTCCGATCATCTGAACGACTTGAATTCGGATGGTTCGGACATTGATGAAGAAGAAGATAACGAGACGCCAGAATCGATCGCAAGTATGCTCTTCAATGAGGTCCCAGAGTCAAAGGCGTTACCTCCAAGTCAGTATCGTCGACAACAGTATCAAACAGCATCACGTGAAAATTCAAAATCGACCGCGCGTGATCACAAACACGCAGCAGAGGTCAGAACTTACCTTAGCATTTGTTGGAGCTACTAATACAATCAGTAATGTTCAGATCCCTACATGGGCCGATGATGTGGCGGTCTCAGACTCTGAATCCAGTGACGATTCAGACAACTCACTGGCAGGAAGCACTACAAGGACGCCTGGACCTCCTGTGGCCAAAAGTACTAAGGCTCACCTAGTGATAACCGAGTCGGGGAATGTGAAGCTCCTTGATCAGAACCAGGATACGAAGAGAGTCGTCAAACGGGCGATTTTGGAAGCAAAATGCCACCTTGTTTTCGTTGACGGGTTCCCAGAACTGGTCGACAAAAACCAGCTTTCACACGAGTCGCTGCTAACCGTTGCTAGAGAATTGGGTCTGCATGAGATCGAAAAGCGTCTGCGCTTGGACGAGAACTATACCACGCTGCTGGCTGCCCTGGTGAGTCTTTGCTGCGATAATCTGAGTCCATCAGTGCTAATCTATAAATGGCCCGCTGGGAAAATAGGTAGATGCTCGCATCCCAATCCTGCGCCGCGAACTGAAAGACGATGCATTAGCAGGCGTCTCCGGTTACTTTCGTCTGGGGCACATAGACACCGACAAGGCCAAAAGTCTTCTGGTGCAGCATGCCTATATCTACGCATTGAAGTTTGATGCAAGTTGATACTAGTATTATTCACCATCGTTTTTGCTCACATTTTTGTACTACTAGGTTCAAAATGTTCCTAAGCCCATATCGAACAAGCCCTATCAGGGCGAGTTCTTAATAGCCCTAATTAACGGCCGTGTTTTTAACGGCACGCAGTCTGTTGGTGTCCGTTTTGCACAACGCTTTATCGAGATCACGAAGAACAAAGCCAACCGTCCGGAGGTTCCCATCCCCATAGTGGCTCTCGTGGCAACTGCGGTATTTCTCTTCTTTTCCATTTATTCCTGTCCTGACTCTCTTTCAAGGTGTATGCAGCACTGTTGTGGAAGTCAATGGGTTCACCGGCGAAGTTCAGCTTTTCAGGTAATCAGTTTAGCGAGACTTACTTTTTTCATGTTCAGTTCTTGGAAAATATGAGGGATACAGCGCCGAGAAAATTCCATCGCATGATGGCCGACATCTACGAGGCTGTACAGTGAGATTTTCCGGTCTTTTGTCTGAGTTGTTCTTCGCATATTGATTCAATGTTGCAGGCATTTGAGGTACACTCATACTGGTAAAACTGCAGAGCAAGCTGCAGCTCTCGAACTCCTCGACATTGATGGGATGGATGACGACTCGGAGTAGTCGCTGGCTCGTTCTCGATAGATATCTCATTGTTGATAGTTTCATATGACGGTATTATGGTTGCGAACATATACTACCTATTAGATACCCTTCTTTAATCAAAAGACTATTTTTTCGTGTAACATTCAGTGTGATTGTATGATCTGAGCCAGCAAACTCAGATATATCTACCCAAATGTAAAGACAATAGCACAGAAATTGTTCACAATACCTTCTGATTATCGAGAATTATCAATGGATTATCAAGGGGTAACATAATCCATCTAATTTTCTAAAACAGCTAATTATCGGGAATTTCACCAATTATCAGGAATTACCAGAATTACCAGCAATTAGTTGGAATTAGGGCGGGAGGGTTTTCCTGATGTGGACTGACATTATCTAGTAAAGGTTGGACTCCGAAAACTCTCCGCTCACCACTGTTTGCCGCCACCTTCGTACTTCAGGTTTCGTCATCGATTTCCACCGCGCCCTGAATTTTTGTTCCTCCCCGCCTCGCAGCTCTACCCTTTTACATACTACCCTATGTACCAGTATCTACATATCATCTCACCCAGCAAACCAAAGACATGAATTTAAGTTGGTTCATTATTGAAATTTCATGATGGGTAAAGAAACATGTACACCATGAAGGAAATGCTATATCAAAGTTTTGTGCGAGAGCCTGAGGGTGACAAACCTGTGTGATAAATGAGACTGGGACACGAGGATGAGGAAGCCAAAAAGGGGTGTGCGTGGAAAAGCGCCACCCGTCCCCTGTAGGAATTGAAAGGGTGCAGAGGGGTTGGGGGCGATCCTGCGAGCGGCGGCTGTTTTTGTTGGGCGACGTATCACGCTGGAATTTGGATGTCGAGTAGGCGTTGGAGTGATAGAGTGGCATGAACGTAGCGAACCACGCAAAAGAGTTCAGCATGTGCATATTGCGAGGGCGACGAACGTCGACTTAAGAATGACCAGGAAATGTGCTAAATATTACCCAGCGGTGGTCTAAATTTTTGCCTCTCATGTAATTGGTTCAGGGACTTGCATTTCTCACGCCGTAGAGAGCCGATCTACTTCAAAAGGGTAACAAGTCACCGTATTCTCATTTTTCCATGGGCGCGCTAGGTCGCCACATATCAATTCCCACATCCCATCTTGGATCTGGATCACCCCATAGTAAATCAACCCAGCCCCCACTAGTGTGATGATTAAATGGATTTAGAAGAATGATAACATTAATCGATTTTCTTAATATAATGCGTGTAAGACTTGCGCGAGATCTTTCAAATTAGCATCTGGATTCCAGGAGTCGGGAGTATTGTTTGATATCCAAAAGTGATGTCACCATTTCTTCCTAGACTCACCATGGATAACCAAAAGTGTGCCTTGACTCGCATGTAAGGGGCCATGGTAGCGGCAACAGGCCTCTGGGGAATTCTATTATTCCTCCGTGTGGTTTTCAGGGCTGTGGTTTGGCTACAGCCAAGGAATTTGAAATCCTTATCTACCCGGTTCGGGATATGAGACCCCTCGATATACGAAAGCTGCGATATGAAGGTAAGCGATCGCTGCGCACCGATTCAGCCCTTGTGGTTTTCGGGATACTTCGGGATGAAGATCCGTCAGCATGAAAGTGTGGAAAGGCAGCGGGAAAGCAAACACGTTCGTCGCCAATGAGGGGGGGAGCCCTATGCGCTTGGCACCACTGATCTTTTCCAGACCAATGATCAGACATCGTGGTTCGCTGGTTTAATGTGACAGTAGAAAATGTACCAACTCATATGTTAAATAACTCTCACCGTTCATAGTGCCCCCTGGTAATTTCCTCGTTACAATGAGAAATATTCGGCATGTGGTTGCTGACCGAATGATTTCTCTGATGTAAAAGAGAAGGGAGAAGGGGAGCTGATAGAGTTGTAGAGGATAATAACAACAAGAGAGTAATGATAGGTGCCAATGCACCACCGCGTCATATGATTTTAGTGTTGTAGGAACAAACACCCGCGTCCCCCACGACATGCCTCGAAGCCAGGAGAACGGTGACATTTGCATCTTGGGTCGTCTTGGGTGGGTAACCTAAATGAAGGCCTTGCTGGTACAACCCCCATCCACAATGGATTAACATTTGAAGTTTGAACCAAGGCTTGAATGGACGTCATGTGACAGGTCATGTGCTTGAAGTCTTCCATAAATCGTGTTCGCCCCCTTGTTTTGATCCTCAAGTGGGTTTCACAGCCCCGCCAATAGCAGCCGGACACGTCCAAAAAGACTGTAAGTGATTTTCAATGATTAGTACTTGACATCTGTTTTGATCATCACTCACAATCCAGTATCATACACAGGCTGCTCATCGCTGCGGTGATAAGGCCTCATTGGTAAAATCAGCTAACGGCATTCAGGCACCAACATAAAAAAGGAGGCAACATCGCCAATGGTAGAATGGAACACTGAGTACTTGGTATGGTAGATGAAGAAGCGGTCCCAGGTAAAAGTTATGGCCGGCGAAACGATCTGCAAACCAGCGTCGCCACATTCAGAAGTGGTGTCAGTGGCATGAGAATGGAACGCACCTCGCACGACCTTGCAAACTTTTAGGGGATACGATACCACCATGCCGAAACCTACTTGAAATTTTTCAACAGTCCAGCATCATTAACAGTAATCAGCACCATGGTAGCTGCACGGTCTTCCAAAATACTCAAAGTTCATGGTTATTCAGGGCGCTACTGGGCGGGTGTGGCTGTTCAAGATCTGAGCGGTTTGAATATGAAAATATGTTATGTACGGCATCATCTCGTGAATATGCTTACGAGTCCTCACTATCAAGTTGGCAGTGCCAACTGGACCAAAAGTTCGAAGTCGAAACATGTTTTGTATTAGTCCACACGATACCCTGAATCTGGTTTTGGATTAGGTACAGGAGTAAATGTATTGTCACGTACCTAACCTGCCATCGGACCCGCAAATTACGTTGAGCAGTTCGATACACATACATAATAGCCCACCATCCGATATCCCATTAAATAACAAAATTGTTGAAATTTCGAAGTTTGTGACATCCTCCGACGGTCGCGAAATCTTTGCTGAAGGCATTGGCAACCTCGACGGTCAAACTATTGTCTTCGCGTGAACCAAACCGTTTTTAAAATCATACTTGAAATGTTGCAGGTGCGCTATGATATGAGAGCTCACGGTAGGAGCGGAAGACCTCTGAATAAGATCGATTATACCTCCCAGAAGTTCGTTGCGGATTTCGTAGCTGTGGTCAAGGGATTTGAACGAGAAAACCCGTATCTACTCGGTTGGTGAGTTGACAAACTCTACTTTTGCAGGGTATCTGACAACAATCTGCAGGAGTTTAGGGGGTGAGTCAGTTGTGTAGGAAGGCATTCCTGCTCTAACAACACTCACCTAAGAACGATTGCGACGGACATCGCGCACTGCCCTGCAGGCTATCTGTCAGGCATCATCTATGTTTCTGCTCTCCCTTACATTGGAGAAATCATGATGGACATGGCAAAAGAACACCTGAGAGACCTTCGGCCAGGACTCGTTACGGAGGACGTCAAAGAAGCATTGACAGCGAGGATTGACTTTGTCGATTCCACAATCAATGGGTGCAACGCTTCGGGCTGGGGCGTCCGGGTACTTTGGGTTGGAGAACTCAGTCACGTGAACGCCAACGATGTGGAGAACGCCCTGACACGCGAGCAAGATCCTGAGCCGCTTTTCGCTGCGGGGAGGGAGGGATTGAAATTGCTTCATATATATGGAGACGCGGATCAACAACTCGACAACGTGGTTGCCGAGACACAAGTGACCCAACGTTTTGTTAACAAGAAAGTTGTTGTCATCAAGGGTGGAGGCCATGCGGTATTTTACGAATTTCAAGACCAGGTCGTCGAGGAGATTGTAGCATTTGTTACTAGGTAGAGCGCTACCAATTCTAGAAAACCAGAATCCCATGCTGTGTTATCTAACATGTCGCAAAAAAAAACAGCTGTATTTGTTGCTTTGATATATGGACTGATTATCACTCACAACCCAGCATCATATACTATGATATAGTACGCATCAGCTGCAGCAAGTCGGCTGAGAAGATTTTTGTTGCTGAAATCAGCAAATGACATCCGGGCACCAACATAAAAAAATACAGACACTGTCATGGCGGAAATGAACACTGACAGATCTTCCTTGTGTGGTCGGTGAAGAAACGGTAGCAGGCGAAACCCGTTGCGCAGGCAGGTGGAAGATCTGCAACCACTGCCACTGGTGGCACATGGTCAGCATTTATGTCAGCGGGCATGGGAACGGAACGTACCCTTGCACAGCCTTGCCAACTTGCGTGCTAGTACTGAATGATTCCTTCACCCAATAACCACTGGCTGATGGAGGAGCTGCCACCTATAAATCACATACGTGTGGCCAACTTGCTACTACTTATTTGAACAGGTCTTCCAGAGAGGATTCAAAGCGATGGAGTACCCGGTGGTCATACTATATCTGAACCTCCGAGTCGAGTCTGCAGGTGCGTTCGGTTCGCTTTGAACAATATTGGGTTGACCCTCGTTGAACTCTGACGCCCAGCCGCTGTCGAAATGGAACAAATACCGTGAAGATTGCAAGTGCGAGTGGGTCAACACCGTGACTGTAGTAACTACCGGCGCTGCGAGTGCATGGAGTCAACGTTGGGCCAGTTCAGTAGCGGGAGCCCTCAAAAGCCGGGGCTACGGCTACGGCTACTCTGAAAATACCCGTGTACCGGAAAGCCGAACAACACTGCATTCGCGCTTAACCAACTGCCTAACCTGGCATTGACTGTCACGTTCTGCAACTTGAAGGCAACTTCTGGTATGTTTTGGAAGGAGACTCATGTGAGTCACGGTTTGATCTTTGTCATCTCACAGATGCCAGATCATGTCGACGTGCTTGTCTGCTTACACATCCTTTACACTTGCGCAGACACTAGGTGGCACTGCCCGAGCTGCTTTCAAGCAACTAGTAAGCTTAGCCGCCAAGCTCCGCCACCGCCGTTATGCGAAGCCGGACACTTCATGCGGGAATGACGTCCCCGCCGACATGTATATAACTACAGTAAGCGGGGCATCCCCAGAGCAACTTCGACACCACAAGGACTCCCTCCTTTATCTTCGATGACTACATCTGGTTCAAGTAGAACATCAAGTCAACCACTAGGAGGCCTCCAACGCGGAAAGGCGTGCATTGCGTGCAGACGTCGAAAAGTGGTACGTAGATGCAATCTGTGTTATTTGAGACTTGTTCACCTGTCTCGCTAGAGGTGCGATGGTGCCCGACCGGTGTGTGGTCAATGCATCCGTGGTAACAGGCCCGACGACTGTGAATACACGGATGCCCATGGTCGGTCCCGAACACACATGCTAGAAGAAGAACTTGCACGCCTTCGGGCTCGAGTAGAAGAACTCGAACATCCTGAGCAGACTACGCCCACAGTTGCACTCCACCATCCTTACTCATTGCCCGACGTCCCGCAAGGCTCCTCTTCCTCACTTGGTTTCCAACCTTTCCATATCCCTGCGCCAGTTTCATCTGCATCAAGTCCTGGAGCGTGTAAGTCTTTCCAAGTCAGTGATCACACTGTCTCATCATTGTTTAGCGTCGAGCTCTAGTGGTAAAATTACTTGGGGTGATATTAGCCCGAGCAGCTGGTGGGCTCAAGAAGAGCCTCCGAGCCACCTTGTACTGGAATCGTAAGCTAGCAATTGTATCTTTGTCCATATAGATCGCTTATCGTGGTACTGCAAACAGTTTGACCAAGATCTTGCCTTGTGCGGATGAACTTGGCTTTTTCCTACATATACCGCGCGTACGCGCCTCACTTATGACTACCGCTTCCCGTGGTATCCCTATTGCATTGCAAAACGCCATTATTCTATTATGTCTCCACATTACGGAAACGACGCAGACCGCCTTCGAGTCGACGTTGCTATCGACATCTTTGCGTCAACTAGTTGACATCATTCCTTCTTGCGGCACAAGCACTCGAGATTTGCTGCACGTCCTACAAACAGAAGTCTTGCTTACATATTACTTATTCCGAGTCGGACGGACAGTCGAGGCGAGGTACCATTTAGGCGCGGCGGCCAACCTTGTTCTGGCATTCCGACTTTATTCTTCTTCTCCTTCTGAAGGAGAACCAAATACACCTGCAGATATGCAATTTATGCCCTTCGATATATTCAGGACTACCCTTCCAAATCCGGTAGACGATGTTGAGCAGACAGAAGTCATACATGCATTCTGGAACATCTTCACTCGAGACAAGAGTATGTCCGCCGTTTTGGGCCTTCCGCCTAGCATCGGTAGATCTATTCGGGTAACCGTCCCTTGGCCTGGACGAATGCAGTTATCCGATCAAGATATCCGCCTCGTGGACCACAGGCAAGGAACCACACCTCAAGTAGACACCGTACAACAGTTCCTTGACGGATTGAGTAGAAATGGAGATTCCGACTCAGCGCTTGCCTTTCACGCAAAAGCAGCTGTGCTTCTTGACAAGGCGAACGATCTATTTGAGCAATACACGTCAGGTAGGCAAATTCAGTATACAGCCTCGTTCTTCTAATATCCTTGCATCTCAGATTCACGAGTCAAAGAAACACGGTCATTCCAAACGCAATTTACATTACTCGACGCACTCATACAACACCTTCAATTATCTATTTCGTCCAGTCTGTCCTTGACAACTGAGGCGTCACCATCGTCCTCGCAATCGAGTCTCACACCTCCGTCATCTCATTTTGTTTCTCGTCGTTCAGTTCACATACAGTCCCTTCTATCCCTCGCTACCATCCGCTTGCACAGCCCCTTCCGTGAATCCTATGCCTCATCTAATGCCAAGATCATCACCGCAGCCATGCTCATAGCGCGTGCCCTGCAATGCGTGAACATAGATACATTGCAATCTTTTGATCCTGCCTTTGTGAGTCATCAAACGCGGAGCTTTTGGTATGTAATTTCTGACAGTATTTGTTTGTCAGATAATATGGATCAACGCTTCCTTCGTTATACACGCGGAAATCACACGTTTGCGCGCCTTAACAGCAGACTGGACAACTCAGCTCCCCGTGCGTCGCGAAGAAGAACTTGTCCAGGCCCTAAGGACCATATTAGGCGTATTGAAAGACATTGCGGACCATTGTCCTGTGCTCAGTACGTATAGCCCTCTTCTTGGAGGCAAGACATGCCGCTAATCGTAGGCCACCTATAACAGTACTGCGGAAAAAGCTAGAAACAGTAATACCCCTTCTTGAGTACCTCGGTGCTCAGTAATTTTTAGATTCCTTTTCTCATAATCACCGGATCTCTCATCTTGTTCTTCATCACATCACAGCTAATCTGTGAACTTTTGTAACATATTATATACCCTGATCTTGTAGCATTATGCATCTGCTAGACCCACCAACGACGATAACGGTTTGATGGCTACGGGCTGATATCAACTTTCCTGTCTGACCTCAAATAAAAGATACATACATGCCGGGGAGATATTCCCCTTTCTGAGCGCTTGTAGGTTGACCTTTGTTCCATCCTGCGATTTCAACGTCACAGTATTTTTGCTGGGGATGAAAGTGTTCGCGTTGCTATTCAAACTCCGTGTTGGGGAAGTCAGCGCTGGACTTGGGGAGGGAGACGACCTTGCGCTCTGCGAAGTTGCTGATGACAGGACTTGGGTGGCAAATAACGAATGCGCTTGACGGTCGTCTTCGATGTGCAGTGTATGCACATATGGTACAAGCTCTTTCCACGAGTCCTCGTCGATGAGTACCTTTGCAGGATCAACTGTCCCGTCTTCACGGTAGAATGCAGCAGATATGATGCGGGAGTCTTCAGGGAGCTCCATGGAAGCTTTGAGAAGCCCGACAACAGTCTACTCGAATCGTTTAGCATTGGTAAGACCATGGAGCCCACGAGAGAAGAGTGAACCGCGAGAAACGAGACGAAGCTCACCCTGAACGGCACACGTGAGAGATGCTCCCTTCCGAATGCCTTGATTAAGGAACCCTTCGTACCCGAATACTCAACCATGATGGGCGATGCTCTCGGCAGGGAGGAAATGAGACGCAATGCCTCCATGCATTGCGCAAGACCTGACGCCACATCGTTAGGCGACGATGCCAATTGAGAGAGGATTTTCAGTTGAGACCGGCTCATCGTCTGTGCTCAGAAGTCGCATCTTATCGATTGTCCAGTAACAATAAGAACGCACCTTAGTATTGCAAAGGCTGGTTTGAAATCGCAATGATCTGAGAGGAAGGAAGAGATGTGTGTGCAGAGTGTCATTTTAATCATATATTATTGCCTTGTCACCACGCGTTGCAACACGCTGCAATGCGCACCGCATCATGGCATGTGTTCGATATTGGCTATTCGCTAACGTGCCCAGCTGACACAGGCGTCAATGCTATCGATCAGTTAACTGCGATATCGATCAGAAAGCTCGAGGCCGATTCCAGCTGATAGAAGCATAATTAACGTACCGCGAAGAAGATAATCTGCAACGTGAGTGGAGCTCCTCGTGGCTTGTGCGTAACCTTTGACTCAAAACAGACCAAAGACCCAAGTCCAGAACATGCGCGAGCATCCCGAATGGAATTACAGTCTTGCTCGGCACGGTCTGCGGAGTTTGAAGTCGCCAGCGGCTGACTCGCTCCTCTATACCCTGCCAGTGCCGCTGCCACATGTTGAGCGCGGACCCATGGACGTCGGGTCCATCTTTGCAGCCATGCAGCGGCACACCGAGCTCGCCGCTATGCCCTTTCTCGACTTCAACGTCTTCCTTAGACTCCGCTGCACAAGCCAGTTCACAGGCATTCTACAGCCTGAGCCTTAGCCTCACACCATAGCATCTGTTGTGGTCGTCCCAACTCTCGCTGGGCAGGTCGCCTAGCCTGAAATCAGCACTCCTTGCGTGCGGGCAACGATGAGGGTGTCGTCATGGAGAACAGATAGGAGCTTTGTATATCTACTTTCGCCAGTCTACGAAGACCTGTCCCGACTTGAAGACTGACCGTAACTTGCATATTCACCCAGATTGATATCCTGGGCCCTCGCAGCTCGGAACCTGGAGCACTCCATGGCGATAATATAAGCATCATGATCGAGAAAACGTCCGGGCCATCATCGTACCTTTAACATACCTGGAGCACAGAGCAATACTTGTTGGTTCCGTCTCAGTCAGACACAACTACTACTATTTAATCACAAGACAGGACCCATCTTCGGTCACAAGGGAGACTTTGCGGTGGTAAGCTCCCCTTGACACCTGTGCTGCTCGCTTCGCGTGCTCGTCGATCACCTGCCAGCCCATTGTGTCTCGGTACCCATCGATCATCGACAAGCAAGACGAGAGAAAGAGTCAAGCATAGCTAGTACCAAGTCAAATCAATCGCGATTCTTTACAATGTGTTACAAATATACTACATCCTGAGAATGGTACATGTTCAGCCAGAAATTGTTGCGCTACTAACATATCATTTTTTCTTCCAAGTGACGCTGCCTGTGATTGAATCTAGTCTTCCTGGGCGCGTAGATAACGATTTAGGCGCAGCAGCAGCGTCTTCAATCTGGTCTTCTTGGGCGTGTATATAAATGTTGTATCTGGTCATCCTGGGACATGCGCGCGTAGATAATGATAAAGCGCATGACTCTATACTAATCAGCGTACTTAGTGCACTGATATCAACTCTTACCGGTGATTCTAGCTCCACATTAGTGGTCCGACATCGACTGTGGCTAATCAAATTAATGTCTGGAGAACTTGTTGGATCCCGTGGAAACGGAGACGTCGGATGGAGCCACGTAGTACGAGCGCGACCGATTGAGGATCGGACAGGTGACGTCGAGCTAGTGTGCAATGTCTCACCCCGATCCCCCGCAACGCTCATATTAGTATAGCAACGTTGTACTAGGTACAGTACTATGGACCTAGAGTCCCAATACCAGACTGAAGTTAGAATTGTTTTCTATCTACTAGCGCCCCCTCGCCCGATCCGCTCGCCTCTGATCTTCAGAGGTTATGAGCCCTGTCTCGACTAGGCATTGGCACGGGTATGGGTAACCCGTGCGGGTTACGGGTATGGGTCCCTGACGGGTACGGGTGCGGGTACGAGTGTGGGGTACCCGTGGCAGGGTACCTGTGACTCGAGACAGGGCTCATAACTAGGCATTGGCACGGGTATGGGTAACCCGTGCGGGTTACGGGTACGGGTCCCTGACGGGTACGGGTGCGGGTACGAGTGTGGGGTACCCGTGGCAGGGTACCTGTACCCGTCAGGCTAAAAGTAGCCATGTCGCACCTGTCACATATATTGCACATATATTTGAAACTAACATATATTAGAAACTATACAGAATTAAAAAAACTTTATTTCGGCCCCAAAAAAACTGACAGGCCGCCAGCGCATCTTTCGCAACCTCTCGCAAGCTTTGAAAGCCCCACTCCACCTCCATTCACCACAATGTTTCATAAGCGGGTCAAGAAACTCACCGAGAAGGCCGCGCAGGCTGTTGCGGAAGGCACGACAAAGCTAAAAAGGAAGGTTAGCACCGGTAGTCAAGAGCCTTCACTGGCCAAAAAAAAAATGAAGCACATACCTTCGAGTTCTGCATCTGAGCGAGAAGAAGCATCCCCTCCTCCCCGCACCATAAGTCGACAAGCTACTATCCAAATTGAACAGGATCAAAGTCAGCGAGCTACTGTACAAACGGAAGAGGAGGATGGCATACAGGATGCTATCAATGTGGACTCCGAGACGTCATCTGATGATGCTGAGACCTCAGAAGCTGAGCTCGGCAAGTTAATTATCCTGAGCATACCATTATGTTAATCAGTTTTTATTTCACAGACAAGCTAAAAAAAGGGTGGACATCACCGGTTTATGCGTTCTACGAGCCAATACCAAGCATTGAATATATTGGCGGGCGGCGCTCCCATGTATTCCAGTGCATGGGGAAGGGTTGCAAACAGCGCGTTCGGCGCTACCTCGACAAGGGCGATGCGAAGTCGACGAGCAACATGGCCAAGCACGCCAAGAGCTGCTGGGGGCCAGAGGCATATGATGCCGCACAAGAGACTAAATCAGCAGCAGCAGCACGTGAAGGCGTCATCAAAAACTTACTGAAATCCGGCACTATCATGTCCTCTTTCGAAAGAACATCTAAGGGTAAAGTGACCTATTCACATAGGCAACACACGAAGACTGAAACCAAGTAAGTACTCACTAGTATGTACATGAACACGCTACTGACACATTGCCAAAGGGCAGAGATCGTGCGTTGGGTCTCGGAAAGCCTACGACCATTTGAGACTGTCAGCGACCGAGGATTTCAGTCGTTGATGAAGACGGGGCGTCCTGAATACTACCTACCTTCACCTTCCACGGTGTCACACGACGTGAAACTTGTATTCGCGAATGTTCGACAACGGATCGCACGAATGCTGCAGGTGATGCACACCGTTGTCGAATGTCACAAAAAAAAACTAAAAATCTGAAAGGAATATGATGGTGAACTCAACTTCGCGACAGATGCATGGACCTCACCTAATCATAAGGCCTTTGTGGTGGTCTCTGTGCACCTTGAACACCAGGGCAAACCTCTGGCCATGGTTCTTGATGTTGTTGAAGTTGCGCAGGTGGGTGTGCTCGATTAGCTTCACATCACCCTGAGACTGACGGCAAGTCAGTCACATTCTGGTGCCAATCTCGCAGAGGCCTTTGCTAAAATTTTAGCTGACTTCGGAATAACTGACAAGGTCAGTACCACTCACCATGATGCGTACTATATGAAGGGGGGTTGGTGCCAGCGTTGGTGGGAGGTTGGTGTTGGCATTGGCGAAGGGGGGTTGGTGTGCCAGCGTTGGTGGGGGGTTGGTGTTGGCATTGGCGAAGGGGGGTTGGTGTGCCAGCGTTGGTGGGGGGTTGGTGTTGGCATTGGCGAAGGGGGGTTGGTGTGCCAGCGTTGGTGGGGGGTTGGTGTTGGCATTGGCGAAGGGGGGGTTGGTGCCAGCGTTGGTGGGAGGTTGGTGTTGGCATTGGCGAAGGGGGGTTGGTGCCAGCGCTTCACAGTGCTGGCGTTGAGTAGATGACGGCGCTTCACAGTACAGCTGCTTACCATCCTGCAGATACTGAGCATCACGGCCGACAACGCAAGCTCTAATGACACACTCACGACTGAGCTTGCCGACCTCGTAGCTCACTTCGGAGGGCCCACATCACGAACACGATGCTTTTTGCATGTAATCAACCTCGTGGCGAAATCATTAATAAAGC